CCTTACGGAATGATGGTACTGACGGCACAAAAAGCTGCGTCACGTGGCCAATCACTAGCTGCCCTGCGAGGGAGGGGCGCATAATGCATCCTCTTGAAGTCTCAGAGGTCAAAGGCGTCCTCTCCTGATTGAGCAGACTCGCCGGGGTCTGTACGCACCCAAGGTTTCAAGGTCGGTTAGAGCGCCAGCGTTACTGAGGCATGGAAATGCTCAAATGCTGCTTGAATGCTGATGCCAGATGGAAGAGCCAGGTTATGATTGACGGAAGCATCGGAAACAATCCAAGGAACCACTACGCGGTTGCTCAAGGGTTACCTATTTTACTGCTGATGAAACAGTACGATTCTATTGCTTGTTTTCTGAAAGGGTAAGCGCCATGTACTCATGGCTGCAGCCGTTGGTCAAATCCTACTTAAGTAACGGCTCCGGCCAGACCCGGCTGACTGCACGGTTGACATGGAAGAAAGCCCGGTGCACGTGCAGTACGTGACTGAGACATGAGCCGCTTGAGTCATGCAGACTTGGGCATTACCACAGGTCTTTGTCGGATGGTTGCTCCAAAGACTTCTACTTCGTTGACTTCTCAAAGACCACTATCCATACTTGTCGTGGTATATTACTCACACTGTACCCATGACATAGTGTTAAAGCCACTGCCAATCCACTGTTCTTGATCATGAAGAGCGTAGGTCCTAGCCTGAACCTCACAATATGGACAGCCTTGCGAGCTTCCGAAGAACCAGCTGATACCCTTACAGCAAGTTCCAAAAGCGCGAACTGAAGGCTTCTTCAGAATAGCCCAGTTCTTCCTGCCATTCTGCAGACGTCTGCACCTTTTTCACTTGTGCGCCGCTTTTGACTGCATTTCCCGAGCTGGAGCCCGTCCCAAGGCTCAACTGCTCAGCATCCCTGGTTCCTCAACACAGCCGAGTCTATTCCCCCCTTCTTTTGTAGATTCAGCTAGCTAGCAATGGCCTGCGGCATATGCGGCCAAGAGGGCCACAACAGACGGACCTGCGGCGGCGGCGCGCGTCCAAAGTCCTCCCAGTCTAGTTCCGTTCGCCGCCCGATTCCGGACAGCAGATCTTCTGTAGGACGGCACTGTAGCAACTGCGGTTTGGAAGGCCACAACATACGGACGTGCGAGTACTTGACCAGGGCTCGGGAGGAGCCGCCACGTGGCACGTCGAGGAGGCAAGAAGGTCCGACAACGCTGTGCGGCGTGCAGCGGTGCGTGGAAGTGTCAGCGCGAGACATGAAGCTGATCAGGGAGACGAACAGCGTTGGTTTGCGGCTGTTGCGAGCTGGTGAGCTTACGTGTCCGAACCAGACAGCTACAAACTTTCCAGAGGGACAACCTGCATCGCGTAAAGCACGAGCTGCTCAATGCTTCAAAGAGGCTTTCTGGAGTATTTTCGTCGGCAGACCTTTGAGGAGTCTAGGCCGTGTCAAGCAAGGAGTTGAGAACGTGTCTGCATTTTCCTGTGAACATGTACAGTTGTTGTCTTTGCCACTACAATATGCATTGTATAGGTCGACAAACTTGTTGAGAATCATTACTTGTAAAGCTTGAAGGCTGTTAGGAAAGACTCAGTTTGAGGTACTCAGTTTCTGAGTACTTGGCCGGGCTTAGGAATGATTGAACGCATCTCAGCATTGAACGATGACCTTCCTTCTTTCAAAGGAGATTGGGAAAATGTTCGTCTCGCTGTAAAGGTCGTGCATCTGGTGTAACCCCCAGCCACGCCACCAAAACAGTGCTGAGAAGAAACAGTCGCGCCGGACCGCTCATAATACTCTGCTGGAACAAAACATACACGGCCAAAAGACGGGGCAACTTTCATGGTGGGACGCTCAAAAGCAAGAAGCAAGAGGTTACAAGGTACTCAGCATCGAGACTAGCTCACGAAGACCCATACTTGATGTCCGACTTCATCCATTGAGTTGCAGCTTTTCGAATAAGATGGTCACAGTCTGTTGTCCTCTAACTGGCGGGCGGTCTGTCCACGTCCTGCAGAAGTCGGCAACCGGGAGATGTCCACGAGGAGTACCTGGAACGCTCTGAAAACCCGGGGATTCGGCCTCGGGTTCTCCAAGCGGATCGATGCCGAGATGGATCACATGCACGCGCAGGCCCGGGGCGGGAACAACCGGTTGAGCAACTACTGCGTCATGCCCGGGGCAATTAACGGGTCACTCGGCGCGCTGCCCAGAAGTGACCAGCGTGTCCTCTCACAGTGTGGCTGCGCCTAGCATCCGAATTGCCCGCATAGAATTAGATGCTAGGCTAATGTCCAAGACTATCAATCACGTTTGGTCGAGTCGTAGCTTGTAGTGTTAAACGTGCCACGCGGGGCCCATGAACGTTACGGCGCCAGGAGATTGTAGCGCGCGTCAGTAAGTTATTGCTGTGGTTTGCTGTACATGGCTGATCTCTCGCGAATAACGTTGAGTGACTAGGCATCGTAAGGTCCCCGGGTATACAAAGCAGGACCTCCTTAGCTGCATAATCTCAGGGGCACGGCTTTCTTTCATGAACTGGATTGGGATAAAAATGCTGACATAGCTCAATATGAGTTTGAGCGAGGTCTTTCCAAGTTACATTTATCACTGCCCCACTTTGTTCAGCGTGTTCCGCAACACGTCATCCAAGCTCTAGAGTTAGTACGATCATCTTTTATCAAGATACAAGCTGGCTCGATCTGCGGCTTACACGCACCCCGCCAGTCTTTGAATACTTCAGGCAGTAATTTACCTTTTCTTACTCTGATCGAACTATCTCATCACGAACATAACACTGTATAATCGAATCCGCGTATACCTTATTTCAACCTTGTACAAATGCTGCGAGCCCAGTCAATATCCAGCGGTCCCTTTCGGACGCCTTGGCGAGGGGCAGCTGTAGCTCGGACAAGAAGCGCGTCCGGCCCAGGTCGTTGTACAGCGGAATTGCCAGGTGTTCCTTGTACGGGTACGGCGATCCCTGCGCGGCGAATACGGACGTGTCAGTGCAAGTGCGACTTGTGAGCTGATTTCGACGAGCACTCGTTGGTCCATAACCTGGATATGTGCATGATTTGGGAAAGCTTCCAAGTGCAAAATCTATTTGCTGCTCATAGTGTCAGGCTCGGGATTATAGTATGACATTGGGCGCAACGAAAAATAAGGAGTTGAGGGAATAAAATCTACGTGGTCTGAGTAGCAAATTTCCTAAAACCCAGAACCGACGACAAGGGATAGGTGCTTCCCATGCCCTTCAGAACCAAGTATCTTCTCTTTATTGATGTAGGGCCTAGTACCGAAAAAACGAAGCCATTCACCCATGCAGCGGCGGGCTTCATGCAGTCCTTCCAACAACATAGCAGAGCGGAGCAGGATCCTGAACAATAAACCCACGAGCAGCCTTTGAGACAGAATCGAGTTATGAAATCCAGGGCTTGTAATTCAGCGCCGCCCACCTTCGCGATCCATGCCATGTAGACCGTAGGCATCGTCTGGGCAAATGGTGCGTCATGGGCGACGTCAGCCAGTTTCTTTCCGTCGAAGGAGGCTCCTTGGATCAGCAGTGACGTCACCTGCACAGAGACAAGAAGCTTCGATATCGGATATGCTGGCGGAATGGCTTGCTTTGCTGATTCTACTGGACGTGGCCTTGTCATTCGAATCGTGTGACCGGAAGAAGGACCGTGTAAGCAATGCGCTTTAGGAAACAGAGGACGCGGTCAAGAAAGTGCTCCGATTTCCAAATCGGAAAGACAGACATTTTCTGACTGAGAAACCGGGTTCTGAAGGGGTCCGGATTCCGGAAAGAGACCCAAAGAGGAGAGTTTGCAGACTTCAATGATCACCATGCGTCAGCACAGAGATCGATTCTGCGGCAATACTTCCTCAGAAGGTATCCAAGACTTCTCGAAGGCCATTCTATCCAAGTCGCACCTTCCTTTTATCCAGAAAATTAGAGTCAGCCCCTCTTGTGCTTCCTCGAACAGCAAGAAGGCAAGCAATGGAATGGACCCAAAAGGGCGACACGCACCTGCAGCGCGTCTGCGGCCGCGTCGCCCAAAAGCTCCGAATTCCACGCGGTGGCCAGCTTCATCTCGTCCATGGCCATGTTCCGCCGCCTAGCGGTCTGCTGTCGGAGCGCATTCAGAAAGGTCTCGGGACTGAACAGATGGCTAAGATCTAGAGAGCTCCCTCTGGAGGGAAGACTTCCGGATTTTGCGGCAGCCCGGAGCGCCGGCTGCGCGGCCACGCGCGAGAAAAGCGCTTGGAGGTACGCGGAGGGCTCCTCAGGGCCCTGTAAAGACAAGCGAGCAATTTGATCAATGAGACGGAACAGAACAGACTGCTGGTTTCCTTGAAAACGCGCATTGTTTTGGCTACACCCGTAGATGGAACAATATTGTAGAAAGAAGGATAAGGTGGAAGACCGAATTTTCAGGGGGTATACGTGCAAAAGATCCAGAATCAGGTGGTTTCTTTGAGCTCATCAGTTCCGCTATAGCTTCTCACCTCTTAGCCGCAGTCAAAAAACGGTTTCGTAGGGAAGCTGACAAGCGACCTCTATAAGACAAGATCAGTATGAATCCGCGGATAATTTCCCCGGCACCGTCAATGGCTCTTTTCTGAGGACAAGGCTTGCCAGCTTACACGCCGCCGACGCAAGCAGAGATGTTATAACCTCCAGGATCTTCATTGCAGGTGTCTATAGAAACCTTTGTCTCACCTCCCAAAGGCGGTCCCAAGAGCTCGGGACAGTACTACCGAGCAGCGCCTTGCAGGACGTTAGAGCGTCGGGAGAGAGCAAGCCCTGCCCCGAGAGCGCCCGGTGGATTCCCCCGAGGATGTTCGAGATCGCTCTGACAAGTGAAGCTGCCAGCTGGCTTTCCCGGAAGATGGCGGACTCGGTCGGGGTGGCGTCCTCGGGCTCTTGCTCGACTCTGAAGGTGAAGAAGGTCGAATTTAGACGTTGGTCTTATCACCTGTTTGCTGGTATTGTATAAGCAAGAAGCAGCGTAACAGATACGGTTTTGTAACGTTGTGAGTGGGTCTCTGTTAGTATCAGAACAAAAGAGGCGAGGAAGAAGAAGCTGCCGCTAGAACGGATACTCAGAGCCGCTCGAGAACGGGGCGATTTACCGGCAGACAAAACGAAATCCAACCAAACAAACTGGTGACTTGTCAATCCTCTTTAGGGCACAGCGCACATGATTGGCAGCCAAAGCAAAGCCGATAACGGCTTATCGGCGTTGTTCTATCGGCTCTCAAATCTTCACATATCACACCAGGAGAGGAAGCATGTTTTCATTCTCGTGCGGAGCGCTCCCAAAAGTACATAAGTCATCAGACTTTAAGACCAACTTCTTGGCAGTACGAGCTCACCTGCACACCCGGTCCAGACCCCCGAGCTCTCCCAGCAGTCGGTCCCACAGCTCGATGACGGGCCTGAGCTGCTCGGACCACCTGCCCCGGTCGAACTCCCCGGTCGCCGTTTCGGGCGACGCGAAGGACAGCATCTTCAACTGGGCCACAACATTGGCGCTGCAACAAAAAGGAAAGTCCTGGTTTACGTTTGTTGTGCGTGATCTAAGCGGTCATTTTGCTGGGTTTTGAAACCTTGTTCTCAAGGATTATTCTGTGGCGGGTAAGGCAGGCGACACGAATCAGCTTCCGAGCTGCAAGTCTTTCCTGTCAGATTTGGTAGTGGATTGAAGCTAACAAGAAGAGTTTTTGCATGGCTTGTTCGATCCTCAAAGCCTCGGAAGACTGGAATAAAACGCCATCGAAACGATGTGCAAAGCACAGCGAACTCGACTAGCAGTCATTTCCTTCATTGCGTCTAAAAGAAAGGTCCTACTGCCTTGCCTTCACAACCCCGTCAGCAAGTGACGAGCTTGGAGAACCTCCCTTCTCACCTGTTCGTTTGTTGCACGTTCCGCTCGATGTTCGCCGGCAGCCCAAAAAGCGCCGGGGCGTCACCATCCGGCAGTCCCCCGAGCACTTCGACAAACTCCCCGTGCTTCAAAGACCCCGGCACCAGCACCCCTTTCGTGCCCGGTACGAACCGCTGGCCCGGCCCAGCCAGCATCCCCTCGTGGAAGAACTGGTGTAAATACGCGCGCAACACTTGGACGTCGAACCGGTTGTCGATGCGTCCCCCATAGATTGCGTTTTCGAGTAAGCCTCGGAGGAACTCCCACGGGATTGGACCTTTCGGGGGGGCTTGGTTCACTGCGATGCTGACGATGTCCGCCCCCGAGCGGAGGTCGGCAAAGCTGAACTCGTAGAATTTGCTCCAGCCCTGCGCGTTGGGAAAGCTAGGTTGGCGTCCTTAAGATGAGTTGTTATTTCACGATTCCCTTCAGCAAGATTCAAGCTGCTCATCTCGTTGCTATATAGCGGTACACTTTGCTTGAGGGGTTCAGAGAAAGGAGATAATGGATACAAGGGCGACCAACCAGAGGTCCAGCTAAGCGCCTTAGCTAGACTAGAAGGACTTTATTCGCAGTACTAGAAAGAGCCTAGCCCCTGGTATTGGATACAACCATAGGTGCTAACTTTCCTGAGACTAGCTGCAGCCTCCGCCCTTTGAATTGCCCTGACCCGAACAACCGCGACTAAATAACGTTTTCTTGTTCTCAACCCACAATCCCTTCGTGAACCTCAAGCTGAAACCATTGCCAGAAACCGATCCACACGCAATTGACACCTCACCCTCAACCCGAACTTAAAGCTTGCCAACCCTCACCTGGGGCACAAACGTCCGCCGCTCCTGCACAATCGCATGGAACCATGCCAGCAAGAACAGCAGCTGCGCTCGGACGGTGCTTCCGCCGTCCGCAACGAAATCGGACGTCCAAGCTTCGTACGTCCGCAGGAGATTCTTCTTGAGCCCGGGGGGCGCCTCGTACGTCACCTTGAGTGACGCCATCAGCAGACTCGGGGGGAAGCGGTCGTGCGGCTCGCTGATCGGGGAAAGCGATCAGGTCAGCACCGGTTTTGGACAACCCGGAATCGGAAGGTCTTTACCTTGAGGGTTTGACAGTAAGACGTTCTCGTCCGTCACCTTGACCGACACATTCGAAAGGCCTAGAGGGAAGAATAGAGTCTGGGATGCGATTGAGAAATCGTTTGTTGAAGGGATTGGTTTGATGCATTTATCAATGCCACTTTGCTTGTATGTAACATTGAGGGACGCCGTCGGGAGGCTTGTAATTGAAGCGGCCATGCCTTGCCGCCCGGAATGGAAACGAGTTAGCTGAGGGTCCGGTCAGGTTAGCTTGATGGAAGAATGTAGATTTCTTTCTCTTCTTGTCTTAAAAGAAGCCTTGTACTCTATCTTGAGGGATGCCGTGAGCAAACTCTTGAGGGCAGCGGTCGTACGGTTAGCTGCCCGGGAAAAACGGAACGACCTGCAAATTCTTGTGGTCCAACAGGGTCTAAATCTGGTCAAAATAGATGATCAATTTATGAATACCTACCCTTCAGGGCCCCAAAAGCGCTCAAGCGGGCGGCTGGTTCAGGGTACGGAAATTTTGTCACTTGCAGGAGGAGAGCTATAAAGAGCTACCACGCTGATCTCTTCGCGAAAACACGAAGAGAGGGTTGCACTGACACGACCAGAAGGGATTAGATGCTCCAAATCCTTGCCCTTGAAACCCGCTTTTCGAGCCGAGCCTCCAAACAAGCACAGCGTTAAAAATTGAGTTACCCCACCTGGTCAGCCAAAGCCGGAAGTCCGGATGCGCGTCCAACCCGTGAATCTCTTTCTCCAGTGCGGGCAGCCACGTCACAACTAGATGGAGATTCTTAAAGCACACCCAATCTCCCGCGCGCGCGGCTTCTTTGAGCATGGCGAGCGCAATTTCTGACTGGCCCTGGCCCATGGCCAGCTGGCGGAAACGCGCGGGGCCGACCGCGCGCGCGGCGAACTCCTCCAGTTCCTGACTGGGGTCGGCGCCGGGGCTGGTGATGAAAATGACGGGTTCTGGGAAAAGAGAGGGAAACGCGAGTACTCAGAATGAGAAGAATTGGATGCTTTGAGGGCAAGGAAGAAGGGGGGATGAAGAAAAGAGGCCAAGAGATAGAATGAAGAAGAGAATGTTCCGCAGATCAGACAGTGGTGGAAGCGACAGAGAAGGGGATGGAAGAAGCATGAAGCAAGAAGCACGAGGATTCCGCAGGAGGGGCTTTACGAGGAGGTTAGTCGGTTGTTAGGCCGCTGCTTAACCACAACCCGTCGAAAGTACTCCTAACAAAGTCTCGCCTTTAATCTACGCAGTTGCTAGACCTACCGCTTTACATTGATTGAATGCATTTACGATTAACGTCAATTGCATCTGATTCGGTGGGTATTCTTAATCAAATCCCGCGCCGCAGATATTCACCGGGTACGTCTCTCCCGATGCAAATGCCCAGGATTTCGGGTGCGAGAGGCAAGCTGATGAATTAGTCTTGTAACCCAGTCCTAGAACCTAACCCTAGACCCTGATTTCAAAATGTGCATACCTTTCGCAGTCGTTTCCTGGTGCAGCTTGCCCAGGCTGAACGGTTCTGGCGACGTGCTGGCCAGCCCCAGCACGGACCGCACGTACAGCTCCATGCCGCTCTCTAACCGGTCCGGGCGGAGCGCCTGTGGCAGTCGTCAATACAGGTAGGGTTATGAAGAGAACTGCGTCTGGGCAGCAAGGCAGCGCCTTCCAGTGCCAATCTTTCCGTTGCAGTTGAAGTGCAAAAACGACTGGGACCGAAAGTGCAAAGGGTTATTCATGAAAGAACCGCCTGCCCTAGTGTTTAAAAAGCACAATTTTCGGCCCAAAAGCACAGAGGGCATGCTTTGACTGGCAGCAGTAAACCGCGAGACTCTTGTCGGTCAACCAAAACCAAAGATCTGCACCTGTATCAGCAGAAGGCGCTGGAAGGGCGTGGTGATTGGTAGCGCGTGTGGCGGGAAGTCGGTCTCGGCCGAAGCGTTGCTCATCCAAGCGGACCACTTCGACTTGTTCTGGAAGTCCAGGTTTTGGGCGATGGGAGGCAGGGTGGCCTGGATATGCACGGAGATATCTGTCAAGGCCTATTTCATAAATCAGGATTAGACTTTGCTTAAGAATGTGGAGGGCCAATTGCAAAAGGAGGGGTGGATGCACGTTCGGCTACACTGCACTTCTAAGAATTTGATGCAGACTCGTCTTACAGCAACCAAAGCACCAAGAAATGAAAGGCATACGAGCGATGGGTTCAGAGTAAGAGCTTCGCTTTTCGAGCGCGCAAGCAGTCCTCGCCGCGCACTGAAAGAGCTTCCGGCAAATACATAGAGAACATACGCGCAGAAGATTCAGTGCTTTGTTTGAGGGCTTGAATCTGCCTCTCTCTTGACTAACATGCCCTGATCGGGCGTTTCCTGTTTACCTGGAAGGCGTTGAAAGAAGCTCGGCAGCTGTCGGAAACCCAAGACAGCGGCTCCGCTCCGAGCACGCCCGGGGGAAGCACTGACTGCCCGGTGAACAGCTGCAACTCCGCAGCGGCGCACGGTCGGAGGGCCTGTACCGCGGACACAGCCCAGTTGGGTTTTGCAATCAGATTTTGGAGCGAGGCGCCTCCAGATAGAAGCTTTTCGTGCGGGCTGCTTTTGAAGCGAGTTGTAAAGATGCCACTGTGTCGCTCTCGCGCTGGGCAGAACAAAAGAAAGTAATAATGCAGTCCCGTGTACGTCTAAGCTTTTTCTTTTCAAAGTTTTTATGAAACTGGGCAGATGCTATGACGTTAAGAGTACAAATTGCGCGCTGCTCCGTCCACAGCAATGCATTTTGCACGTTCCGGCAAAACGAAAATTCTGCTTCAGTCCGAGGATTGGATAGTGAGGACATCAGAGTGCGTCTAAGCGCTCCAACTATCAAGTTCGACGCAAATTCAAGGATTAAAGCTCACCTGAGCTAAGTGCAGGCCGAATGTCAGTCGATCCGCCTTAAACAGGGACCGCGTCACGTGTCCAAACACCGTCTGGATCAGCCCGTCCATCAATTCCGCGATCCGCCCATCCACGACCAGATCCGTTCCGTCCGTCTCTTCCGTTCCGGGCTCCGCGCTTTTCCGGCTTAGCACGCTCTTGAAGAGCCGGAGGAAAGCGGAAAGACTGAAATGGTACATCCGGTTCAGACCGGGAAGGGACTTGAGGAGGAAATAGAGTCGGCTACCGCTGACTGCGAGTGGCCGGTAGGTTTCTCGCCGGGCGTCGAGGGACCGCTATAGAAGAACGGAACATGGAAAGCGTCAGGAAAATGTGGGGAGAAGGGCCAACGAAGTGAGACATATGGTTTGAGAACTGAGGCAACGAGAACAATGGACGAACCAGAGAACGGGTTCGAGGAGCTTTCTCGCAGTGAAAGCTGTCCGAAGTCTGCTTTTGGTTTTGTTTCTTGTTTAGCCACCTTGAGGTTTGTAAGCTTCATGCTCTTCAGGCTCCAACTTCCATATCTTCTATGCACGCGAGCAGACAATGGATACAGGACATAACGCTTGTGACGAAGACGCGCGTCCTTTTCTTTCGCTTCCTGGGCATTTCGAAGTCACAGACGCTTTCAAAAGAGACCTGACGGGGGGGTTTGAGGCCCTCACCTGAAGTGCCTGTGACTCGAGCAGGGACGCCGCGACGGTTGTGCTCTTGGCCTTGGTTTCGTTGAGCGACGCGACTAGCGCCCGGTTGTCCAGGATGTTCCCCTGGGAAGTCGCGAGCTCTTCCAGCAGCTGCTTCTCTAGAGACGCCAACTGGACCCGCATCTCCTCGCCAGTCTGCGACGAAGATGAAAAGATGGTGCGGTCAAGACCTGGATGAGAGCCCTAGCAGAATCGTGGTGATCCTCAGGTATAACTCGGCTTCCCTGGACTCCGCCTTTTCTCCTGTTCCGGCTGTTCGCTTGGGACGGTCAGCCCCAGTACCTGCCCGTCCGACCCCGCGCGCGTAACCATATTGTCGGCGCCCAGAAATCTCAAAACCCCAAAACCCTAAAACCAAGAACCCTACGGTTCTAAAACCTGCGTGGAGCTTACCTTGAGTAGCGTGCTCCCCTTAGTCTCCACTTTTGGCTGTTTGCTTTGGATGGTCAGCCCTAGCAGCTGTCGTTCCAGTCCGGAACGCGTGACCGCAAAGTCGGTGCGCTGGAGTCTCCAAAATCACAAAACCTGGATCTAAAACCCTAGGGACTGCGTGGAGCTTACCTTGAGAAGCGTGCTCCGCTTATTCTCCTGCTCCGGCTGCTCGCTCTAGTTGGCTAGACCCAGTATTTGTCTCTCCGACCCCGAGCGACTGACCGTTAATATGAACCTGTGCACTGAACCTGACAACCGTGCACTGAACGTGAAAACCCCTATAACCCTACATCCCGAAGAAATGTAAGGAGTTATTCGGACTTACTTTGAGTAGTGTGCTCCGCTTATTCTCCAGTTCTGGTTGTTCGCTCTGAATTGTCAACCCCAGCAACTGTCCCTCCAGTCCCGATCGCGTGACCGTAAAGTTGGTGCGCAGAATGAGCGACACCGCGTCCGGCGGAATGCTCAGGCCAGGGTCGCGCGTCACCAGGAAGAGCCTGGACACGTGGCAAGCAGGGGTTGGTTGAGAGAGAAGAAGAGAAAGCGTGGGTACGGCTGCGATCGCGGATCTGACTGCGCATTGGTCGACTCCGAATCAAAGACAGTTTCTGAATAGTGGTTGGGCGACCTCAAGTAAAGGAAACTCTTTGCATTTAAAGTGGAGTAAATGACTTTTGAGTAGCAGACGCCGAAGCTTCGAACCTATCCTCTCCAGAAACATCATTTCCAGCAAATCAGGCCTAGCACATCCAACTTTCCAGGCAATCAGAAGCATGTAAGCAGGGACTGCAATCCTCATGTCTCAGCGGCATCTTCTTGTGAGCAGACTCCTAAAGCTAGCCTTCAAGCTCCTGACGAAATACCAATCAGAAAACCCGAAAGCTTCACTTCACCTGAAGTCCTTGTTGTAGTCCACGTTCTTGTCCCCTATTTGCACGGTCAGCCGGGAGTTACTATGGCTGACGTCCCGCCGTAGAAGCGGGTACAGCATCGGCTCGATCGCGTCAACCTCGGTTACCAAAAGCGTCTTTCCAAAGCGAACGGCGAGTTCCAGCGTTGTTGTAAACCGCGGGTCTTGCTGCGCTACCTGCGATAGGAGAAGGCTTGGAGTTGTGGCTCCGAAAGGAGGTTCATCAATTTCTTTTTTTTTTCAAAGAGTTTCGAGCGACGGCAAGCGAATATTTTTGCGGGACAACGAGCATCGGCCAGTGAGAGCTCAACACTGAAGTAGACGCGTTGAACATCTTCAGAGCGTTTTTGACAACTAGAAATGCCGCCTGTTACAGGCACGACCACATTTCAAAAAAGCTTAATATCTTTCGAGTCTAGCGGGTACCAAATCTCTTCAGTTGACTCTCAGCCGAATGGATGCTGTCGGCTCCGCTCTTCTCCGCGTACTCGCTGCCTTGAAACTTCGAAGTATGGGGTTTCCCAGCAAGAATCTATGCCCTTAGCTTTCTGCTTCCTCTTTTCATCAAACCCAATCATCTTCATCCTCAGGTTACTTCATTGCTTACCACTTCCATCGACGCCACCTTCTCCCGCAGGTGCTTCCGCAGCCATTCCGCCGCCTGGGCGGACGGATCGATCACCAGCGGAACCTGTTGGGTGTGCAGCAGAACGACCGCGTTTTCGACGGAAAGGTCGTCCGACGGAAGGCCCTCTGCCTTCCACGTCAGCATCTCGCTTTCAGTGCTCATGTACCGCTTGAAGTCGAAAGCCTTGGAGTCGGGAACTAGAGCGGGACCGTCCGACGGTGAATTGGCCGCGCCTGCGAGATCCTGCACAAGATCCGGAGCGGAAGCTAAATTATTGTGTCGGGGATAAGGTTGCAAGCCATCTAGATTTCAACTCATGATGCATACTTACAAGCGGGAGAACAAGGAAGCAGAACATTGAGAGGGTACTGTTCGAAGGATGATGGGCCGAAAAGGTTGTACCTTTACGCTATCCAACCGAAGCCATAAACCATCCCGTAGAGAAAGTCGCGGACAGCAATCTTCCCCTCATCCCTCTGAAGAGAAGTGACCTCACGTTGCACTTTGATAAAGGAAAGAACAGGCCTTGAATAGTAGGCGATTGTGTCCGGAAGCTCAAACTCTGCGCCGTACCTGCCACGTGGCGAGCATCCGCCGCCTGAAGTCCTCCGGCTGACCCGGCAGGTACGTCATGAACGCGGCCGCGAGCAGCGCCTCGAGCGGAAGCTCCTGGAGCCGCCCTGCCAGGCCGCCAATCTGCGCCTCCCAGCGAACTTTCTCGCCACCTAGTTTCTCAGTCAGGCTCTCCGCTGCGGCCAGCTTGTCTTTCGCCTGCCAAGCAAAGGCGTTTCATCTGATTCCGTAGCCTCTTTTAACTGATCAAAAAGCGGATGGGGATATAGAGAAGAAGCGGCTCTCGGGCTGATGCGACGAAGTGGCTTGCCGAATTTCAACCCGGCAAGCAGAGCCAGTCCTTGAGCAAGAACATTAAAAAAAGGCAAATACACAGTCGCCTACGGAATGAATCTTAGGTAACTCTCGAGCCTGCAATCTGCAGGTATACTTGCTTCAAGACTCCCTTTTCCACCGCTCCTCGATATCACCAAATTTCAACCCTTCTCGAAACTCTCCATTTCGCCCACTCAGAACAGTCGCCGATGAGAAAGCAGCATGTTGAAGAATCTTCGCTTTCTTCTCTTACCTGCTGCAGACCAATCTTGAGCGCCTCCGCTTCGCCGGTACGCCGCGCGAACTCCTCTTTCAGCCGCGCAACCGTCCCGTCTAGCGACGCCAGATCGTCTTCGCACTGCTTCACTCGCGCGGTTGACGCGTCCAAAGACGCCTGAAGACTCGCCAAATCATCCTCCAAAGGTTTCACTTTCTCGAGCACGACCGAGAACTGGACGTTGGCTTTGACCCACGCGGCCATCGGCGCGGCCGCGACGCTCACGCGGTAGATCTGCACGGGGTTTAGAGGCTTTTGTCTCAGACTTAATACTTCTTCGGAGGAATGCCTGCAAGGTCGTCTTCGAAGTGTCTGGAATAGATTAGCATAATCCAAGCAGCGTAAATTCGCTATCACCAAGCGGCCATGCGTGCGGCCGCGCTGTAAGATTTCGGCTCCCTCCGCGTGCGGGATCTGTAACTCAAAGGTCCCAGCGTTTTCAACTTCATATTTCAAGTTTTGGAGCTCGGTACAACTTCGAAGCAAGGTTAATAGTAAGCAGCCAGAGTCCGGTCAGCGACGCTCGCCAAATGACATGCACAGCACCCTCGCAATACATCCTGAAATGCGCCGCCGGAGGAAAACAATCTTACACTTTCCCTTTTCTTTTCCATAAAGGGTAAACTGCAACCACAGCATTCTTGTGGCTCATAGCCACGTCAGCAACTTCATTTCCCAGCGGAGGCGATTTCACAGTTGATGTGCGACGGAGACATAACAACTTTCCTTTTCGACCTGTTTTAAAGCGGATTTGGATTCGATAGACTAGCAAATCGCTGCTCTCTATCAGCTCGCGTTGAGGCGCAAGAATACGTCACCATATGAAGCACTAAAGAAAAGGTTAAAAAGCAGCCTCACCCGCTCATGCTCGAACGACGCCCCCTTAGCTTGTAGTAATTTCTGCACCGCGGCGCGCATGTCGGGCGTCACTTTCCTCGCGTCGTAGTTCACGATCTCGTCCTTCACCGACTTGCTCCCCAGGAACTTCTTCATATTCGTCCAGCTCGTATCATAGTTGCCCATCAGCAGCAGCACGCCCTCCAGCACATCGCGTATGGCGTCCGGCGGCATTTTGAGCGAGCGTATCTCGTTCAGGTTGTCGTTCTTAATCTGGCCGACCGCCTTTTTCGCGGCGTCGATCAACGGCTGGATCTCGCTCAGCTCCGATTGGATCCCCGCTTTTCGGCCGTTCAATATCTGCTCCTCGCCCGCGAGCTTCACTCTCAGCCGTTCGATCTCGGCCTTGCTGTCCCCGGCACGTGCCATGCTGTCCGTGATCTGGATTAGCGCGGCCTCCGCCTCGGTCTGTTTCTGGGTTAGCAGAACCTGTTGTTCCGCAGCCTGTTGGGAGAGCTCGCCAACTTTGCCCGCCGCTTCTGCCAGCTTGTCAAGCCCAGCCTGCACAAAGGGTTATAGATTTTGAAAGCTGGGTTTCTTCAAAGGCAGGTTGAGCATAATAAGAGAACCGGGAGAAATTGAGGAGCCATCTGAGGCGTCTGCATGGATTCTCTTCCCTGTGCTTGCTGTTTCAGCTTTTCTAACCAATCTCCGATACGAGTTTACCCGTCAGAATTTGAAAATTGATTGCCAAGAACTGTATCCTGTCAATTAGAGGCGTCGTCACCTGCGATTGAAAAAACGGTACAAAATTGATCTCAAAGTCTTTCCACATCTTGAGGAGCGTAACAAGAGGCGCAAACGAAAGACTCACCTGCAGATGCCCCTTTTGCTCCAGGACCTCAGCCCTTTTCGCCCCGAAGAGCTTCTGATAAGCCTCCAAAAACCCGGCGTACTGCCGTGGTGTCGCGGCCGCGCCTTCGCTGTCCAGGCTGGTGTGAATGGCCGCCATGAGCGACACGATCTGACCGTCGATGCCGTCCGCTTCTTGCGTGGCTGCGGACAGCTCTGCGGACAGGATCGCCTTCGAAACGTCCTGCAAATGAAGAAGTACGCGAGTCAGAGCTGATCTCCTTGGCCAACTTGGACAGTCTCATTGCAGGAGACGGGAAGCGATTTGTCTGCGTCCTTGCAAGCTCCTAATCCAGTAACAGGTGAAAAGACCGTACATGCTTCTTGCATAGATTATTGTAAAGTGTTTGTGCGAAAACCCAGCTCACTGGGACGGCTTCTCTCAGGTTCTCTGAACCGACCGACATCTCCGAACAGCTTGCATTCTTGTGCACCGGCTCGCGCATTTTCGGAGCACGTTGGATCTTCGGAAACGTACCTAACTAGATACGGGTTACGCGCCAACCTGCACTGTCTCGCGTGTCCAAGTGTCAAGCACCATAATAGCGCAGCTGGCAAAGGTGAGGGGTTTCTCGCGACGAAGGTTTCTTTCTTCTCAAAATCTTATAAGCGGCAGTTCCCTTACCTGCATACGCTCCTTGTCCACGTGTTGTGCCACATGAGCGCGCAGCTGGCAAAGAGCGCGGGGTTTCTCGCGCACAACGTTCCAATCCTTGAGAAACAAGATAAGCTATGCCTGCTTACCCGCATACGCTCGTGCGTCCACGTGTCCAGCCACATGACCGCGCAGCTGGCAAAGAGCGCGGGGTTGCTCGCGCAGCGCGCGTCGAAGTCAGGGTTGGAGGGGTCCATGGAGAGCACCACGTGGAGGTTTTGGCGCACGCGCGCGACGAAGAAGGAGAACGCGCTCTTGTGCTGGAAGCCGTCGCTGGCCATCAGCTCTTGCAGCGGCAGTAGGAGAGACTGCAAAGGAAGAAGAACAAAAGCCTTTTGAAATCTTAATGACATTTTTGCGACATATTGAAGTCACTCGAGGTGTCAAACTTCTGAATTATGACGTCTTTATGAGGTATTCTGAGCTCCTGAGGTAGTATGAGGTGAGGTTATTTTTGGGAATCTTCGGGTTAAAGAGAACGTCATCTTGGGGATGTATTTGTTCTGGAGCAACATTCGCTGGTCCGCCTCCCTTCCAGATCCGAATCCACCTGTTTGAAGAATGTATATTTGGAGGAAGTGAGCTTCTAGATTCAAGGTGCAGCTGTCAAGTTGATTCAACAGATTTAATGATGATCCAGAAGTGATATACAAAGGAAGCTCAATTCTGCAAGTATTATAAGCTATGCCAGTGGCCGCATACAGGGACGACTTGGCGAACCCAGCACCCACCTGCAGCTCTTCGTTGGTATATAGCCCCGGCACCTCTCCCCCGCTCAATACGCTATTGACCACCTCCAAAAAAGCGGGCTGCGCCAGGTGTTGGTCTTCCAAAAGCAGGCACGTCTTCTTGCCCTCGACTCCGGCGGCGGCTAGAAGCGTCTTGAGCTCGGCTTTGAAAGCTTTGAGGTCGTATGAGCGCGAGAGGGAGGGGGAGACGAGGTCCATGTGGTGCATGTATGCCACCTGGCAGTAGTAAAGCACTGTTGGTCGGGCTTCCAATAAAAGTTTTGGGCTTAAGCTCGGCTTTACACTTTGAGATCGTATGAGCGCGAGAGGAGGGCAGACAAGTTCCATGCGATGCATGTAATCTACCTGCCAAATGACAAAAAGCGATATATCAAGACGCAAGAAGATCATCGAAAGTAGCATTGACTTCTTTTGTTTTGTTGCGGGGATTGAAGGACCAAGATCTCATTGGTCTGCGAAAAATAGCTGCCAGTCTTTCGTAGACGCAACAGCCTAGAAATATGTTGAGTGACCGCCAACCATAGCTCCGTAAGCCAAACCCTTTCCAAGAAGGCTGTCACTGGACGAATCAGAGGGAAAAAGGGAAGCGTCGCTAACAAGAAGTAGACTCCCTTTTCCCATGCCTTGTGCAGCAGACAATTCAGCATCTAATCGGTCCAAATGTGTTATTTAATTGTCGAAGCCTATGAAGCTCTCACCAGCCTGGTGCAGCTTCGACGGCCGACGCCGCTCCTGCCCAGAAGAAGCAGGCTGCCCCCCGGACGGGTGAGAATGCGCTCCATGGCCGCAATCCGCTCTAGCGTCTCGGGGAAGAGGAAAATGTTGAGAGTCTGGAATTCTCTCTCGAAGGCGGCCAGCTTGTCTTGAACCAGCTTGTGATAGTCGCCGGCTGGCATGCGAGAGAGCTGTAAGAAAGTTGTGAAGGTTCAGGGTTACAGAACCTTGAGCGTTTGAAAGGATCTACGCAGGCGAGGGAGCCGCAGATCGAGCCTTATCGCTAATGGAGATCAAAGGGATGATCAAAACAAACTTCTTCTTGAAGCTTTGACCTCTTGGTTACTTGCCCGGGAGCCTAGCAGCATGTGCTCCAATCCGATATTCCTGGAGAAACAACGGTGATTGGATTTTCAAAGATGACAGAGCTGTGGTTCACTATACCTGGTACTGACGCGATGTAGCTTCTTTGAACCTTACAACCTAGCGAACTCTCCAACTATTCTGTCGCCTCTATGAAAACCCAGAAGTGTGGAGAGGATCAATCTCCATTTAAGCGCATCTCGCAAGACGTGATTGTACAATGCCACGTAATTTCGGTGCTTTCTCGTTTCCCTGCCCGCAGAACAATCCGAGTCAAAGAAGATTAATCTCCAACAAAGACCAAGCAGCCAAAGAGACCGATGGAAGTGTACGTTCATAGGCCCCAAGTTGTATGCACTCTGAAACTCACCGCCGAGCCGACGCGAGCAGACTGCCGCGCGTCTCCCGCACCCCCCCATACCGAGTACACGCTTTCAGCCTTCTCGGCACCCCCCCGCCACGTGGCCTTGAAGGTTCCCGCCAAGATCCGCTCGAAATCCGCCCGCGGTTCCGGTCCCACGAGTCGATCGCTGAAGATTCTGGTGGCCTCGTGGAGCAGAACGGACGGGACGTCCTCGGAACGGAGGTCGTACCGGCGCAGGCTCTGCACCCACTCCGTCACGCTGCGGGAGAGGGTGATGACGTCAGGCTGCGTCACCTTACGGAACCGGCAATTGTAGCTCAAGAATAATTGCGACTTAATCAGAGTGTGTGAGTACAAGTTGCCTGAAGAGGGTTTCCGATAAGGAAGCGTTATTGCAACTTCTTCAGAATCCGGTGATTTTCTCATGATCACAGTCGACATCCTTCATGCTTGCACGTCATCAAGCATTTTTAAGCAACACTGATCAAGGGAGCAATCTTCAACCTTGTCCACAACAAGCGGTATGTCAAGGTATTTTAACGTGTGATCCGCACGCATAATGATATTGTAACTCCAAGAAAGAAGCAATCCAAGTACTGAACTCACCGTCGTGGCGTGAACAAGTAGTGCTTCTCCCGTTCCACCGAAAACGCCTCCTGAACGCTCTGATACACCTCCAGCATACTTGCCGCCAGTTTCCTGACCGTCGACTCGCTGCCCCAGGTCGGGTGCCCGGGCGCCACGTCACGGATGATGTCAGCGAGCATGGCGGAGTAGACCGCCTCCAGCTGCGCTCTTGGGGGGGCTTCGAGGGACGCGACTCGGACGATCGAGGTAAAGCGGGAGGAGAGGGGGTGGCGGCCGGCGGAAGAAAGCGGGTTCATTGTCGCGACAATCTGCAGGAGAAGTAATCTGTGGATCTGATAGGCTGTCTAGTGGGAATCACGTAAGCTTGCAGTAAGCTTTTTCTAAACACGCTTGGAAGTCAAACATGCGTGAATTGCACGATTGAGGTAAAGCGGAAGGAGACGGTGTGGTGACCAGAGGAAGAGACTGGGTCTATCGAGCAAACAAGCTGCATAAGCAGAGAACATTATACTCAAGAGCCATGCAGGGCTTATACAACTCCTCTTTACAGCACATGAGACGGATGAAGTGAATCTGGGTCAGCAGCATCCAGGAAAGCATCCACGGAAAAGTCGATGCACAATATACTAGAAAGTTTTTTTGGTGGACAAGCGCAGGAAACAAGTGGGCTCGTCTTGACGCAGAAGGCACGTTACCGTGCAAAGGCTATAAACGCTGTTGTACAGGGCACTAGATTTCTCTTAGTACGAGGGAAGTGTGGTTGAAAGTAGCGCAGTACTGAGTGTCAATGGATATAGAATAGTGAACTAGTTTCCTGAACGCCGCTGAAAAAGTCGATTAAGCAGCTCACCTGTATCCGCTCCAGCCCGATGAACTCGAGCGCCTCGTTGTAAAATCCTTTGGCCGTGATCAGCTGCTGCAAGAACTGCACCAGCTGCGTGGTGTCATACTTGTCCGGCTTGGGCAGGTTCAGGTCCTTTAACACCAGAATTAACCGCTCGCTTTCCCGGGGCCGTAAGACTCTGCCTGCGGCCGTCGTTACCGGGTTACCGCACATCTGAACCAACTTTTGAACCACGTGGCTAGCGTTGGTTTGCGCGCTGCAATGAATGGTAGAGACGGCGGTAGACTTGAGCTGTGCCAAGCAGAAGTCTAGCAGAGTGGTTTTTCCCGCCCCTTCGGGCCCGCTTAACAACACCGGTTGACCCGCCTCTAACCAGGGGATTAGCGTGGCCGCCCCCTGCCGGATGTGCTCGGTTAGTGTAACCCTAACCCCTGTGATAAGAGATTCCCCGGTGTCAAGAAGCGCTCGGTCTGGCGCACTGGCGATGCTTGACACGCTCTCTCCCGACAGGTTTGCGAGCTGCTCAAGTAACTGGGCGCGCGACTGCGGTTCTAGGTTAGCACCTAAACCCCGCGCTAACCCCCGCAGAAACTCGTGTCTTCCAGTTAGTGACTCCGCAGTTAGGTGCGAAAGGGCCGTGTGAATAGTCCCCACTTGGGTAGTCTCGACAGCGGCCCTGCGGGTGAAAACCCACTGTAGAGCGGGGTGCAGGTAGTCGTCGACTAAGCGGGTGACCTCATCTCTGACGTCATCCGGCTGCAAGGAGGAAACGAAACCTTGAGGAAGGCCACTGGCTCGCGCATCCACATAGAAAAGTAGCCTTCTGCTCCAGGTCTGTCGAAGTGTGTATACAAGGATGTTCCCGACATGTAGTGTACAGACGCTTAGAACGAGAATCACAGATCGGTATGAAGGTTCGAAATCTGCAAGCAAGTTGTTCTGAAAGACCAGCGCAGCTTGACAAGGAAACTCTGACTGAATCCTAATCCAAGCGTTCTGCCGAACAGGCAGAGCAAAACAGTCTAGGCTTCACAGGCAGGTACAAAAAGCCGCAGGACTCTGATGCATGACAGCATCTATTATGCAGCAAAAGCGGAAGATGTCTGAGAAAAATGGAACTTAAGAGCATGTTCAGTGCAGCAAACTGGAATAGTAAAGGTAGTTGCGCGCGCGCACTCACCAGGCCAGCCAACCACGGCCGTACGATCAGCCCAGCGTCCAGATTATCACCGGACAGGAAGATCATGCCCGTCCGAGAAACCGTTGCGGGGGAAGCGAACTTCAGATCTTGGCACTCGAAGATGAAGTTGACGTTTGGGCCGAACTGTATGCGCTCTCCGCTGGGCAGGGTTAGCAGGTGGTTATCGTCTAACACCGAGTTAAGGGACTCGATCCACTCTGGGTCCACGTCGCCGTCGCACACGATCCAGCTGTGCTGCTCTGCAGGTTCCCGGACAACCTGCGAAAATAGTTCGAGATTGGTTAAGGTTGCCAGAAAGTGGTTACGGTATTGAGCAAAGTTTTGTTGAAGCAGGTAATGATTGTTATCACACCTCTTTAGGAAACCCGGTCCATTTTGCCCGTTGCACATAATCTAGCTGCGCTGCTCCGCGTACGCACAACTGATGAACGGAAAGGTAAGGATCCGGTTCTGGTGGTGAAACTCATCGTGTAGGATCAGTGTTGGAGGTCTGGTGGGATCCTGCTTTGAAAATAAATTGCGGCTTGGGCGCGGTCTGAATAAGCTGGTGTAACTAGGTGCATACTGGGCGACTCTATTCGAGCCTTTCAAAAGCAACTGAGAATAGTCGGGGACCTGATTTTGCCGATGGTGTGGATCCGAAGTACCACCGTGTTTAAGTAGATGCGCGTTTGCTGGTTACAAAGACGGCTACCGAATTGCAAAACCCTCCCCCAGCCCTTTCTCACCCTCTCCAGCCACTAAAAAGCAAGGCAAGGCAGAAAGCTTGTAGAGGGAGACAAGACGAATCATAATGCCGCAGCCGCTCTGAGCACGCGCATGATCAGTGTCAGAAGGCCCTCTTCGAAAGTTAGAAGACAAGAAAGCCCGCGACCAAGAATCCACCTGACGCGCCGCTGACGTCAGCACCCCGTCGAACCACTCGCGCGTGTCCATGTCCATGTGCCCCAGCAGCTGCTGCCGGGGAATGGCCTTGGGGTTCATCACGTGGAGCTTCACCGGCGGAGTTCCGGCCGTTCCGTTCACCAGACGGAGCGCGCCCTCTAGTATGCGCCAAAGCGTCGTCTGTGACATGAGTGCAAAAATGTCAAATGTGAGCATCCACTTTTGCAGAGAAACGAGCGAGTTAGTTGCCTCGGAACCGGAAGATGCTAATGTGAGCCAGGCGGGAAGTGTCAACCAGCTGCACTGCCGGTGAGTTGTGGATCCAGATAAATCCGCCCCGCGGACTGAGCGGATGGACGGTATGAACGAAATGGACGGAGCACGAATCGAGAAATTTGCACTTTTCATAAGCCCCGCGCACTAAGCGGATAACCTTGTGGAGAACTGATTGCAAGGTTTCCGGGAACTTTGCTGCATAATTTGCCTCCACATCTTCAATGGATTTTCGCTGCCTCACTTGCTGTTAGGATGATACGGTTTGTCCTTATGTAAGCTCGCACGAGCATATGTTGCTCAAGCAGGATTCATCTGGCCTTTGACAAGCCGCAGCTTTCATACAGATTAAACCACGTCAGCTTCAGTCACAGTCATTTGTAACGCTCGGGTGAGCTAAGGGCGGAGCGTTACCTTCCCCGTGCCGGAAGGCCCCACGACGATCACACCGATGCGCTGTTTGCACGCCACGTGGAGCTGCAGCACCTTCTCGACCTGCGCGCGCACCGCCTCCAGCTTCATCTCGCGACACGTGGCAGCGATGGCGGCCTCCAGTTCCGCGTCGCTGACGTCACTCACGCTGACGCCTGGGAAGACGTCAGCAACCAGATCGACGAAGCGACGGGTGTCGGCGAAGGCGAGCTTTGGGAGGGTGGTCACGCGGAGGGAGCGGACGATCAGCTTAGCCTCTTGGGCTGGGGGAATCTATGAAAAAAACATGGAGAATAAGTTTATGAGCAGCAGAGGGTTTTTGAGTTTGTGAAGTTTGGCTGCTGGGGGATGCTATCCGTGCTTGAAGGGGTTTGGATAACAGCTCGGCTTCCAGATATGGGTGCACGATTGAGCCTGCCTAAAGTGTTGGGAACCGGGATTGCTGGCTCTTCAGAGCCAGTAATTTATACGCCTTCAGTCTGGGAATCTGCAAAGATATCTTCGAAGAACAGTCAATCAAGCTGCACTTTCCTACTCGCCGCCTTACAGAGCTCCTCTCATTCGTGATGAGGAAACAGAGACCTCCTCAAACCTGAGGCTATTGTGGGGCGTGTGCTTCTACTCTCACAATCTCAGAAGTTTCAATTATCTCACAGCTCGAAGCAAAAGGCGTTTGAATGAACCCCTCACCTCATCCCCCTTCCCTTTGGCATGATGCAGCAGCTGACCCGCTGTTCCGAGGACCGTTTTAAGAGCGCGCAGGCCCCAATCGTAGTGCTGTTGGCGCGACAGGAGCTGCCGACCCAGGGAGAAAAGAGCGACCAACTTGCGGCCGAGGGTCTTGGCGTCCTGGAATCCCTCCGATATGAGGTTCACCTGTGAGAGGACACAAAATGATTCCTGTAAAGGAAATGCAACTTTGAGACTGCAAAGCATGGATGATCGAACCAGAGAGAAGAGCGCCATTAGCTTCGGCCCAGCGATTTGGCGTCCTGAAACACGTTCCGAGGTCAAAGTCACCTGTAGAGGGGAAAACTTCATTCGAGTTTGACAAGATGGATGCTACCAAGACTGTAACTGATGGTTGACTAAACATCCTGAAGTATTTTGCACTGTCTGAAAGCCGGTCTCTGGAACGGGGAATGCGCTTGAGGATCTTAAGAGGTTACTTTTGTGAGCGCAGATAGAGACGTAGTTGTATCTTGAATTCCAGATCTCGACATGAAGTTGCCCGTGGTCGGAAAAGCTCTTTCAAGCTTGACAGCAAACCTCGAACTCAACGCATCTGAACGGTGTTCGATGTTTTACAACAGACCACTGCTTAATCTGGAAACGCAGTGGCTTACTTCCGCGATCAGCTCGTTGTCCGGAACCGTCATAGCGACGGAACGGAACAGCGCCTTCAGGTTGTCGGGCAGCTTGGACCGTCCGCCGTAGCCCTTTCCGGCGGGGTTCAGCGTCACGAAGATTCCGGCGTTCCGGTCCACGCTGATGCTCTGCCCCAGGAACTCCACGGTCTTCGCTCCTTCCTTCAGAGCGGCCTGGGAAACAGATCAAGTGTTGAGGATTCACATTGAATGAAACTTCATCCCAACCACTCAGGTTACGGAAGAAAGTGAAAAGAAAGCGGGAACAGCCAAGCTAGGCTCCGTCACCATGTAGAAGCGACAACTTCCGATTCTAACGTTCAGTGATATGTTCGGAACAATCATCCTTGCCCGGAAGTCGATTCCATTCCCAACTTACCACGAATTCTTCTGTCGTAATTGGGAGCGAACTTTGGACAGCGCAATCACTATCTTGAAGCAGGCTCATCCACTCAACTGGTCAATTATAACACGGTCAGCCCACCTGAATCGTTTGGATCTGAAGGAGACGGCAGACAGCACGTCTTCTTCCGGCCGCTTAAACTCCTCTCACTAATGTGACTTTTCAGCCCCCCATGCATCCAACTTGACAACACCGCCAGAAGCGAATGCGCAAAATCAATCGCTCTATGAAAAACTTAGCCCACCTGAATCGTGTAGATTTGCTGCAAGACGGCAGAGAGGGCGTCTTCCTCCAGCCGGTTAAACACGCATTACCAACCTTCCCCCGCATTCAAAGCGTCAAAACATAACAGAGTGGAAGTGTCGCAAAGTAGTCGGTTCGTAAGTTGTAAGCCCACCTGAATTGTTTGGATCTGCTGCGAAACCGCCGAGAGCACGTCCTCCTCCAGCCGGTTGAACTCGTCGAAGCAGCCCCAGGCGCCGCACTTGACGAGCCCCGTGAAGATGCGGCCCATGCTGCGGAAGTCAAACTGCTCGTCGCAGTTGAACACCAGCACCTGGCAAAGAAACGAAATAGAAAAGTCTGAAACCTCTCGTGGCTAAAAGAGGTTGGCGATTCAGCAGAAGCAGGACAATAACTTGCACAAAGTGACCGGTAATTTCCGCCAAAACTCGAACTCCGGATGGGACAGGACACCAGCACCTGGCGTAGGGCGCCGAGCGACAGAGAGTTTGGAACTGCCTGCTTCTCGTCTGCAAGCGCTGACGCACGGCGTTTTTCAGATGATGGGAAAGCTGGCGAAGATGTAGCTGTCCAAAAGGCGCATCTTGATCTGGGCAGTACGTGAGTAATATTTCTGGCGAGGACAGGCTTTCATAGGTAGTTCCCCTTCCTGCTTCGACCATAGATCTCAAATCTTTACCAAATGATAAAGCACCCACGTTCCGTTTACGCTGTAAAGATGCACCCCTTGTCAACAAGTGCGAAAGGGACGTTGAGATCAGCATCCCTCCTTTCTACCCCTCTCGATTGTGTCAGCTTGTCAAACAAGGGGGCGCTCTCAACAAATTGCGGATCCGCGAACCGTATCATTTCGAAAGCAAAAGACCGTGTTTTCTCACCTGGCGCCCCAGAAACTGCCCCAGCGCTTTCACAGACTCCGTCTTCCCGGTCCCCGCCGGACCGTACGGGTTACCCCCGTAACCCAGGTGCATACCCTGGGTTAGCGTCAGGTAACACTTGTCCGAAAGCGGTGTGTACACCAGCTTCGGAGCGTTTCCCTGGTACTCAAAAGAGTACTCAAACTCGGACTCGGCCATTCGGACCACAGCCCCGCCCGGAGTTTCGGACCGGTTAACTTTGGCGTCCGAATTTTGCGACCGGTAGAAGCGGAGCTGGCGCTGCCAAGCCCAATCGTCGGGGCTAGCGGCTTTTGCGTCGATGAGTTGTTCCAGCACGTCGACGTTGTGGATAAGGTCCAAGATGAGCGCCTGGAGAAAGACGGGTGAAGAATGGGTTAAGAATGGGTTGATAATGAGCAAAGAACGGGTTAGAATGGGTTAAGAGTCTGATTGAGGGTTAGAGATTCAAGATAACTCCATTCGCAGCGGATCAAGGACACTACGCCGAAAGAAGAAGGACTGAGCTTCACCTGAGTCTCCAAGAAAGAGCAGAGACCCCTCTCCAGCTTATGGGGCATCGGAGGGTAGAGAAGTTGGAAACCAACCTCCTTGCAACAATACGCTTCTTTGAAAGTACTGTAATGTGACGGTATTCTCGCTTGCAAACCAGACCTCTGCTTCGGCATCAGGGCTGCCCCAATCCTTGCCATATTCTCTTCCCTGCATCTCTACTGTCCGTGGTACCTTATCTTCGATATAGTTGACGATGTTCTCTTGCTCCAAATCTGTACCAGCAAATCAGAAGAACAAAAACCAGCTTCTTGGGACCAACGTCAAAAGGTTCACCTTGATCTTCAGTTGCAGCACGTGCTGCCCCTCCATGTCGACGCTCGTATACTCCTTCAGCTGCTGTTTTTGCTCCGCTACTAGTTCCTTTAGTGCCGCTGCGGTCTGCGAGCCGCCCCGCTGGAGCGCGGCCTCGCAGCGCTGCGTGAAGTCGATCTGGTCCGCCAGACACAGAATCTGCAAGGTGGAGTTTCGCGAAACGTGAGACGTCGTATGCAAAACGTTGCGTAAGCAAAAACAAAACAGCAATATGGCTGCTGCTTCCGAACAGCAAATCCTTACGTCCCTGCCTTACTTGGTTATTATTCTGCAGAGATCTCTTACTTCGATTCATACCCTTTCGATGCTCGAAGAATTTAAGAGCAGACAGGACACGCCGATAGTGGCAATGAAGAAAGAGGCCGACTGCAAGAAGCTTTATACAGAAAGGCTCCAGCGTCGCCTTGATTCTCCCTGACGTTCATTCCGAGTAGAAAGTAAAATGAAGCATTTGAGCAGGTTTGACCGGACACTTTCTGATACGAAAGAAATGCACCGAAAACCGACGGACATAAAGAAAGCGACTCATATTGGCATAAGCCTGGAACATCTATAAGGACAACAGGCAAGCAAAGAATGAGCAGAAGAAGTTACCTGCATCGGAAACTTGTTGTAGTCCTTCGTTTCCAGGCACCTCGCCAGCATGTCTTTCAGCGTAAGCTTCATCCCAGTCGCCAGATCGCTCAACCAGTCCTCCACCCGGTCGCTGATAACCACTGGGTTAACGAGGCTAACCACCTCCCCGTCCACGCTCTTCATCGCTACTATACTCTGGTTGTTAACCCCAAATTCAACCGAGTGGATGCCCGCGAAGAGCTTCTTCAGATGTGCCTGGATAACCGTCGGGTTTTTGGCTTGACCCAGAATCTCAAGCATGTCGTCATCCCCAATGAAGTAAAACCGGGGAAAGTGGGACCGCTTCTCTTCCAAGAAGTCCGAGAGCGCCTTCTGGCAGATGTCTAACTGGGCCGACAACCTGGGCAAGTTGTCTCTTAATCTGGGAACGTCAGCAAATGACGTCACCAGGGTGTCCGCTGCGATCCCGCCCATAAGCTGGCGGAACTCCTCGTCGACCCGCCGGAACCGGGCCTGCTCCTGCGGAAGCGCTCCCCTCGCGAAAATGGGCTCCAGGTAAACCCACTTTCTTTGGATGCCGTTTAGCTGCTGCAAACCCTCGGTTAGTGCGCCTAAGCGCCGCTCCCACGTGCTGGTCTCGTCCTTGAACGGCGCGAAAAAGGGCGACTCTTTTAGAGACTGGACCAGACTCTGGTGGTCGCCCACTTCCGTCATGACGTCTTTCCACTCCTTTATCAGGGCACACGGTTTGCCTGACTCGTACTTGATCAACGTAAACCGTCTCTCTAACCCCCAAACTTTGAGCACGTTTAACGAGTCTCGGAGGACGACTTCTCCCTGCGCTTGCGCATGGAGTGCTTTCAGCTCGTCGCCCCTTGACACCATCGCGTCCGCGCGGGCCAGAAAGTGGCCCAGTGTCAAGTCGTCGAACTTCACTTCCGCCCGTCCATTTTCCGTCATCCCCAGCAGAGCGGAAATTTCCGCCCACTTGATGTCCTCCCTGACAAACCGCAAGAACGGCAAGCACTTCCGGTACCGTTCCGTCTCCTGGAGGATCAGGACGGAAACCGGGTCATTCTTAACCGAGCCCTTAACCGCTTCCGCCCACTTCAACAAGAACTCCTCCACCAGATGCAGCTTCCCTCGCACCGTCGTCCACGCCTTTCCGCTCAGCTCTTTCCGTTCCGCGCTGAACGTTCCGTAACGACCCCACGCTTCCTGGGCCGCGAAGACTTCCCCCTTTAGAACCTCCAAAACCCTAAACCCTTCCGGGGTTTCCATCTCAAACGCGCCGCACGCGCTCGCGAACGCGGCCGCCTCCGCCTCGAACTCCTTCACAAACCGCAACGCGTCCTCTATCTTCTGGATGACCGATTCCGCTCCCCCGGCAGGAATTCCGCTCGGCTTGATTTCCGCCCAGCGGGTCGCAAACGCTTCCAACCGCCCACAAAACTCGGAAATGTCCGCTTCAATTTTTGTTTTCAGCTTCTCCTTCTGCTCCGCGAGATGCGCCTCGTGCTGACTTAGCCGCGCCGTGAAGTCGTCCCATTGGCTGAGCAGTGATGACAGGTCCACCGTGGCGGCACGAGGAGGTGACACCTGGCGCAGCAGCCGTAGCTTCTCCTCGCACTTTCGGCGGGTCTCCAGCGCGGCAGGGACCGCCGATACCTGGAAGATGATGAGATTACGAGGAGGTAATAATATCCCTTACAGATCTTGTTGATGGTACGTTGCATTTTCCTACGCATACCGGAAATCGAGCTGTCTATCTCGTAGATTGGAAAGGCTCGGAACCGTTGCAGATGGCTGGCGTCAATCGTGAGGCGATAATTCCCCCTGATGGGAATTGTCAACAGGTGATGCCCTCTCCCCATTAGATGGAACGCAGCCTTGAGATAATCATAAACATGATTTCTTAGTTCTGTAGACAACAGGCTGTGCCCCGACTTTGTAAAAGATGCTAACCAGCTTTGCTAACCCACCAGGTTAAAAGCCTCCTGCCGCGCGCGCCCAATGTCCTCCACGCTCTGCGGCTGCCCCTCCAGCACTTTCCGTCCGTCCGCGATGAATTTCTCCAGTCCGTCCTTGTCCGCGACGGCTTTCCGGCGAAGCGAATTGCACAGCGCCTCGTGGAGACGCTTCATTTGCTCCTCAACCGCGATCTTGGTTGGAATCGTGACGATCGTGTAGCAGTCCACCTTGATTTCAGCCGGGATCGCGTCGCTCTCTTTGGCTTTCATCTGTGCACAAAGAAGAAGTTAGCCCGGGACTCACCCTGGCAAGGTACAATCTCTGAAAACTTTTTGCAGGTTGGTGAGGTTTCTTGCCCTCTACATCTCTCAAGAAGAGGCCCCTATTCCTATGTTTTGAAACCTTGAAGTCGATTTAGAAGCAGCAAAGGGGGTGATCCGTTAAAACTCCAAGTTCCCTAAAGCCTAAACGTCCCAGGCTTTATCTGGTTTGCGTCCCGCTTTATCTGGGTTTTTTCGCCTGTCTCTGCGAAGCCTTCCAAATTTTGAGACTTTCCAGCCTCCAAACCTTCAATCCTCAGATTCTTTCGAGAATGTCGAGAAAATCGAAGTCTTGTACTCTAGACTTTTCAAGCCTAAAGAATTCGAAGTCGACGTATCATTCTTTAGAACTTTGAGCTCCACTGGAAGATAAAGTGTCCTCTGAAATCTTGAAAACCACACCTTGAGGATTCTGAAGTTGAGCTCCCAGTCCGGCACATCGTCCAGGTGCGCATCTACAAATTCCTCCAGGTCGACCGTCCCCAGCGCCACCCACTCGGACAGCTTCTTCTGCTCTTCCGCCAGTTTCTGCAGCAGAACTTCGGCCCTGCAGACGAAAATGGAAACTCTTAGGAGGAGAAGAGACACGTTTGAAGAAGTGCGAAGTATGGCTGCTGGCCACTTTTCAGGGAGGCATTTGAACGGCATACGGGCTGGCAGAGGCTTGAACCCAAACAAAGATGGATTGAATCGGCTGTTTCCTTTGCACCAGAAGCTTGATTCTATTTGGCATGTCGAGAATCCGTGGTATTTTTGATCGTGTATGGCTGACCAGTGGCTCGCCGCAGCTGATTGTCACTGCGACAGCTCTGGAAGAGAATCTGCGGAGAATAGCAAACTACATTTGGCCGCGCCCCAGGCGCTGAAATAAGAAGAAATGAAACTTCTGTTGTTTGCACCTAACCTTCAAAACTATTTGTCTATTGCTAAAGCACCGAGTCGTTCTCCTGTTCAGCCGCTCCTCGGACCCGTCATTCGCATCCAGTGTTATCAGAATGGTGTCTGAATCAGTCTACGCAGATATTCAAGAGGCAAGCTAGAATAAGAAAGGTGAGAGATCTACGGACATGCCTTCGTGAAACTTCGACAAGGTCCTCTGACAAAAACTGGGGTTGAAGGGTCACCTTTCGTATACGTTCGCGAGCGCCAGCACGAGGCTCTCGTCCTTCATCATGTGCCGAAAGATGGTGCTGTCGCCGACGCCCTTAAACTGCTGCGGGATGCTGTATCGTGGCGATACAGAGTGTCTTTATCATACGGGAAAGCGGAAGGAAGCTCTTAATAGCAAAGCCTGAGACTCGAGAATATTGACTGGAAGATCTCGCAGGTATAACTCTGTCATGAGGGACGCGTGAACCGAGCGCCGGCTTTTTGAATGACCTACTAAGGCCGCCCAGAATCCGCATGCTCAAGAAGCGTTTACTTCATGATCCATCATAGAGAGAAAGGTTTGCGACATTCGGACACACTTACTTCCATATTCAGCGTCGCAAACTGCACATACCTCCCATTCCACAATGATTCTCGACTCGCCAGCCTAAACCAACTAGAGTTGGGACTGCCTAAACTATGAATAGCAGCGACAGGTGATCTGGACGCTGGCTTACTTGAGGAACTTTTGGATCTCCCGGAAGTGCGCCTGTCGAATCTCCTCAAAACCCGGTTCAAACTGCAGCTTCTTCTGCTTGAACACCAGCTTCACGGTCGTGGGCGGCAGGTTCTCGTTCAGGCTTTGCAAGCCCTTGCGGTACTGGTATTGGAGCGCCTTGTAAAGCTGCACGATGAAAAAAGTGGAGTGAGATTTCGCTACTAGGGGACTTGAATGTGGGTCGCGTGTCTGGCGGTAACCCCTGCAGCGCCAAAAGCAACGAGCGAAAACTGGTAGGTACCGTTTATAAGAACAAGGAGAAGCGTCAATCAAACAAAAACCAAAGTGAATTCTTTCCGCAAAATTGCAAAGAAAATTCAAACAGCCTGTCCGACTCGGCGGTTCCCTGTCCGATCATCTTGTCCTTTCCACCTTTGTCAAATGAAACGCTTCTCTACTCATTTCCAACTCATTCTACTTTCGGTCCTCAGTTGCGCTGACTTCGGTTATCATCATCTGAGGTCAGGTTTCTGTCCCTGTGGGCGAACCTTCGCCGTCTCACCTGGTGGTCCCAGTGCGCGCGCCAGTCGCGCGTCACGGCCACCCCCTGTTTCTCCAGCCCGTCGAAAACCGCGCGCAGATCGCGCACGCCTTCCTTCCACCGGTCCCGCTGGCGAACTAGATCGACGGCCGTGAGCGCGCCAACTTTCTCGCCCAGCTGCGTGTGCTTTTTACGCAGCTTGCGGTTCTTCTCGGTCAGGTTCATGGCCACTTCTTGAAGCCGGGTGATGTAATCCTGCGGAGTGATCACTTGCTTGATGATTTGCATGGACTTACAGCTCGGAGACTCTCTGCTTTTTCGTATAGTACTGCCTCTTCGGTTGCAAATTTCTGATATAGAGCACGATATGTATCGATGAAGGCGACGTTTATCTCCGAAACATGGCCGGTTATCGGATTTACCAGCCCGTCGCGCGGGTTCTTGAGCACCTGCTCGAACCGCAGCGCGTCTTCCGGCATGCCCTTCTGTCAGTGCTCCGTCTTCTTACAATCTCAAAACCCATAACACCATAAAAATGGAAGAGTACCCAAGCATTCCTCACCTGCAAAGCCGGTGCGTTGTTCCACGTGATAGGGTTCCCCAGCCCATCTCGCGGGTTCTTGAGCACCTGCTCGAATCGCAGCGCGTCGTCCAGCATCATCCCCTTCTGGCTGGGCACCATTTGCGTCCCGATCTCGTTGTAGAAGTTGGCCACCTGCTGCAGCACCACGCCGTGCCGGCTGAATCGCCGCGCCGTCTCCGCCGCCTTGCTGACGTCAGCCTGCGCGGAAGCGTGAAGAATGACGTCAGCGTGCGCGCGAAGAGTATCTTAAGACGCAGGGGGATGCGTCTATCCTTCGTCATCGTTGGCTTGAGTTGCCGCAAGGTGTTACACTGGAAATACCAGTTCAAAAGCTGTGAAGTCAAATCAATCGTCTCTCATGAGGATCCGAAGTATTCTGGAGCTACATTTAGCCGGCATTCATGCGCTCCTTCGAAAACGCAGCGGGTGCACACTTCAGATGGATCTTGAAGGACTTCAGGAAGGGGCATCTGACGTCGATAACAGGCCGCTCTTACCTTGATTTGGAACCCCAGTGATGACAATGCGCGCACTTCCTGGACCAGCTTCACCAGATCGTCGGTGAAATGTACCTGAAAAGATATGAGACCAGTCACAAACCTGCTTGGAAGGCCCTGAAAGACAACTTCTGGATGTATATTTTAGCGCGCTTACTTCGGACCTTGTCTCGCAATCGGCTTGCAATACGAGCACGGCAGAAGAATCTCGGCGGGAAACTCAATACTCGCTTGCCCAATCTGCCTGCATGGGTCTGGACAAACCAAGGATAACATCCTCGCAACGAGGCAGACCACCGGACAGGTAAGTGGAAACACTCGTAAGATACTATATCATGCAGATTGCTCGTTTCATTTTCCTGAAAAGCGGAGGCGCCAGCCTGACCTCCACGTGTCTATCTTTGGGGTCCAGGTTCATGAGCCAAGCGCAAAGCCTGACGGGGACGTTTCTGTCTTTCGTGGAGATCTTCTAGTCTATGTCGATAGTGCGTGCGCACAACTCACCTCCACGTGTCCGTCTTTGGCGTCCAGGTCCATGAGCCTGCCGGACGCCTCCAGGGCCATGTCCGGAAGCTTGTCCCGCGTGTCCGCATCCCACTGCTTGAATTGGGCCTTCTTGTACTCGATGACGTCACGGCGTAGGTCGCTGCCGTCAGATGAAACGGTAAGATGAGTCCGGAGTGCTTTCAACACGTAAAGCACGTCTAGATTGCCAAGGTGAGCTAACTTACAGGTTCGGCCCGTTTTGGCTGCCTGATTGCGCAGGGCCAGTCTTTTGGCTCGCGCGATACGAAGGCGATGGCTTGATTATACAGTCTATTTCAAATGTCATTTCAAACGTCCGGTTCTGGTGAGAGATCATAAAGCACGTCAAGCGCGCATCCGCCTGGAAAAGATCAAACCCGGAGCCAATACGTCGAAGCCCAACGATCTCGAATGTAGGCGAGTCACCTTGCTCTTTCTCATCGAGCCAAGAAACGGGTTCTCACCTCAACTTCTCAGACGCATCAGTCGATCCACCGGCCGACCGACCCGCATCCACCCCAGAAAACAAGGCAAACGTATTCATAAGCTCGTCGACCTGCACATCAAGGAAATCCTGATTTGAAACCCCTCGCTTTCGTCTCCGGGACTTTCACCACATTTTCACAGCGCTTTCCGCCCAGAACAGGCTGAATGGGCACACTCATACAGCTTCCATTCACTACTTGAGAACAGTCTCTAGTGCTTAGGAGAACAGGAAACTTGGCAACTTTCGCCACAATTTCTCGCGCGGAATGAATATGGAGTGAGCTGAAGCGCCCACTTCAGACATAATAGCATATGACTACCTTTCAGAATAGTTGAAATGATTCTCACCTTGGCTTCCATTTGCACCGCCCACGAGATGGACGAGAGTGCATCTGACGAGTCGTGCCCGGCCGAGTGGTCGTCGAACTCGTTCCGGAGCAAACCCAAGTATCTGCCAAAGGCGGAGAAAGGCGTTTGTTTCTCCTAACCTTCTTGAGCTCGTTTCGCATGGCTGAAGAACGGTGGCCACGAGGAATCCACAAACTCCGCTCAGAGGCATGCTCGGTGCTTTAAAGAGGGCGTGGCGATACGAAAAAATCGCAGCGACAATAAGAGTGAGAGTGCTGGTACTTGGAAGCTAAGATGGTACCACGTGGTCACCGGCTAATGTCATTTCTTGGCGACAATCGACCTGATACTCTGGGATGTATGTCGCTCTTGACGTCACTGCGGATGCATCCGCCAAAGCCCTCTTTAAGCGATGCGGAAAATAATGATGGTGAGGCGAATGCAGATCGGGCGCATCTATGGACAGACTGGCGCCACGAGTCCTACAATTGCTACACTAATCTAATCACTAAAAGAAACGACGGAGAATCACTCTGCTTTCACAAAAGAAGCAACTACACCATTTGCTTTGCTACTGAGGGTCCCAGCCTAGAGATTGGAAGAAATGGACAGGAAGAAGAGAAGAGCAAATTAGTTAGTACTTTTCTTTACCTAAAAAGCAGGGCGCTGATACTTTGCTTCTCGTTGCTAAGTGCTTCCGAGATGATGGGTCGCGCCAGAAGCTCCCCGTATCGCCTCAGCTGCTGAAAGACCTGCTTGAGAAGGAAGACTTGATTGAATCAAGCCCGTAGCACTTTGGTGCACGAGATTCGTTTACCTCGACCGGTAGCTTTACCAGCTAAAAAGGTTTTACTCAAGTAGTCATATGACAGGAGAAGCGAACGCGGCCCAGCGCAAGGGTTCTTAAATGATTGAATTCACACGTCAAAAGCGCTAAGCTATATGGAGGGGACGGTAGTTCAGAAGCCCAGTCCAGAGATAACGATGTCAAAGACACCGGTAGGTGATGTATCACACCAAAAGCCGCTTTGAAATAATTCCTTACAAGTCTTTCGTCTTACCTGCGACGGTTGCGCCAACCCGTTACCGTCCTCGGCCCCCTGCCCCGACACCGCGGCAGTCAGCGCCGGCACAAGCGTCACACCAAACGTTTCCCTCAGCTTCTCCGCTATGCGCGTCTCAATTGGTGCAATCCGCGCGTGGTGTTCCGACACGGCGGCTTTCCACCGGGCCTCGTTGTAGGCGCTGCAGTCTAGCACTTGGACGGTGCGAAACGGCTCGAAGCAGCGGGCCGCGGTGAGAAAGTGGGCCTCGTCGGATGAGAGGAGCAGAATGAGCTCCTCGTGCACCTGCAGAAAAAGTGAGCGCGGTTGTAAATACGGGGCCTTTCTGAGGATACCGTCTACGAGGTTCTATCGATACTTCATTCATCACAAAACAGAGAAGTATCCACAATTCGGGCAGAGTGGAGGTGCCTTTAAGATACAAAGGCGACGCTAGCTCTTCGTTGTGTTCTGCAGACAGCGTCCGTTTCGCTGGCAGAACTGATCAACCTCAGCGTCATTGAAGTCTTCGCAATACCCTAGATGCTTTGAACAGCGGCAACAGTTGAACAGTATTAGTGACAAGGATTCTGGCACAGTAAGGCTACTTACGAGGTCATCAAGCCCTTTTACGAACGGATAATCGACCTAAAGACAGCTTGATTGCGCAACCTTACCTCCCGTATTTTGAGAATCTCGTCAATCCGCACCCGCAGCGCAGCCAGTCCCTTGTGATAGAACGGCTCTCCCGCCCAAACGTTACCCCCTCGCGACGGCCACGCCAACTTCGTCAGCTCCAGCGTGTCCCTCTCCCACGTGGCAATCAGCCGAAGTGCCCACGTCATCACCCGCTCTACCTCGCCAACCGCGCCTTGCCACGTGTCAAGCGGCCGCACGCGTTCGACAACCGCTGCCGCGACCGCGTCGCTCAGGAGCGCCAGAAGGTGCGCCATGCGGCGCTGAGGGTAGAGCGGGGTTTCGGGGTTTGGGGACGCGGTCGCGGCCGCGGAGCCACCGAGCTGCCAGACGGCGTCGAGGACTGGGCGCGCAGATTCGACGAGCTCTAGGAGCGCGTCTTCGGAGAGCGTCGAGAGGGACTGTCGATAGAGAAAACGAGGTGCTTGTTAAAAGACCAGGCTTAGTCGCGGCCGCGTTTGTGCTTTCTTTCAGTCGGAGTGCAACATACGCGCTTCATTTCACAGTACGGGCGTGTGCAATCAATCTAATTCTTTTCCAACAAAGCAAGCGGCACGACAAAGCCCCGGAGTCCTAAGCTCTGTCCACACATCTTCAGTCGCAGCCAAAACACTAAACAAAGAATCTGATAATCATCCAGGAAAGACCGGATAACAAAGTGCAAAGTGCAAAGTCAAAAAAGTTGTCAGAGAGTCGCAAACGACACTTACGGAGAAACCCCGACGAAGCGTTTCAAACTCCTGACTGATCCGCGCCGCTGCCGCTTTTAGTCCCGGCTCTAGTTGCTCGTCTGCTGCCAGCTCTTGCCAGACTTGGAACTCGTCGGACGGGGTCAGGATCGCAATAAAGTCCGGACTTGGTGGACCGGTTTCAGATGTGCGCTTGGTGGAAGCGCGGGAGCTGATTCCGGTGACTCCGTTCCGTCGCAGAAGGGTGCCAATCCCGCTCTCCAGCTCCACCAACAAGTCCTGCAACAAATTGAGAGAGCGTGTCTGGCTTTCTTGCTTGTGGATACAGTCTCGTTGCCAAACGGATGGTTTATATTTCAGGAACCACTGTACAGGTAGTCAAACATTTAGCTTACTGCTTTGTGTACATTGATTCTGACAGCCAGTCGATCGTTAGTTGCTTTATTTTCCTGCAGTACTTGAGATGCTTGCTTCTGAGCGTTCAACGCACACAAAGCATGTTCCTACTCCTGCAATCTATCTAATATTTCCCCTTCCACTTCTTGGAAAGTGAACGGAACCCTCACAGAGTAAAGCGCATTATCACGATGGCCAGTACACAGGCCTCTGACAGCGGCCAAATAGCGGACACGCAATACCCGTCGAAATCCGCGGCACAAGAAGGACTCCAAGGCCACCTCAACTTTTGCCAGTTGGGGTCTGGACTCTGTTCGGACCCTGCTCGAGAAAACGTACGAACTTTGACAGTGGTAAAGAAAGACCAGCTGCTAGAAGTGTTCATCGCTCGCCTGCAAATGCTTGTCGCACGCTCCGCTCTTCAGGAGCGGCGCATACACCGTCTTCAAAAGGTGGTGCAAGCTGCTGAGCTGCGGGCTGGACCGGGTCGCCACAACGATTCCGCCCGGAATGTCGTCTACCGACACCACCCCCGGCTTCTCCTTACTGAAGACCACCTGGTAATCGCACCCGGTTGGGAAGTCAACCGAGGCGGAAGTTACGACTCGGAGCTGGCCGTTGGTTTCCTGAAAGAGGGATGGTTAAGTGAGCGGACTACTGTAGTAGCATTCGGCTGGTCAGGGCAATTTCTACCTGATAAAAGCGTAAAGCTTCTGATTTGAGCATGGAGTTGACAGCTTGACGATTGGCGGGTGAAAAATGGAAAATTAGTCGGTCAGGATATGGGATGAGCACTGAGCACTGCCAAACCCCCCTAGACGAAACAGTGTCATTGGATTGGCCAATCGCTTTCTCTTGTGCGGGAATGTGACTCCAACGTAACTCAAAAGCGAAGATAGAAGGTGATGACCGCGTGTGAAGGGATTTACCAAAGAGGGGCAGAATCTGATAGGATCTCAACGAGTGCCTACCTTCCAGGCGCTTGCGGCGACCGTTTGGACCGACGGCTCTTCCAAGAAGCTGCCGATCTGCATGCACGGAGCATTTATTAAGATCAAATCGACATTACCGGCAAGTTATATTTGTGCCGGCACAGTCAGTCGATGATCGAGACGTATTCATGCGCAGTCTTGGTGTGCGTTTAATACCTGTGGCGAGGCTAACACTGTCTGCTCCGCGCATATCGACACAATTGATCCTTCTGGCTTAGGAGGAAGACTCTGGAAACCTGTGGACTATACCGTGTCTTCCATGACCAAGCAAAGCCTGTCAAAATTTGCGCTTCCACTCTATCCTACAAAGCGCAGCATAGAACCACAGTGCACCTTTCTCCTGAGAAAAGGTATGAAATCTGGATCAGGGATCCACTGATAGCAGATTGTGTGCTTAAAAGTGCAATAGTCGATTGGTGGCCGCAAAGAACCCAGACACCCTGCAGCGCTCACCTTGTCATCGTTTGCAAGAGCGGTGTATAAGCGCGCCCTTTGCGGGGCAGGGACCGCCAGGCTGTCAATGATAGTGCTCACGACGAACGCCCTGCGCGGGTCCATGTCGTCACCCACAGGGTGCACGGCTGCGGAGCCTGCCATTCAGGTTACTGTCGCATGGAAGCAGTTACAACCCTGCATCACGATGGGTTCAAATGTCACTTTCTAGTTGCCTGGCAGTGTGACTTGGAGTCCATGGGTCCGTATGCTTTGCTTCGATTGGGATGTCTGTTGCTCAGAAACCCCTTTCCGATGTCTTCTGCTTTGATGAGTGTGGTTTATGTAGCAGAAATGGTGGGATGAAAAGAATGAAAGACTCCCAGGTTGTGGCTTAGTGAGATCAAGCTTCGAAGGCCGTCAGCGGCGAGTACCACAGCTGCAATGACACTATATGAACTCCAGAGTCGAGCCGCACTTTGTTGTGGTTTGTATCCATCCGTGCCACCACCTGGCTTAGACTGCAGCGCAGCTCAGAAGGAGCAAAGACTTATTGACTCCCAGTTGCTGACCGAAAGACTATCTGAAGGGGCAAAACATCTGTGTTGGCAATACGTGTTTGTGGCAACAAGCTGGCCCTGGTCCCTCGTCCTCATATATATGACAATGGAGTGTAGGATTCTAGTATCAATGATCAATGAACGCCACCAGAAATGAAGAAAAGCACAGTGGTCAAAGGGAGGGAACTGGCACAACAAGTAGCTTGAAGAGTGGTTACCTTTTTATGAACCACCACCATAACTCGTCTGCAATCAGTCTTTGTGGCCAAAAGAGCTCACAATTCAGAAGAAAGGCATTCGCTGATGCACTAGTGCGGATTGCAAATGTCCTGGACAGCTGTAGACCCGAACTGGTGCATCTGAGAAAGTAGTGGAAGAAAGATAGAAATATAGCAAACTCAACAGCTTGATTAGTGTGCAATGTGCGTTCAATAGCTCCCCCTTAGATTCAACACCTGTGATTCACATTTGTGCGGGCTTTCATTTGCGTTTACTGTCAACGCACGCCGCGAGCGCGAGGCAACCTTGTGGCGTGCGTTTGCAATTTAAGGTGACTATTGTGGATCCAAAAGGGCCGGAGATTGGCACAAGACCTTACGCTGCGTTCTCCAGTTGAGCTGTGAGGGTGACGTGAGGCTAGTCCTGCCCCAGGTCCTGTGCTCGAACCCTGCTTGCGCAGAGTTTGTCGATCAAGCCCCGGGCATGTCTACCCTCAGGCTAGCAGCAGCAGCCTAGCTCATATAGCTTCCACCTTTCTCAACAAACACCTCCTCCTCGCGTCCATGCCGCTGTGCATCCGCCAAAGCCACCTCTAGTTTTCAGCTGAAGGAGCTCATACGGTGGACAAAGGAGAAGCCATCGAGCAGGCCTGATTGAACTGCTCTGGCTGAACACGAAGCTACACCTCCCAACTGCCGCTAGTGGGAGGTCCCTTTCAAGCACCCCCCTCGACCTTCAATGCGACCGTGCAGCAGAGCAAAGCCCGGCCCAAACCCTGTGGCAGCATACTATTTTAGCCGCGGCCGTCCGCAGGGCTAAGACGCGCGGCCGCAAGATTCAGACCCCGCGACGGAACAACGGACAGCCGCCGGCACAAGTGAATTCGGAACCGACCGATGTACCGGCTCGGGCTGCCTGGTAATGGATTGCATGACGTCTACCATGGCCGGTGAGGAACCCTGGACTGACGGGTCAGCAAGGACAAAATCGCCGGCAGCGATAACGGTTACACGCTCAGACTAGAAATGGTCCGCAAAATTGCATGCATTGTGCCTGAACATCTAGATTCTAGGTATGCAGTGCAATGCAAATTATGTGCAGCTTGACCAGCATTTGACTCAGATCTGCAATGGCCCATCCCGCTACGCCAAAGAAGGGCAACTCGGATCCTCCACTGAGAACGTTCACCCTTGCTTTTGTCTTCCATCTTACTCTGTTCTGCGTTTATCTATACGGCTATCTGTGGCATTTCAGCGACGGCGCAAAGCAACTTCCAGGATCACATGGATTTGGCTGGTTCTACCGAGTGAGGGATCCCTCACTCTTATCATTCACTTGTCAATGTCTGGAACAGCAAAAGCAGGAAGCTTTAAGGAGTTTTCTTTGTGTTCAGGCTTTTGCAGCTACTATAGCACGAAGTGAAGACTTTCCTGACAACATCAGCTGGCGTTAACCTCTAACCAGCTAGAGCGGCCGTCTTCGCTTGCTTGCTAAAACCATCAAAGTAATTTGCAGTACCTCACGTTCTGGGGCTTCTCCATCCAGCTCGTGACTTGGGCCTTTTCTCTGCTGACTCACTTGTTCCCCAGGGTAAGCTTTTGCGCACTACTTCGCTCTTGAATGGCATCCTGAAATGGAGCTCCTGATGAGGTCGATGCGCCTCTAAAGGCTCTGTAAGCCCTTCGACGATCTAGATCTGAGTGGGAGTGCTAGCATCGGACATGAGGGACTCTTAGTATGTGACCATTGCTGTGCATGTCCTCATCCTCAAGACATGGCCAGAACGAACTACAGATCTGAGCACAGCAAATGGAGTTTACCAAGGATATTGAGGCGAGAGACTTTGCACAATAAGGTCGAGGTTCAAGAAGGCTGGCCCTTCCAGGTTTCTATTCTGTTGCAGTTCACACTTGAATCCTTGAAAGGCTCAACAATGGCCTAACAGACCTCTAAGCCATCCAGTTCAGACTTTGGATTGAGAACGCTCTTCTTCTTGTTTGTAAACAGTTTGTTCATGCTGATGACGCCCTCTAGGCTTTTTCACTTACCATCTCGAATGTTTCTTCCCACGCTGTGTGTTTCTTCTGCGTCCTTCCTCTGCTCACAGTCTCAGCTTTCCATCCCAATCCGTCATCTCTTCTCTTTCTTCTGCATCTTTCTTTATTCATATTGGCTTTCTTGTTTCTCACATCGTTTTGCACTTGCCTCTGTGCAGTGGAAGGATGCAAAGCGGATCAGCGATCTGCTTGCGTCCAGCGTGTTTGGCATCGCTAACATCATCACAGTGCTGCACTGGACACTGTTTGTGTTGATCCAGGGGAACCCTGTAGAAGGAGAGCTGTGAGCACTGCTCTCTTTTTCAAATCTACACATTTTCTATGACTGAAGGAGTTTGTTGGAAACTTTCCGATAGTAGTACAAGTTGGATATCCTGGATTCATTCAAAAAGCGAAAACAGAGTTTGAAGGCTTCTGACATACCTTGCTGCTTCTTGTCATTCTCGTCGGGCCCTCTCTGAGCTGCAGAGCAGATTGCGCCTTAGAGAGCCATTCCTTGTTTCAAAGACCCCCTTGAAAGAGACAGTCTTCAAGAATTGCAGAACAGTGATTTCCAGCACAAGCGTTAGAATCATTCTGCCGATAGCTGGCATGAAGACAGTCGTGCTTTCTAAGCACTTATTTGTCGCATGGCTGCAGCGTCGATCGACCGGTCGCCCTGGGTATTTTGGTGCACGCAGTAAATGCACTTTCCGCCTGGCTCGATGTCAAAATCGGAGAGCGGACTTTCAGGTAACCCAGTATCTCTTGCTCTTACAGACGCCTTTGACATGCCTGTATAGGATCACTCTCACATGCAAGTGCGCTTTAAGATGGACGTCTAAACTTATTTTTCCGGTTTCGGGACTGCTGCATCCCTTTGGAGCCGGTATTGAGCATCGTCGGAGCTTACTGTAGTTGCGATAGTTTCACTCGGTTGAAGTCAACTCTGAGCCGATCGAGGGATATCTGACTCTTGAGATTAGACAAGGATTCCTGCCCGTTTGACAGCACACTGCCAGCTGTACTCTCGTACTCAGAAGAGTTCGCAAGGACGTTTTCAACGGCCTCCGCAAAAGGCACTGAGGCTAGCGAGTTGAAGGAGAGCAGCAATTGAAAGTGACAGCGGCTCAGTGTGTCTAAGACTGCACACCGCTTTTCTTACATTTACCATCAAATGCGGCTGCTTTTTGAGATTGTTCGTGTAGCTGCTTTTGAAAGTGATTGGATAGCTCAACAAGGCTCACTGTTCATCAATGCGGCGAGCTCTTCTCGCTCTGCAATCGTTTGCTGTGCGCCTACGCCTAGAGGTTTCGTAAGGAAAGGGTTGCCCACAAGTCGTCTGCAAAAAAAAGTCCTTAACCTTGGGGTTGACGCAAAAAACAATAATATTGCCAACTCTTTTCTGACAGGTATCCAAGCCTGCGAGTCTCATTTGGCATCGCCACAGCCTACTGCGCATTCATTCTGTGGTGCAAGTTCGAGACAGGGGTGAGCCTTTCAATCAAGTCCCATTTTGGCTGAGCTGGTTAGAAATTGTGGCCCTCGGATGTCCGAGAAAATTCTGCTTCCTTGCTTGTTTGCGTCCCTGTTCACGACGATGATGTTGTGAAAGCAGGCATCTAAGCTGTGATGTTCTAATCCCACGTCGAGGCCCCCATCCAATACAACTTGAAAGCGCTGAAGTGTTGGATCAGCCGCTCTGCGATAGTTGATCTTGGGCGGAATTTTCTTTCTGCTCACGACCATAGCTTGCATCTGACGTGACTCTATCCTACGCAGATATTCCCGTACCCATTTCTGAACACGTGGCCCCAACCAGAAGCGTTCCTGGTGTTGCTGGCCGTATCAATGGTGTTGATCTACGTTTTCCATAAGATAGGCGCCGCGTACGCTGCCAGCGGGCAGAGCAAGGTTGCAAAAAGAGTCAAAAGTACGCTAGGGAAAGTATCGTAGAGCAGACTTTGAAGTAAGGTGGCGTCAATCAAGAGGGTAGCTTTATTTCAGAGTCCTAGACATTAGGAATGCTAGCTAGGGCATCTGTAGACAAGAATCCGCTCTAGTCAGACTCCTTTGATTCGAAAGCATGTCACACACCAGAATTGAATTACGGTATGAACATGGCGGCTAGGCAAAAGGTAGTGCTGCGCCATATTGCACGTACATTGAAAGGTCAACCGAACAGGGGCCATGGGCAAGCTGCTCAGGCTAGCTAGCTATAAATCAACAACTGCAGCTCGGGGCCTTGCTGCACCGCTACGTGCCCGGGCAATGCTAGCTATTGTTGATCGAGTTAAAAGTTCCGAACCCTTTAATTCTACGTTGTCGTGAAGTAATCCCCATGCAAGTTTTGAACATCGACGCGACGGTGCGTAAATCCAGGGTTCGTCAACGCACGTACTGGCTGCTGCGCCCGTGCCGCCATGTTTAGATTCATCCGATAGCGAAGCCGGCGTATATATACATATGCGCGCACCTATGGCCGGCCCGTTCTCTCAATGATGCATGCGTGCTCGCCAACTGCAATGGCAACATGTGCCATGCAGTGTATACTCTGCCGCTCGCGGCCACGTGCCACATGTGATGCTTTCGAAAGGCAGTAACTCAATGCCAACGACAGATGGTTGAGAGTATCATACTCATATATTCCTTCTCACCCTCAAATAACAGACGTGTGCAACACTGATCGAGCGTCGCAGAATCCTATGGCAATACTCTAGCGCTTCAAGAAGAGCCCTCCCGAAAGTGACAACCGGGGCTTACGCTCCAGAGGCTTTTCAGTGTTGTCTTGATCGGAAGCAATTCTGGCGCAACTCAATCAAGGACCACAAAGATTTAAGGCAAATCGAAATACGGAGCAATGTCTATGGGCACCTGCAGAATCGAAAGACCCTGTGTCAGAGCAATCCCGAAGCTGCCACATGGCAGGACTTCGCAATGTTAACCCCACGTAGGCAGAGCACGTAGCGAGTCTGGCAAATTGCAATGATCATTGGCAGCCCAACAGTCCACAATAATTGCACCAGCATTCGGAAGACAGCAAAGCTTGCAATCTCAATTTGAGGCAAAGCAGGACCCTTCTTAAGCATGCGCACCTCGTGAGGCCTTGGAAACGTGGACTCTATCGCTTAGCGAAAGTGCGAGCCCATCTTCTTTGGGCGATTTGATGCCAAGGCCAAGGCCCGTCAACCCCAGGAAAAGGTTCGTTGGTATCCAACGTGGAGCAGGTCCAGATTGATTTCTCGGCCCACGAAATCAAACTTGCAGGATCAAGCAAACGCTTTATGACGATCATATGCGGCACTTGTGGTCTGTGAGCATACCTCGACAGCCTTCAGTCGCTCTAGCGCCCCGCCAAGCTCCGGTGTTAATACCCCGTACTTCGCCAGCAAGGATCGGCCCCCCTCCTTGTCCCCGTTCGCTTGCAACGTCAGGATGACGTGGCCCAGATCTTCCACAGCTTGTCGAACCTGCGAAGACGATGATTGACGAGGGGAAAGAATCAAGCTTGCTGTCACAGAATTTCTTGATGCTCCTACCCTTTTCAAACCTACTCAAATTAATGGTGTTTGAAGGCGCGCATCAGTGCCGTAAAAGACAATCGTCTTGAGCCCGCAGGACCAGAGGACAATGTCGGCAACTGGTAGGCCCCTTTGGAGCAACCCGGAATACGCGAAAGCACCTTGGGCGTAAGTGCTTGTTGCTTGGTCGCTTCTTGTGGTCTCATTCGCAGGAACATTCCTAAAGACTTCTAGACTGATCGACCACAGCGTTTCGACAATCATTTAGTCGACCAGCCTTTGAAGAAGGGTATCGCAGAGCGGGCTGTATCGCAGACCATGCGTGGTGGGGCGTTTGACCGCTCCGAAGAATTGGCTAACGGAGGAAGTGCGCTCAACAGAGTACTCGGAAAGAATCGGTTGAAGGCAGACTTGAAGTGATCAAGAGTATGTGCATTAAGAATTTTCACATGTTTTACTTGCTGATCCCTCACCTTGCCGAAGTCTACCCAGAAGGTGCCGTCGTTATTGCTCTTAAAGCCGCCCTTCTCAAGCAAGAAGTTGAACTGGACCGCCTGGCCCCACCTGAACCGGACAGGATCGCTTTCAGTCAGTCTGCTTCGTGAGAAAGGCGTGCTTTCAGTGAGATTGCGTCGTAGGAAAGGCGTGCTTCCCGTCACTTTGCTTCGTGAGAAAAGCGTGCCAAATTATCGTTGAGTTGCCCGCTGCAGCTTTGCCCTGCTGTGGGCCGTGCACTGAACACTGATTGAAAGGTCAGCAAATCGACCCCCAGATGACACATTCGGTCCTCTTCAGATTCACTCTCTGCTCACGTTTGCGGCCTCATGCAGGGTAGCTGCTTGTTTGCCGCGTCTGGTCACGCTGTTGCTCCCAAACCAGTATACCAATTCTGATCGGACTCGTCTACCTGATCCCCAGTCCCCTGAGCAAGCGTGACTGCATCTGTTGTAGCTTCCAAGGAGACACAGATTCTACCCCCTCTTTGCTTACAGATTATTCCATGTGCATGCGCCAATCACTACCAAGTTCTCTTCCGTACCACCACGGTTTGGTTCATCATTCTGCAAAACATTGATTCCTTGACTATCTGTCAAGTGACCACGGAAGTATGACGCCAGGGATGCTACACGGAAGGACGGACCGTGGAAGTACGTACAAATGACGGACGTATGGAAGGCCTTACCCGTGCGCCTCTGCCAGTCCGAACCGTACGGATCGGAAGCACCCCGCCAGGAAAGCAACGTACATGGACTGTTCCAGAGACGCTGGTAAGAAACCCTGCATAGAAAGGAGTGAAAAGCTGAGTAAACCGAACGACCTCACTGAGCAACACGCGTCCAGCATAGGCAGAACCTTAGTCTGTTTTTCTTCAGGCTCGCTGCAGGTTGTCACGGTAAATGTAAACGTCGGCAGGTAAACGAATGGACGAATGATGAAGCCACACAGAAGATTTAACGGACTCAGATGGCCACCACATTCACAAAGAACGGAATTGCTCCATGCCGCGTCAGCACCTTCCTAAAGGGCGCGCCAAGAGGAAGATTCGCTCGCTTTCCCCTCACTTCCGCTCTATCTTGTTCATCTTCTTCGGAGCATTGTTTCGAGATTCTTGTTGCCAGCAGAATTCCATCTGATTCTGTATCGAGGCTGCGAACTTCAGCTGTCCCGTGGAGCGACCAACAAATCTCATAATCACCGTTCCATGCTCAAACGACAAGTGAACGTCGCGCTTATAGACGAACCAGTATCGGATCAGGGCGCGCAAATCCCGTTCTGGTTCGGATGTACGGCAGGCCTAAGCGCAAGGGGAACTGAAAGGGATACTTTAAACAGAAAGCATGCTTCGCTCGCCAAGCTGAATTCCCGTTTTTACCTTGTCTAGCAGGTAATGAAGCGCCCAAAGTCCCACAATGTCAGCCTTGGCCTCCTCGAGCGGCGAGTACAGCTCTTGAAGCTCCTGCGGAGGTGAACGCTTCGTTCAATTCGAATAGGGCACTGAATACCGTTTCGCCAGTACGACAGATACAGACTGCGGTTCAAACCAAGTCGTTTTCGCACCGGCTGCAAAGGAGCGCATTTTCTCAGGCCATATCGCAAGAGAACGGAGCAAACCTCTGTGTAAGAAGACCCTGCCCCTTCTCAATCAAGGTCGTGTTGCAACCTACAAGAGAAGCAGGGGTCCTCGCCATCAATTGACGATGACGTCTATAATCAGGGCGCTTTTGGGCTTCCGCTTTCTAGCTCACCAGGCAATCCATATGCGCGCAGCGATAGCTCACCTTTCGGACGGTGGTCGCGGTACCATCCGGCAGTGTGATGTTGGACGGTCCGATGCCGTGGCAGCACTCGTGGCAGAGCGTATGAGTGAAGAAGGAGTCAAAGTCCACCAACGACTGCTGTGACGGGTCGATGAGCACTTTGGCGATCGGGAGTAGGATGCTATCGAACCTGCAGGAAAGGTGCTTACGTCACACAAAAACGTTCCTTCTGTGAGTATGTATGCAGCTCTTTGAAGTTGACCGTCTATGAAGAAGAGTCAGTATGCAAGAAAGAACTTTTCATAAGATGCGGAGGTAGGCTTCGCAGCAAGTTGCTGTACAACTAAACTGCGGTGACACTGAACCACGGGGAAGCGGGAACTCCAACTGCCGGAGTCTCTGATGTGGACTACAACATTCTTCACGGGCTTCAGCACAGATTAACACATTCTTCACAAATTTCGGGGGAACTGCGCCGAGTCTTAGCTTCCTGAAGGAACATTGTTAAACCCTGAAACGTAGCGGACTCACTTGGCCTGATTCACGTTCTTCATCATGACCATGGCCGTCCCCCGCTCCTTCTTGATCCGCTCGTCGTTGGGCAGATTGAACGCCAATGTCTGCGCGCCGCCCACGTCCTGGAATGATTGAACACGCTTTTCAAGAGACAGAAGGGAATTGGGCTTGGAGAAAAGAGATCAGGTATTTGCGCAAATATTTATTTTGCCGACGGGTTCACAGCTTGACCAATAAGTTTTCCCGGAAAGCCATATAAATCGCTTGACGAAACGGAAACTGAATGTGGGGACTTGGAAGTGCAGAAGGGCCCGTGCCCGAAGTCGAGCTGCAAGTACAATCGGACAACTCAAAACCTCAAACTTGACCTTTTGAGCTGGACGTCGAGTTCAGCTGTTTACAGGTTCAAGCCCAAAGTGACCGCCATCGCAGCCCGGCTAGCACTTTAGAGACCTCTAGAGGGTAAGGCGCCAAGTGGGACATCTATAAGGGGACAAGGCGGCACAGGTCTCGTGATTCTTTCTTGGACAACGATTGGCCACTCAAAGCGTTAGCTAGCTCTCTTTCTTTTGTTCGCGGAATTGGCTGGCTGGTGCAAACGATGGTTCCAAGGTGGCAACAACTTTGATGCACATTGCCTAAATTGCGGGAAAAGATACATGCTGACGTCAGCTCACCCCGGAGTTGAACGCCAGCTGGATGACCCGGATGGGCGCCGCGGTGACTCCCTTCTTCTTGTGCTTGTCGTCCATCGGTAGATGATTCTCGAGCTCCTGCGGTGGCGCGGGTATTTAGATCACAGAAAGCGCCATCAGGATAATCAAACGCCTGCTTATCGTCAACCGTTGAGTTGACGGTTTTGGCTGCTTCCGGCTCGAAGGTAAAGCAGAAGGGAAGTGCTCGACGTGGCGGAGAAACCTACGGAAGGACGAGGTTTAGGGCGAGTGCTGTGGCTCCCCAAACGCACTTACAGTGGTATACTGGTGCTTTCGTTCAATACGTCCCAGTGGTTCTAGATGATGGTGGATTCAGCTTCAGCGGTGAGTGAGCAACCTCAAAAGCACAGAAAACCAGCATAAGGCAATTGCATGCGGACCGACTGACTGGGTCAAGATTTAGAATTGAAAGGCGTGCATCCGTTCCGGACTGTCATTCTGTCAACCCGTCCGGAGTGTAATGGGGCAGCGAACAGGTTATGCTGGGCAGCGAAAAAGTTATGCAAACAAGATATGCGATCAAACGACGAAAAGGCCCAGAATCGACATTAGTGGATGGAGCGACACTCAAAAGGACGTCAGGTAGATGATAATGAAGAAGAACATTGCAAAGAAAAGGCAGTACCTGCAAGTGATGACCGAAGAGCTCCACTTTTTCAGTCGCGTCCTCGTCCTTGATCCCTATGTACGCCTCGAAGGTTGCCTGCATGACAAAAAAGACTGTGAGATCCTGGACCAATTTGCTTTGAAGGCAGATTTTTTGAACTAACTTCGCAGAAGGTTCTAGCTCGACGACCAAAAGGTATTCCTAGAATGTGACTTTCACACATTAAGCCCTGAAGAAAGCCCGCCAGCAAAAATAGTAGTAGGATAGATGAACGTGTAGAACACTCACCAGCTGTACGAAGGGCTTGCAAAATCCGAAGACACTTTCCCAGTTGCCCAAGCCACATTTCACAGCTGTACGAAGGGCTTGCAAGATTCAAACAGGAATTTCCAGTCGCCCAAGGCACGCTGAAGTGTGGCTGTTTGCAGATTTGCCACCTGCATATGCATTGCTGCCAAAAGGGAAGGCAGGCCTACCTTGTAGCCAAACAGCCCGTCCTTATACGTTTCGTAGGGGCCCATGGTAACGTCGACGGGCGAATTCTGCATCACACAGCTTTTCCAATGAGTGAACAGATGGTAAATTTAGAACGGTTTGCGAGCTGAAGTGTTCGGATGAACAGCGGCAGCTACTTTCAAAGTGAGGCGACACTTCGTATCCAAAAACCAGCAGATCAGAGAAGTCAGGTTCCTTCGTCTTCTTCACCCGAGATAATTGAAGAATCATTAAGCGTCAAGCGGCCAAGCTCAAAAAAGTTGTTACCCACAGGTCAGCGAAATTTGAGTATTCCGTGGAAATCCAAGCAGGAGACTTACTAGATCCATCCACGCTACGTCAGCCTCGTAGTAGTCGTTTGACAGGAAGGCAGCCGCCCGAGCTTTCAAGTACTTTTGAAGACTGCACATCACACAGAGAGGGTACCCGTGTCAATGGTCGAGGATCGCGTCTCGAAACTTGCGCTTCTCTGCTTACAGGTCATAAATCCTTCAGACTGAAGAACTCAAAAACTTTTCTAGATGTCTGACTAGTTTTCCCGCAAGTCCAAAACTCAAATCGGTCAAGAGACGCGCTCGAAAAGCCGTCCAGTTCGTCCATGTACAGTACGAACCTGTAGTGCTGGTCACAAGCAGCGTGCTCTTCTATGAATTGAAAGTCGGATTAACCTCATCTCGCGAACGACAAAGGAGCCCTCTTCTGAGGAACAACCTGGAAAAAGGCCCGCCACGAGACACAGGCGCGCTTTGCAAACTTCAGCGTTTGCGCCCGCAAGAGTAACGCCATCAACCTACGCTCACCTGGGGTTTTCCGCCACCTGCGCCGCTTCTAGAAGTTTCTTGACCGCTATTTGTAGACCGGCGTTGTACTGCTTACTGTACGGAATGACGCGCAGGTCACGGTCGCCTGACGTCGACGCGGGCGAGTGCGTTGCATCTGCTAACAGAGGGTACCTTACGTTAGCCTAACCTGAATTTGTAACGCGGGATCCGCAAATCCATGTAATGTTGATGGAGAGAATGGGACCGCCGGACAAGGACGTGGGCAAGGGGGAGTGCGATGCATCATCTAACGAATGGTAGGTGACGTCAGCCTAGCCAGATTTGACTGCCAGATGAGTTGAGTAGTGCAATTCAAGATGAGAGACGAAGCTGAGAAGGTCGATTTGACGATTATTCTTCGGTGTGATAGACGGAGGTCCAGCGTTGCTACAGCGGCAAGAAAAAGGACAAGGTGTAAGGAGACCTACAGCCTTAGGCAAAATAGTAACCGCAATTCACAAGAGAAGCAGGGGGCGAACCACATTCTCCAAAAAGTTTCTGCTCTCAGCCAACCCGAGCAGGAACTTTTTGTGCGTTTGTTTCAAGAGAGGCAGAGTGCTATCAAGACCTGCTAGCTATTTCTGCGGAACGACTTTAAGAAAGAAAATGGAAGTTCGTCAAGGCGAGCGAAGACACGGGGCACCAAGCAGAAGAACTTGGAGTGGCCTTCAAGAAGACTTCGCTTGGCAACGACGTACCTGTGACGTCAGACGGCCTTCTGATGACAGTGAAGAACCCCGTAGCCTCAGCTACCTTCTCCATGCAGTGCGACTCCTTCCACTCCTCAAACTCCTGGAAGCATACGATTTTGCTATCTTGAGCAAGTGGTTGGCAAATCTCGCCCTTCGCCACATGGAGACGTGGAAGGCTTATACCGCCTTTATGGGAATCTACTCAAGGGCTAACGTTGACGGAATTAACCGTAGGGAGACAAAGATTGACTGATTCTTCCAAGGACAGGAACCCTTAACGAAAGCAAGGACGTGACTAGAAACAAGCTCCCACATTGCAAGCACCGACTGCCTTCCGATCACGAGCGCGACGCTCAGTGCACGAAGCGGCTGTCTAAGAAGATCACATTTCCCCTCGGGGATAACCTGTTCCGGCCCTCGCCAATCAAAGTGTCTTTGATACAATATTGCATACGTTAACACGAACGATACATTTACTTGGTCCACTGCTGTCCAGTTCCTGATCGGGAAGCCAGACCTCGTCCACCTTCCAACCAGTAACCCAAAACCCGTCCCAATCTCAAACCCGTAACCCAGATCTCATCCAGGTCCAGATTCGTGACCAGATTTCGTGGAGGTCCAAACCCGTAGTCCAGATCTCGTCACTAAACTATAATCGTCCAGTCGACTCACTTGCTTCGACATGTCCGCCGGGTAAAAGTTGGAACCGGGCGGCTTGGTCGCGGGAAAGGCGGCCCGGTATCTGAGGCCCTCAAACCCGGGAACCTTCTTAACCGCGTCGGGGGCGAGAACGAGAGCGCTGTCTGCGGACGAGAGGAAGGCCTCGCCGTCGTCTAACAAGGACCTGAAATGGTAACAAGCTTTCAGGCTTTGAGAAACCAGGATTTTGAGTTTTTTGAGATTCGCATCGTCTTTGGGAAAGGGTGTGCCATCCAAGGAAAGAATGGGAGAGGAGATTGAACGAGGCACGACAGGCGAACTAATGGTGCACAGGAACCCGTCTCCTGTTCAAATCACAATACTACCAAAGCATACAAACTGATCGTACGGGTAATCCGTCCAAAGCGCTTCGAGAAGTTCAAGCAGACCAAATTGAATGACCAGCGAAGCCTCAGAATCCAAGAGAGTGCAAACAGAGGCACCAGTATAACATACGACGGTAGCTGAAAAGCGACCGACGTACAGTAAAGCCCAGGCAACAGGAAGAAACGCAAAGATGGTGCCAACACTCACCAGGGCCCTTTGTTGATGAGATAGTACACAAGCTTCAACTTGTCAAAAGACGTCGCCCCTTCCTTGCTGGCCGTGTCCATCAGATGTTTCTTGAGAGCTGGGTTGGTTCCCCAAAGCTGCAAGAAACGGCAATCACCTTTCGAGTTAACTAAGTGTCTGATACTCAAGAAACACAACGGACCAGCCACAGGATGCAAATAGGTAACAACCCTGTTTTGTTCACCAACATTCCAAGGCGACCCGCAAAGAAATTCCCCAATCGGAAATGCAGGTTTCCAGCAAGGTCCGGATAAAGCAGCTTTGAAGTCGGACGCTTCGACTTGTCCAAACGGAAACCCTATCAAAAGAGGAGACGGTTTAAGGAAGCTGCCATAAAAATCTCTGAACCATCTCGGAATCGAGGCGACTGAACAGATGAGAGAGCCTGAAAAGTCGGTTCGGAATCTGACCTGTTCCAAGAAGATGCTGTCCATTTGGTGCGCCGCTTCGACGATCTTCTCCAAAGCAGTCTTGTCCCCTTTGCTTAACTGACCCATCTGGAACCCAACGGTGTGAGGCATGAGAGCGGTTGAGGGACGTTGAGACACGAAGGGAAAAAGTGTGACGCGGTTGACACACGAGGTTCGTCATGACTTTCCAAGAGATGCATAACAAACCTCCCAATTATGTCTGTTCATGGTTTGTAGCTTAGAGCTGGCTGCCGAAGGTGTCAGCTCCGGAACTGCCGGAGTTCGCAACTCGATACAGTCGGAGACTTTGAGGGATTATTCGGCCGAGAACTGTGAGTAAGAGCACTCAAGGATCTGGCTCCAACAATGTTTCAAAAAAAGCCCTTGATGTTCAGCAAAGCCCTTGATGTCCAAGTATCGACAGAGTGGAAATATGTTATCTCGAATGCCTCGTAATACCATCCATTACCTGCTTGGTTCATCATTTCGGTTTAGACTTACAAAACAGCAACAACGAGCAGAGTCCACCCAAAACAAGGTTTCCGTAAGAGCGTCATTGCCTCCCTAGAAGATTGTGCGACTTGCATCCTCCTTGCACCTTCAAAAGCTCCCGCACGCCAAACGCACAGTTGGACGATCCTCTGGCCTAAAACCCTAGAGCCTGAAAACCCTTATTCTTGAATTCCTGGAGAAGCTCACCTCGGCTGTCAGCTTGACCGGGACGTATCTAGCCACCTGCTTCTTCAACTTCTCTTCTCTCTTGACGGCATCGCCATCGTACCTAAGGAAAGAAGCGCGATATCTTGTCTGATGCAAACCGTATCTAACGAGAGCGTCGCCTTCTTGGAGAAACCTTCTTTCCCGTACGTTTCTCTCCCCTGTTTGAGATTGAGGCTACCTTTTTGGGAATTCAAAGGCGGGTTCGCGACCAGGACGCAACGAGTCAGCCCTAAGTAGTGAAGACATGACGCCCAGACGACGCGAGTGGTGTTTGCAGTGTCAAGCAAAGAACAAATGACGACAGGTCCAACATGAAGTAGAATGGCTTTCGCTAAGAGCCATAAGCCCTTGCTCTTTGCCGAAATTTGTCCACGGAGCTTTGCTTTTAATACACGATCTAACAACCGATAAGGTGTAGCTCAAGTGACCTTCTTTTGATGCACCGCATAAACGGAGCAACTTGCCGATACCCGACGATACAGCGGCCTTTCACATCCACAAGACGCGCACTTACCTCTCGGCCAGGGTCTGGAAAAACTTCCCGTAAGGCCCGTCCGTCTCATAGTCCACGTAAGCAGGGTCACCCTTTCTCAGCGCCTCGATGTACTCCCTGTAAGGCATGTACTTGACTGCAGACACTTCAGACTCCTGCACGGAGCGACATTCCCAATCGAGTCTTTTGCTTCCCGTTGGAAGGCAATCGAGGCTTCATTTCGTACCGGGCAAAGGAGCCGCTGGCAAATTGAGCACTTTTGACAAACTTCTTACTTTCCCAACGCTTAGATTTAGGGAAACGTAAAAAATGAAGACAGTTTTACTAAAGTTATAATAACAAATGATTTTACATTTGAGAGTCTCGTTAGGAAAGCATCCTCAAATTCTCTTGACACTACAGGAACATTCTCGAGGCCTCGACGCCATATCGGCTTCAGATACTCTCAGTATCCCAAGATTGACTGAGAGACTGGACCGATTGACCGACATCTAATTTAAGAAATCGTACTCTGTCTCACTTGTCGATCGTGTCAAAAACCCCAAAGCACCATTGATGACCTCTCACGACTCCGATGCAGAGCTTTCTGAACAATGAAAAACGCCTTCCTTTCGTACGAATCTTCGCACCCAACAATTACAAACCCAAATACACCACCTCGTGGTTTTCTGTGCACAACCGGCGCAAAATGGACGCCGTTCGGCTCAGCTTCAATTTTTCTCAACCGGATCCTGCAAAGATCGACAGCCTCTCCTTGAAGTCTACGTAGGAAACGACAAAACGCATACCACTTCTTTCCAGGAATAGCGCCCCCAACAGAATGTTGAAAGTGTGCCTCTCACCTGGAGTTCGAACGCCTCGAGAGGGATGGGGTCTGCGGTGGTGATGAGGTACACATCGTTGTACTCGTTGTTCACGAACGTGCCTTCGTTGGTGACCCTGCTCGGCGGGATTTGTAAAGATCAGAAGTGAACCACGAAGCAGGAGAAGCAGATCTTAGGAAACGAGACTTAGGACGAAGGTAGAGCCTCTGTTCCTGAAAGCCGGGTCGGGAACGAGCAAGACCGGGTACCATAGCAAGGCCTAGGCGAGGCGCCCTCTCAAGCTCCTGCTACGTGTGGGGTAAGTTCGGCAGGGCACTATTAACAACGGCAAACTCCGACTAAGAGAGCATTTTCTTGCCCGATGCTCGAAGGGAAAGCCACAGGCAATCCAAAACCAAAGACTCTAACGTCGAGTTCGACCCTCCCTGCGGCGATTTTGGGACTTCAAAGTGAATCAAGGAGCCAAATGATCAACGACACTCAATACGGACCATTGATTCGTAGCAGGATGCCAGACTCATCAGAGTTTTACGAAGCAGCACTGCCACTCACGACTGCTGCAGGTAGACGAACAGAAACTCGAACGCCTCGGCCGGCAGCGTAACTCCGAGCTCCTCCGCCAGTTCTCTTCTGGCAGAGTTGAGCGATGCGTCCCCTGCGGAGATGTGCCCCGCGCTCGAGATGTCCCACAGCCCCGCCCAAGAGTCTTTGTCGTCGGACCGCTTTTGTAGAAGCAGCTCCTTCGTGCTCTCTGCAAAGATCCACACATGGACTGCCCGGTGGAAGTCGCCGTCGCGGTGGACGGCGCTCCTGGTGGGGAAGAAGAACGGGGTTAGGAATTGGAGTTTGCCCGGTAGGAACACCGGGGAAGCGCGCCACACAAGCCCGAGATGACGAAGTGGACAAAGCCGCGATACTATGTGATGAGAAGAGCATCCGGAGCTACCCCTTACTTACGTAAATGTCATCCTGAGGGACTCTGTAGCAGAGCCGGGCAGATGCGCAGGAAACCTGATCAAGTAGAAAGTTTCGAGGGGGCTGCGATACGTTCTGAGCGTCGAAGTAATGGGTGCAGGATTTTCTTGGAAAGTTTAAGGGTCTTTCGGAGGGAGCCGGAGTGCCTCTTCATTTCAAACAAGGTGGTTTAATGGCTTCCGAAGCCCATTTTAAAATAAATAGAGATAAAGTTGCAGACAATCGATAAAGCTGAGGGACGGAGTCCTCAAGGGAGCGGTCTTTATTCAGTGCTGAGGAGCGACCATACAACCTTAAGGCATTAGAAGGGTGTAGCGTCTGTAAGGCAAAATGTGAGCATAGGACAATTTTGAATTAAAACAGCACATTTTGTTCGTGGGGTCTGGCACTAGGAAGTAAGCGCCTTAAATCAAACCAAGGGGTCATCTTTTGGATTGTCGCATCAACACTGTCCGCTGGCGGCTTCGCAAAAGTAAGTAGTCTCTTACTGGCAAACGGTAACTCTCACCTGGCCTTTGTCTTGCCAGTGAGGTTCCCGTTCTCGTCTAGAACATCAAAGTGCTCCTCTACCTTCATGGTGGTCTTATCATCCACTCTCAGCTCGACGTATTCCTCTGGCTTGTGGTCCTCCATTTTTAACAAGAAAGTCTGTAACCAACAGTGAACTCAGTTGATCAGTCCAATCCTTGGACGCTTTTGTATTCTGTTTGTTCTCTCGAGCATGTAATTAAGGCCTTGCAATACTCTTGATATATGCAACTGAGGACCGATAACTCTCGTTGATAAAAAGTTTGATTGTAAGGCCAGCTTTCCTTTCCTTCCTCAACGTTAAAATTTTACGGCTTGATCTCGCTCTCTTGCTGAGTTACTTTTTGGCGAGCTTGAGAGACTTGGCACTGCGTTTGTCTTTGTTGCTACTTTTTCCAGGGGTGGTGCATTCGGCTTTGTGCACCTAAACCTCCAGAAATGTCAAATTTAGGACCTCAAGGCCAAGGGCAACTTTGAGACTGACAAAGTGGAACGACCAAATCAGGGGAGTATCATGAACCTGTAATGCTGCATTGGTTTGAAGCAATGATGTTGCAATTTAACGACAGCCAGACGCCACATCATGAGAAATTTTTGAGGGGGCTCTCAGTGATTCATGAAGGCCAGTACCCCATCTTATGTGAAGCAGACATGTTCAGACGTTGAGAATTTAGCTGCGGTTGAACTTGAACGAGCACACTTTAGAAGCTAGAAAACTAGTGTGCTCAGGAGAGGTATGCCAAGGTCTAACCAGTGAGCCTGACAAGAAAATTTATTGCGAGCCGCCAGATTGTTCATGGCAAGCAAATGCTCAACAAAGTGAAAGGTATGTTCCGCAGCACTCACCCCGCTCCAGAAAACGTTCACCCCACAATATCCAACCAGGGGCACAGCTTTCACTATCTTTGAAAGATAATCTCAACACGCTTTCAGGTTGCTAGGCGCCACAGTATGCTGATCAGGACGTTTGCTCAAATGGCTTCCAACAACCACAGCGCCCTTGCGCTCTTGACATTCCAACGAAAGCTGACTTGAAAAGTTCAGGTGAAAAGCAGGAGACCCTTGAGTTTTAGGGTTTTTGTCAGCTCCAAACCCTAACGACCCCTGCCCCTGCATGCATGATACACTCTGATTCTGACGACGTCTAGAGGAAGGCCGCTTTTGAGCAGCTTCTTATCCAAGACAGATTAACGAAGAGCGCGACATTCTAAGTTTCTTGCAAGGTCTCCTGGCCTGATTGCACCTTGCACGGTTGCAGCAAGGTCCTGATTGAGGAGCTGGACAATTCTGCAGAAGCAATTAATGCCCCGTCGAGACGCGGCACGTCAAATTGAATTTGAGGTGAGGAAAAGTTGTACGTTTGAGAGCAGCTTAATTGCAAGTTGCAAGTGCTTGACATCATCAGTCCACGCCTCTGCAGCTAGGCATGAAGGGAATCTAAAACTCGTGGTTGGGTTGAAACCTATCACCTTCTCATCGCAGTAGTGACGGGGGCTGAGACCATCTTGCAGATGCTGTGGATTCCTCTGCGTTTCGTTGCTGCGGATTGCTTGAGCAATGCGGGCGTCCCAATCTGCTGCATGCACCCCACACCCTCAGCCCCCTGGCATGATCAGAAGTACAGAGTTCTGCTGGAAGCGATCAAGTATGCCATGTTGCACAATCCCGCTGCCGAACTTCCCTTGACATCTTTCATTCACTAACTCGTGTTGCATCCTTCCCTTTTTGCAGGCACAACTTGGCCATCATGTTGTCCGACACCATCAGAGTTTGCCTCCCATCTGGTTTAAGCGGTTGCTTTATTCCCCATGGAAGGAGCCATGTAGGAATAAGGCCTGTCAAGCCCTTGGTTGTTGCAAGATATCCACTCTTCCCAAGCCTTCTAAAAGCTTTTCAACACTTGCCTACCAATGGAGCAAGTAACTCTTATAGTAGGGCCACTGGGGGCCTTCTCACATCTCGAAGGGGACAGCTGAGACCGGTGGTGCAAACGCACGCAACCGTCTCCAGTCCCCCAGCTTATGAGATGCCAGAGCTGGAGGATGAGGAGTCTGAAACGGAGAAGTCGGACTTCAGGTGGAATGCAAACTGGTGCGTACCTATCCTTCTATCGAAGCACTTCCAAAAGGAGTTCTGTCGTGCTCTGTGATATATATCAAGGTATGTCTGCAAGTGTCACATGAGAAGCTTCTGAGCACAGGACCAGTATCGTGAACCAAAGCGGGAAATGGGAGTCCTATTTTGTTTGGTCCTTGACCCAACCAATTTCGCACTCCATGTGGACTTTTGCAATTGTCGACTCTTTGGTTCCAGGTACTGTGTCGCACTCCCTGAAGACCTTGACAAGAATGTGCCAACGCCGCTGACTGTCCTTGGCATTCCTATGGTTCTTTGGTTCGACCGTACTCAGGACAAGTGGACCTGCTTCCTTGACCAGTGCCCGCATCGCCTGGCTCCCCTTTCTGAGGTAAGCCACGCTTTCAACGCCTGCTCTGAAGTTGAGCTTCTAGAACTCCCTTTTAAAAAGTTGCTGGATCCACTTATGTGTCTTGCTATCCAGAAACCTTTTGAATGGCACCGGCGTTCCGCACAAAGTCAGGTTGAAAGGAGCTAAGTTTGTTCCTCCATGTGCTCCTCTTGCGTGTGCCACCTGACGCCTCCTCTTCTGGGTTCTAGTAAGGGTCGTTTCCCCCCAATCCAGCCTGAATAGACGTGCCATCGAATCCCTTGCATCCTTTTGCCCATCCAACTTGTTGTCATGCAGCTGATCCATTGTTTGAATCCCTTGCATCCTTTTGCCCATCCAACTTGTTGTCATGCAGCTGATCCATTGTTTGAAGTATTTTTGGTCTGAAAATGGCTTTAAGGGGACTTTTGTAGGCTGATTGAGGGGCCTAAAGAGGACTTGCAAAAGAGAATTGAGTCCGTCACTGGTGAACTCAACTCGATTGCCCGGCAAAGAAGAAACGTTTGAAAAGTATCACAAGAACCATCAATTGCAGAAAGGCTGGTTTCGAATGAAAGTAATCAACCTGTTCCTTGATGCAGGGCCGCATCGATGAGAACGGACACTTGCAGTGCTCATATCACGGCTGGTCGTTCAAGGGCGATGGCGGCTGTACTTGTATACCGCAGGCAAGTCGCACTTCTCTGCGCATGTCCCATTGTGATCCGACAATTGTCTCGTTTTATCATATTTGACTTCAAGATACCTTTTTGCCACCGACGACAGAGCCATCCTCCTTGTGGTGTCGACAATAGTTCGTAGTTGGAGAAAGCGAATGTATCCCTCTGGGTGCATGACCAAGCTATCTTATGTAATCTGAGAACCACTACTGCTTTATCTGGCGCGTCCAGTCTGTCACCAACCGTCCTGCACTCCCCATGTTTTCTTCTCACAATCGTCTGCCAACTTGGGTCGGCTTGAAGTGCTTTCTGCTTCTCGCATTAGGTTCCCCTTGTATTGACAGTTGGTTCATACAGGCGTCCACAGAGGGCCCCGAGTCTCGTGCCGCCGCCTCCGACCGCGCCCGGGTGACGTCATTCTCCGTCAGAGAGGTACACGACCTGCTCTTCGTATGGCCGGACGCGAAAGGAGCGGAGGAAGCTGAGAGGACGCCGGTACCCCTTCTGGACGAGCTGTATGCAGAGGGAATCACGCGGTCTTCTGTAGTACGAGATCTGGAATACGGGTGCGCTTTTCTCTCTACACTCGTTTGTTTTCGTGGCTGCCGGCGGAGCTGCTCTTGTTTCTGTGACCCGCTTCTACTAAGGAGCGTCAGCGTTGGTCTTCCGGACTGCGACTGATACAGACCGTTTCCGTCTCTGCGGCAGTCAATCGTCTTCAAAGATTTTTAGTGATGCAGAATTGTTAAAGCAGCGGTGGCTTGCAAGAGATCGGAGCCGTAGGAAAAGCTTCGGCCGAACTCAACCTAAGTGCGATGAATACTTCGATTCTCTACTATCTTGGGCAGTAACTGTCTCGGCGGGATTCCATGTCGGAAGTTAGTGGTAAAAATGATATGAGACCAAGGTCAAATGGGAACGAGCATCTCTTCTGTTACTATCAAATGGTTACGCAGCACTGTTTTGAAACCCGTTGTGGGGTGCGAAGGACCGGATTGTGCTCCTTTCCCATCTTCTTTGTCGTACCAACCCTCCGTCTGCGGGACTGAAGCAATCTCAAAAACTTTGCCGAGCAGTCCCATCTGCTATTAGTCAGTCACTGGTCAACTTTCTAAACCCTGGTGGCTGATGTCATGGGAACGACGAGGTCGCTTTGCTACTTTTGCAGGTTTGACGTCTTAGCAGAGAACATCACCGATCCGTCTCATTTGCCGTTCGCCCATCACGGAGTGGGCGGCTTGCGAAGAAAGCAAGGCAAGCCCCTCCCGCTGACGCTCCAGTCCAAGGGCGCCGACGGGTTTACTGGTGTTAGTGGGGGTTACGTCTTCAGCGACTCCATGCAATCGACGGTAAAGGAACTTTTCTTCTCTCTATCTTACGTTGATCAAGAGCTGCTTAATTCTAGAATTTAAAGATTATAGCCCAAGGAAAAGCGCGATCAAAGTTTGAGCCCGGTTGACATTCCGCATTTTTGAGTGCCCACCCTGATTGCCAAAGCAACCCTGCCGGTTTTGAGGGGCAGGCTCGGTAGTCAAATTGGATGTCTGTCAGCATGAGATTGACAGGAGTGCTTTCTGATGCTGACGCCTTTGAAATCGGCTAAACTGGATGTGGTAAAAAGTAGAAGTCAACTATATAAGCTCCTACGAGATCCGCAGTTCCGACCTGATCTCAGTCCCAGCTTCTGGTCCCGGGATCAAACTTGAGACTGAAAATAAATTAGCCGAGGTAACAAGAAGGGTAGGGTTAATTCTGGCTTAGGTTGGGCTGGGTAGCAGGTATCGTTTTGGGTCAGGAGTTTTAGGGTTAATTGGAGCTTATCACTCGGAGCTTATTGATTCATGGTCCTGGGTGGTTCCGTCCAAGTGCGACTGAAAAACGCGGAGGATCTACCCTAGCAGATCGTTGTGGGAGGACTTTTTGTTTTGAGTACGGCTGTCTGGTGCTGTGCAGGATAGAAGTAAAGTTTAATAGTAACAAGGTCTAAGAGTAATAAGGAACCGACGAGGGCGGTGGGATTAGTATGGTGGTTAGGGTGGGTTCGCGAGTCATTTAGTGCTTTAGGATTTTAGTGTTGGTTAACTAGAAGATTCCTCTTCGTGATTACTATTAAAGTTTTCTGGTTATCTGTGCAGGTGGAATTTAAAGCGCCCGGCCGCTTCCACTACCACCGGGTCCTTGAAAAGGACGGCAAAAGTCGGGAGAGCTTCACCTGCCTCTACATGACGCCCACAGTGCCCGGGAAAAGCCGGCTTGTGTTGGTGAGACGACCCTACTCGATTCTGAAGACGAGGGGTGGGAGATAAATGCCGAGGCCCACCGTCTCCTCGCTGTGACTTCTCCCTAATATGGATGAAACCGGGTTGGACGCCGGTTGAAATTACGGTTTTACTGATGCGTATCTGTTTCGGAAGGTGCCGCTTTGAATGGAGCGTATTCCAAGGGGTGCTTTGAAAAAACTGCCGTTGTAACCCCTCGAACCTCGATCCAAATGAGAAGACAGAGACGAACCCCTCAGAGCCGGGTCTTGAGGACAAAGTAGTGATTTCACTAAAAGCTTGCTTTCAGCGAAGAGAAGGAAGCCGTTCTGTCTTCCAACTTCACCTCTCCCAACCGCTCGTGCTTTTCACTGACTTCCACATATTCGTCCACATTTTTCGGGGCTTTGTTGTAAGTGCAAAACGGGAGGCTTTTTGTGTCGATGTCGCCCAAACATGATATTCCTTTTGTTGCAGATTGACGCATTCGGGGTCAAGTTGCCGTGGTACTTCAAGTACCTGCGCCCTCGCTGGTTGGCACATCTCCAGTCTCAGGACATCTTAGATGGCGATGCTTCCTTCCTACACTGGCAGGTAAGCGCCGGGCTGTCTGGCCAGAACGCATGATTGCGCTTCTCCCTTTCAGTTTCATAATGCTTCTCCTTATCAGTTTCATAATGTTTCTGGACAAAACACGCCTCAGCCACTATTCCGGCATCCTTGCTGTTTGGTTTTTGCGCTGGGGCGATCATCACGGCTGATGCTCAATGTTGCCATCGCTCAACACAAGGGAGCTTCTCCTTCAACCAAGGAAAGCTGCTCGATCAAGTGAGGCCGCGCTTTTACCAGAGCTGTTTCCTCGTTCGGCGTTTCCGATAGAGCAGAAGTAATAACGGGGCGACTCGGGCCGTCACGGTCTCCCAACAAATGCCCGCTTTTCAAAGTAGCACGTCCTCTCCTTTGCAGCAGATCCAGTACGTAAAGTCTGGTGCGACTAGAAATCTTATAATAACGTGCAACATCTGCTTCCAAGTGCTTCTCTTGCATTAACGTACTGGCATTTTCAATTTGCAGCAAGTCCAGTATGCGAACACCGGGGCGAGTGCCAAAGAATTCAACAAAGTCTACTTCATGCCGACCGCTTCGGACCGCTTCGTCATCGGTTTTCGGCAGTGGCTCTCAAAGTTTGGGCACGGGGGCGTTCAATATGCGGCGGGGGTCGATCCGAAGATCCCGCTAGCAGTGCTCCCGAAAGAGGTGCGTCAGCCAACGTTAGAAGCTTTAGGACGCTGTCTACAACATCTTTCGAGCAAGTCGTTGGGTATTACTGTCAATTGGTCTGAGTGATTCAGTCATAAGCGGATCGACTCTTGTTCACAGAAGATCTCGAATCAAATGCAGCTCGGAAGGAGCTGCAACGCGGTTCTCTTGCGCTTCCCTCGATACGCGTCTTTCTTTTCCCTCCGCTTTCGCTTCTTCGTCAGCCGTGGCCTTAGGCCAAAGTCCGAGTGGGCAGACTCTTGACATTTTAGAAAACCGAAATGAGCTAGGATCTGTGTTTCGAGTGAAAAATTTCAAGGTATTTCGATGACGAGATGGTTGGGCTTGAATGTGTGTTCGATTGAACCACTGACACTGTTCCAGCTGGGACTATAAGCTCTTCAATATGCTCTTTGATAGGAGAATGTTGTGGGGTTTATTGGCCTCGCCTTAACAAGTGACTAACTGTCGTGAAGACACTTTCTTGGGAAAAGCGATGGCCTCAGACTAGAGTTGGCGATTGGTACCTAACACAGGCTACCCAAATGCCAGCACACAAACGGTCTGCTTTTCAAAGTGGAAATCGAGTGCCACGTGGCATTCGTTCTGACGCTTGGCTGGGGAGTTCAGAACCTTTCTCGCTATGTCCAAGTTTGGAATGCCCAGGAAACTCGCTGAGAGGGTTCACGATTGGTCGTCGGCCGTCAATTTGTCAGCATCGAGCGCCTATATTCCTTCGCGTCATGTCCACGTGCGTCGATCCGCCGGCAGTCCTAAGTTGCCCGCGTGTGACATCCTTGCAGAAAGTGCTCAACCGGTATGAAGGCCACACGAAGCACTGCAAGACGTGCCAGGAAGCCCTTCGACAGATAGAGGCGTTGCGAGTGGGCTTGGTTGTTGCGGCGGTGCTTCTGACCGCATCAGCTGCGGTCCTCTCTTCACCAGGTATGTGGTTTACCCTCAACGGTCATGCTTTCCCCCTGCTTGACATGATGTCTGGAGACTCGGAATGCGTGGAAGACCTCTTTGTTTCTTTCTGGTGAGAGCATGTGATTAGGCTGACGAGGCGGGGAACAATCTATTCAACAAGTTTTTCTTCTCAGGTGTTCCAAGTTTTCAAGGTTCTCTAATTTTAGTTTTGTAGAAGCTTTGAGGCATCTCCGCGAGAGTTGATGGGGCGTGTTTCAGCTTTGAGGCTGATTCTTGATATCTTTGTCCCTTTTTTTCGCAAGGTGCTCTTCGAATGCACCGTCATTCTGTAACCTGTTGGACTGCCGGTCAGACTTTCTTCAATGATGTCTTCTGGGTTCTTGATCCATAATGCAGTTTACCGCACTGCATGATCTTTGTTGTGTCAACACCACAGCAGCTCGTATACGTATTTGCTTGTCGACCATTCGAAAGTCAACCACCTGTGGTGCGACTATTCAGGGTTGACTTGTCCGTCGTAACATCTTCTGTCCTCACTCGTCGTTTGTTTGTTGCAGATTGGCTGTATGCTCGGGTCGGGTTGCTAACAGTAGCCCTCACAGCGTCCGGCGCCGCTTGGAAATTGGGCGACGTTGTACAGCTGTTCTTATTCAGGGGGTACAACCACCACGAAGTAGGACCAGAGAAGCCCCCCATGGTCTTTTCCAAGGTTTGAGCGTTGGTCATTTGCATCCTAGGAAGTTAGGCGTAGCGTTGAGTGTTTGATGCAAATGTGGGCCTGCCTCACATTGAGGCCCAAGTCAAACCTTTGAATAGATTCAGCAACATGAGTGATTTTATCGTACGATTACGTGTTCACAGCAAGTTGCTAAACAAAGAACTACTACACTGTTCTGTGTACTAATTCTGTAACATACGTTGACGGGTGTACTGGCCGGTTTTGTCACTACAACCACAAAACTGCTCGAAAACGGTTCGGATCACGGCGGTCGTAAAAGCCAGAGCCGGGTGCAACCGGACGGGAACCAGACAGGTTGGAAGCATGCCACTGCCCAAAAAACAGTGTGACAACCCCGCGACCCCCGACATATGAGTCGTCGGATGGCTGCACAAATGCGCTTGCCAGAAAGTTTGACTGGATTGTGAGTTGGGGCGGAATTTCAAGCTGATCATAATGACGGTGCGCACGTACCGTCCGCATTTGACCGGGTCCCTTTCAATTATTCCTAGAGTGTCTGGCCACACTCATCTCCCCAGCTGCAAGTTTGCACCGCGCAACTTACACGTGTCCAATTTGGTTCGTTGCAGAAGACATGTGCAAACGATTGTAATTGTCGCTCAGTGCAACTCTATATATAGAGGTAATTACCCATCGCCCCGTCCCTTTGAAATGAAGTTGAAATACTAATGCCTTGTCTGTGCATCATGCTGCGGCAAATGCACACTTGTGGCAGTGGTACCAATATGCATTGGTGGTTCAAATAACACCGTAAGTGTGGGCATACTTTGAATCATTAGGCGTTGAACAATCAGATTTGGCCGCTAGCCAGCTAAATCTAGCACTTATAGTATTGCATGATATCTATATTCGATTGGGTTGCATGCAAAATCTCCAAAGCGAGGAGTCGTCATAATACACCCTTTCTTAGCAGTTGTTACTTCGATTCAACATGCGCCGATAGGACAGGCACACTGAGACAGAATCTTGGATGCAAAATGGCACGCACGCCAGACAGATCCTAGCTGCTAGTGAATTCCAGTCGGTCAGAGTGACTACGTGGGTTCAGGACTCGGTGAACCATATTCCTCGGCCGGTTCGAGTGCCAAATATGTCGTGCAAGTCGTCCGGCTTTTGACTGGTAACTTCATAACAGATTTAGCAATAACTTAAGCTCTCAGACCGTTGAAGTCGCCAAGGCGTTGCATTGGTCGCTGTTCTTTCGCCTCGCTGCACATCAAACTACTACTCTCCAAGGCTTAGCACGACTGCCCGTTACAGAACGTAGGCAACGGGCGGCCTGAGTTGCCGCATAAGTTTTGCTCCACGTCATACGCGATGGAGAAGATGTAGCCCTCCTTATACAGGTACGAGTGGAACTGGAGGCCGATGGGGACACCCATGGCGTTCGTCCCCAGCGGGCAGGGAATGGAAATACCCGGGAAGCTGAGGGGGGGAACCGGGACCGAGTAAATAAGAACGCGTCAACTCGAAAGCCCTGGTCCAAAGTCGGGGTCAAAGCGTACGTCGCGGCATCAAATCTACTTCGGTTGAAGTTCTTCAAGAAGATGGAAGGGTGCTGGAGCAGCGATGGAGCAGTCGTTTTTAAAAATACAAAGTCTGCGCTGACTTCAAACAGGGCTAAGCCCAGTGCTTTGAGCTCTTATGGAGCAGCGAGAGGGACTAGTCACTTGCTTCACAGTGAACTAACATGGGCTGGTTTGGAACTTGCTCAGCCGCGCTCTGTATATCAGTTCGCTTTACGGGCAAGAATTGGCTGAACTCCTGGAGACAGAGCGACTCGTTCCATCAACCGACGCGGCCGGAACCAAAACCGGAACCGGAAATGAGAAAGAAAGCGGAAAAGGAAAGGCAGAGACGGGCGAGAGTCCAAGAGTCATCCTTCCCCACAGCCGCTTCGGAGAAGGGAACCTGAACGGAACGAGGCACCGGGAATTTTGCGGAAATCCCAACACCTTGCAACCCTGCCCGGTTAGTGACAGGCCCGTTGAAAGCGGAGTATTCGGCACCGGAAAGCAGATTCTATGTGGCGAAAAGAGACACTTACTTGACCCGTGCGAAGACGCCGATGAGGTTTCCGGCCGCCGCGATGGCATCGTAGCCGTTGGATGTGAACCAGTCGGTGATGTTCTGGGCGATAAGTGTGAAGTTCTGCAGCGACAACGATGCACAAGGCTTTACAGTCGATGTTCCGTTTCGAGCCGAAAGGAGAGACGGCTCAACAAAATGAGAACTAACTTTAGCTTCTCCGAATGGAGATCTTTACAGGCCCGTGTTGCTTTTGACGACCGGACAGTGGAATAGTTGAAGAATTCCAGGTCACGACGCAGCGGTGAAGCAGACTTGAACCGACTAAGGCGAAGCCGAACCTTGTTGCCAAAGACTTTTCAACACATGGTCAGAATGGACGAGCAGTAAAGCAGGGGTTCGTTCCCCTAAACAGTGACAAACAGGAGGCACACATATATATTTCTCGATTCCATGAAGGGTAAGCGCCATGAAGGGCAACAGCAACACTAAACTAAAAACCTAAACTAATGGTGAACACGCTCCGCACCCGTACCCACCCTAACCCCCTAACTAACCCCACCCGTCCCAGTGACCCTTCATGGCTCTTACCCTTCATAAATTCGATCGAATACACACTGATTACCTTTCAATGTTGACCAATACGCCCGAAGGTAGTCTTGCAGGGCTCGACATTTATGGAGATGCTACCCAGGTTCTCACCATCTTGGCGCTGATGTAAGCCGCGTCCCTTTTATCCCCGGTCGCCTGCGCCGACTCCCAGCTCTGCTGGTAGAAGAGGGCATATGCCGGATCGCCGCGGCAGCACGTGCCGCCCTGGAACTCCAGGTCGTAGTACTTCTTGTTATAGGCGATGAGGTCACCGAGAGAGAATAGCGGTGTGGTGTCTGAATCCCAGGTTAGCTCTGCACGAATGCAAGAGAGCCCACGTCAGCACCTGAAAATGACGTCCTCTTCGGTTGATAGAGGGAAGAGAGTACGACAGACCGCTTGTTCCCTACTAATGAAAGATTGATTCTAAACAAGAAGAGGTTGTTGCAAGCCAAGTATGAATTGAACTTTTCTTTCTGTTTTCAAAGTCAAAAGGCTTACGCGAGAGGTAGGTGTTTATGTCGACCTTGAAATCCTGCGCGAGCACTGATCCCCTCAGGCTGAGGAAGTTGAAGCTGGGGTCGAGCACGTCGACGGTCGCGCCGCGGGACCTGCAAATGGGCGAATTGATCCAACTTTTATCAGCAGTTAAAGAATTTGACCGTCCTATGCATGGCACCAGTTTCTTTAGCAGGAACGCAAACGTTTCCAGTATAATTTTTGATGTGGGTTCTTTACACAGCGCTAAGTATAAGCTATATAGTAAAGGTTGAAGGCCATTCGTTAAAGTTACTAGTGAGCGGAGCCCGATCGACCTGTGCTTTTGATAGAAGATGGAGACTTTGGGCTCCAAGATAAAAATACAGAGATACAATAGGGGCGAATGAATTCGAAGGCCGAATTGCCTTCGTCTAAGTTCAGAGTTCTCAAAATCTGAGGCTGTGGGTTTTCCTGCTCACCTAAGCATGTCCGGCAGTGCTGCGTACATCTCGGCTGCCGTTCCGTCGAAGCGAAGGCCCGGGGGGTACACGTCACTGCCGTTGGCGAAAGGCGGCCGGAAGACCGCAATCTTCTTGCCTGCAGAAAAGGAAATCAGAAGTTTTAATGGCCTCGTCTGTCATCTCCTTAGCAAGATCAGGGGATTGAGTTATCTTCAGGAAATATGGTCTTCTGAGGTTTTTCAAAGCCTCTTAAACGCTCATATGAAGGTTGCGTTCTTCCTCTACGCGCTCGCACGCCGTCGAGAATCTCCCGGAAAACATTTCGGATGTGATGCAAGCAGTGCGAATTGCTGCAGGGCTACGGGAGCTCTTCCGACCTTCTCAGCGACTCAGGGCGACCAGGAAAAAGTTAGAGCTCTGCATGGAAAAAAGTAAGGATAGGGTCTCATGCCGCCGACAGGTTCACAGCAGAATGTCTCATTCTCAGCGCACCTGCAAGGCCGTCGCTCTTGAGGTACGGCAGGTATCCGCCTTCCGGTCGGGTGTAGGGCGGAAGCCACGGAACGGCGCCGGAATGGACCGGATCCGCCAGGTCGTCGAACGCCATCGCGTCGAACATGTACAGGCAGTCTGCCACGGTGCGGCAGAGGGGCCTGTCCAAGAAGGGATTGATTGGGCTGAACATTTTCGCTTTGCGACTGAGAAGATTTCGTTCTTCATTCTGGTGGGAGCCCAACCGGGCTTTGGTAACGCATAATATGCAGAGCACAATTCCCTTCTGAACAACTTGGCATAGGTTTCCCGATGTACGTTCGAGGGCGAAGAAGTGGTCGACTTGCCAGTGCGGAATAAATGCTGAGAGCGGGAACCAGGAAAGACCGCAGAATCGAGAGCCCGATCATGCGAAGCATGACGCCTAAAAGTAGACTGAGAAGAGGTCTGACAAAGTAAGCCTTGACGATCGAGCGAGCCTCTGGATTATTGTTTTCTTTTGCGCCTCCTCTAGTCTTCTCAAATCAACACACACGAAGAAGAAGACTTTCAAATGAGAAGTCAATTCTTAAGTTTTGAGCTTCCTTCGCTGTCCGAAGCATCAACCCTCAAAAGTATACATTCAGATACTAGATCGTTTAGGCTGGCCACGTCGCTCACCCTGCCGTGTCCTGCGTGCTTGAAAGGGGCACGATTCCGTTCCGGCTCATCACTCCGCCGGTGGGGCGGAATCCGACCACGGCATTAGTGAGCGCGGGGTCAAGGACGGAGCCGACCGTCTCGCTGCCGACGGTGACGGCGATCTGTCGAGCAAAACGCAAAAGCAGTCAGCGGTATAATTTGCAAGACCTTTGGAGGATACGAGATCGACATGAAGATTTTTCAAACATGGAGAAAGAAATGTTCTGAGAAGGCGTACTGCAAGACCCGAAAGGTGCCCACTTGTGCGTGTGCAAGAAACATACATCTAGATGCTGTCGCGTTGCTATCATCTAGGGGCGTTCTAGTAATTGCTTGAAAGCAAATGCCGAAGGAGAGCACAATCGGAACGTATTTATTGACTGCCCGTCATCGTAGGCGACCAAGGAAGCCCTCCTTTCAAATCCAATCCAGTCTTAGTCTGCGCATGAGGAAAGAGACGGTTAATCACAGTCACTCCCAGAATTATCAGCTTGAAGTCAGCTGCCCTTTCCGGGGAAATTATTCTCACCACGTTGGTGGCCGTTCCCACCGCCGATCCGCCGGAACTGCCGGACACGATGTTGGGGCTGTTGATGTTAATAAACGTCTCGTTGACGGGAACCGCCGTCGGGATGCCCGGCAGGTACGGGATGTTGCTGACGGAGGTGCTGACGTTGGCGGGCATGTAGCGGACGTACGGGCACTGCATAGGCATGCAACGGGTAAGATTGGATGGGCCCAAAGCTTCTGTGAGTGTGAACATTTCAGAGTAAGTGTCCGTCTGGTTGGCGAGAACGTCGTCCGGATCGTGGCAGTTAACCAACAAGGGTTAATGTGCTGACGTAAGCGGAAGGGCACGATGAAAACAAAACCATTTTCAGTTACTTCAGCGTTAAGATCCGTCTTCTAATATTCCATCAGCTCCTGTCGACACAGAAACCGTGGCTGTCAACCGCCTTCATCGCTTCGAAAGTGTGCAGCCCTTCGGTAGCGGCCGTCGTTCTTTTGGATATCCATTGCAAACAACAAGAGCAGCATAAGGTTTCCTTATCCTGGGAAGGAGCTCGTTCAAACGCTCAATGAAATATCGAAGAGCTGAAGCCGCACGTCATTCAGGGACAGTCAAGCGCCCACTTACGTAAACCTGCCCCCCGCGCCCTCCAGCCAGAGATTCCGGACCCCCTGTAGAAAGCCCACTCGCTGAGGCCCATCTTGGCCATGATGATACCGCCCGCTGACTTGAGCAGGCTCACGATGGTGGCCTCCTTGTGGTGAGAACCGAGGAGGTTCCACGACCCTGGGAAAGAGGTAAGCATTTTGAGGGGGGGGCATGTCTGGCTTGTCGAGCGTTGACTGGCACGGCAATGTTTGTCAGCGCATCAGATTCAACGACCCCTTGCGAGCTTCAAAACCGATGGCAGGACGCGGTTGCTCTGTCACCAATTATCACAATAAGGTGGAGAACCAGTGTTGACCAAGTTCTAAATCTCAATGGCGACAGCTGGCAGGAACCTGAGCCATTCGAAAGGAGTGACTTGACGCCTCAGAACAGACCACTACATGACGCCTACTCGGCCACTGTATTAACAGATGCCTCACTGCTCATTCAAAGGCCGTCCAATCTAATTTCGTCCACAATTTCGGACAGTGTGCTTAGCTGGCTATGAAGCAAGCTAAGCGAGAAAGTGATATCCAAGTTCCTCCCAGCAAGCTTGCAAACAAGCTCGGCCCTCAGACCAAAATCTGATAAAGTGATGTGCACTTCACTTGTGGTCGCATGAAGGGTGTCTGCGTTATCGTGTTTCATCGAGTCCTTTGGGACGCTACGCAGCTTGGTAAACTATCATTCGAACTGCCCACTTCCCTAAGTACGTTATTACAATTGACAAATTCGAACTCGTTCGAAGACGCAAGGCCACCTCTTTCACCTGCCGTCGCGTTGAGGCCGTCCGCGTTGATATTATCCTTGAGTCCGATGGGCACCCCGTGCAGCTTGCTGAGGTTGCAGTCGGGCAGGCACGCCGCGCGCTCCGCGTCCCTTTCGTCCGCGAGCGCCAGCACGTTCGGGTCGATCTCCAGCACGGAATGTGTTGCATACGCCGTCTGGATCAGAGGAATGCTGAAATCCCTTAGCCGTTTGGATCTTAAAGATTCTGAAAAGTTTGTTTCCTGAATTCTTAGCATTCTTCAGCCAAGGATCTGGTCAAGAGGGCAGTTTGAATCAAGGAAAACAAAAATTGTCAGCGTAACTTGTCCTCCAACAAGGGCAGCGTAGGGATTCTGCATGGCAAGCAGAAAAGAATCCTCGAAGAGCGCCAGCACGTTTGGGTCGAGCTCCAGAGTGCGTAGCGTAAGCGGTTTGAAGAGAGCACGGAAGAACGAGTTTACATTAATATTTTCTTGAAATGTGTCTCTCTGTCCAGCGAAAGGAAAGGAGGGTTGTTGAGGTCACCACACCTTGGGTCTTTTCGTGGGTCTCGTATTGTAAGCAGAGGGGCAAGATCAGGACCTTTGATCGTTGAGGTCCTGCATGATAAGTCGAGATGCTGAGACCCGCTTCTCGACCATTTCCATCCTAACATTGCTTGAAGCAGATCCGGCACACTAGTGCAGACGAGCGGACAGCTTAATGCGGTCCAAACTTTATTTTCAGATGACAATGACCAGAGCTTTGGTTACGAGCCCACCTGTCCCTTGAACGTGTTCGGGTTGTCCAGATCAGCAATCCGCTGCATGTAGCATTCTGCACACAGAAGAATACGGGCTGCTTAGCATAGGTTCAGTCAAGCAAGGTCAGTCTGGTCGGAAGAGGTCTGCTTTGTTTCCAGGAAGGACAGCAACCCAAATCTGAGAAGGATTTTGCTAAAGGCCCATAACACAAAGCTTTTGCGTCGCCCCATTCGTACATGGATAGTCAAGATATCAAAAGAAATTCGATCTTTGACTGTGATCCAGATCTTTTCTACCAGAGCAGCATCGAGGCGCGCGCAAGTGGCCGTCCCTTCGATGCATTCGGCTGTCCCGATTACAAACTTGGAACGAACATCGTCAAGAAGGCGCTGGTCCTTGGTTTATGAGCGCTCCATTTGCTGTAAAACCTTATTCACAAGTGCGCGCGACGTCAGTTCGCCAGAGGCAAACTTGGACTGGATGGTGTCAATCGTGATCTCAACCACGTCGTTGCAGTCAAAATTTGACGGCTGACGGGGGAAGGAGCCGTCCGCATTCTGCTTGTAGCAGGCATAACCGGAGCCGGGGAAACAGCTGGTAGGGAAGAGTGGCGAAATGTCAGTATCATTTCAAGAGTATTATCCACGAGAGATCAATACATCAGTGTGCAGAATCTCAGAAGAAGAGACGTGCCACCAAGGGCGGTGGAAAGTAATGCCAGAAAGTGCCCAAGAAACGGGTTCGGTCGCCCAAGCTGAGTCAGAGCTTACTTGCACCAGAGATTCAACAGCAAAGATAGCGCGTGAAGCAGCCTTGCCAGTGGCAGACTTTGCGGGGTTGGACTACATTTGTAACGGCCTTGAATTAACCAGCAAGCCGAAGTCAAAGGTGTCAGCTTGGCGGTTTCTCAAGCTTTGCATCCGGCCTTTCGACCATGTCATACTGACGTACACTTCAGGCATCTGAAGATCTGAGCAAGGCATAAGTGGGCGCAGTTCACCTGTATCCCATGATGCAGCAGTAAGGAGTGGCGGTGGTTGGGTGATATCTAGCGTTCTGACGACCCGTATTTGGGTGAACTCTTCAGATTCTAAGGGCTTATTTAAAGGCATAAGCGCTCATCTTTACCTGTACCCCATGGGCCAGCAGTAAGGCGTGGCGGTCCCTGGTATAGTGCACGTGGTTGGGTACATAACCGAGGTGCAGGAGCAGGACGAGGGGGCCGGCACTCCGATCGGGGCAGTGGCTGCAAGATAAGAGACGTGACGCTTCTTATGAAGCTTAGGAGGGAAAATGGTGGATGTTAGCAGCTGTGAGTCTTTGCTTTGAGGGAACGGGGGAGGTCAATGACGAAACAGAAGGATGCCGTGAAATGGTGGGTTTTATGTGTTGGCAGAGGGCAGAGTAGGGAAGGCCACAAGGCCTGCTGGCAGCACGCAAGTGCTGAAGGTACGAAAGCAGTGATACATATGTTAACACGTACGTACATTAAATCAGAATGCATTCACCTTGCTCAGAAATCTATCGTAGTTCTGTCCAGGCGGTGGCAGCTGATATGCGCCGTGGCGCACCAGACATGCTCAGAAGTCCAAAAATACCATAAGTGGAGGTTACAAGAGCGCTTGAAAAGCTCAAGATATAAGGATCCGTCTGCCACTGGCTTATATGATCAAACTGATGAGCATTGACTGTCTTTTAATATCAAACTCGTCGCAAAGTTCCGCGCGACATTAAAAGACAAGCCAGCTTGTGAAGTAAGAAAAGTTGCAGCTAGGACTCAGTGCCCTCACCATCAGCTGCGGTAGATTGCAGAAGGATGCGCCGCTTGATCTGCTCGTCCTCCTTGTGTTGAAGCCGCTTCTCCAGGGGAAACGCAAAGGCTGGCGTTGCCAGCAACACAGCCAACGTTGCACAAGTAGACATAGTTCTGGATTCAGAAGTGGACTTTGTGATGGCCAGTTGTGGCATTCAAACTTGACTGACTATGCACTCGCAGCTGATGGAACATATGGATACAAGTTGGAACTGAGCTTGGCCATACAAGGACAGATAGCATGAGGACAAGCAGTCGCGTAGGCGGAAGACCAACAGATTCAAACGAAATCATGAGTGAAAAAGGAGCAAAGTGCCAAGCTCATGACTGATCGTTGACAAATACTGTTGCATTTACCCACCAGAACGATGCGCGTATGAAGCCCCTCCGCTTTTGGTAGCCACTGTCATGTTGACAGAATTACACATGAAGGAGAAATGCGAAAAGAGGGAAGGATTGTCCTCCAACTGTTGATGGAGCCTTGGTCGGCTCTAGAGCTCAGATTGAGCCAGCAGCGCCTCCTTGACCCTAGCGAACTCCGAATTGCCTGAATGGGTTGGTAATCTGGTGTCACCACATTTCGAAGTAGTAACAATGAAGCTTCTTTTCATGTAGCAGCTCACTAATCTTAGGTATCTGAGATCTCAACAAAGGAGGCAAGTTGAGCTGAAAACCGATCAGCTGGACACCTGTGGCGTTGAAGACGAGTAAATCTTTGGCTAGCTGGACAAACCCGAACTACCTAGAAACAAAACCTTCTTGCAGCAGGCTGGTAGCGAGTCACCAGCTGACCGACCATCGTTGACAATGTTGCCAGGTGAGGGGCCAAAAATGCATCCTAAGGCTAAGGTACGTACCTCATTGAGCTTTCACCCAGGTTTTTTCGATCCGGCCGTAAAACCATGGTGCTCCGTTCATCAGCGCGTCACTTTCTCGTCGGCGTCACAGTCAATGATCACGAAGACGCAGATGCTCCTCAGCGGGACTCCATGTAAATGCCAACTGGTTCTCAGCTCGTTGCTTGGCGCCGCGACCCATAATATTAGAATCCCAAGCACTTACTTCTTGAATGTTCGAAGCACTTTTCGGCCATGACTCTGAGGCTAGAATACGTGTTCTTGCAATTGGCTGTACCATTGGCCAGGGCGACAGTCAGATCCGTCTACTAGGTTGAAAAAAGATACAATCGAACGGTCATGAGGGGCTCAACAAGTCACTTTCGAGGGATACTATCAATTGATCTTGCAAGATGACATCATTGTGCTTTATTGGTTTTTGGAAACGTGCCGACGGAGTCCTTTTACCCGTAGATGTCACCATATCGACGAATCTAAGCACATGTATTTTAGCAGTGCTCGCGCATCACTGGTTGGACTCGGCTGGTGTGCCGGCCGGCGTTGAACTGTACAGTGCTGTCCGACGCGGTCACTCTATACCTAAGTCTATTCGAGTCGCCTTTGCGGTTTCAAAGGTGCACTCCTAGTCCTGGCTCCTAGTTAATACACATGTACAGCAATTACCTACTTCAAGAGAGGAGGTACTAGGTACTACTCTAGGTACTGTTCGTCAGCTAGGCCGGCCGCGGCCTTTGGTATCGTGAGGAGCTCGCCGGAGCTCAATCACAGGAAAAGTGGCCGACTTGGTTGAATCTGTACGTTGCTTGGTAAAAGGCGTTGCATGCCTTCTGTTTCATTGGGAGTCCATCAGTGGAATCGACGTCATCTTTGAAGGTGACGCAATGCTGAATTTGGTGGACTGCACGACCATACAACCTTGCCAGACTTGTACTTTATGACAGATTGTGCAAAGAGGTTTACATAAGACGCGTTTGACAGTCAGATTACAGCTTGGCTTTGCCTGTGAGGCCATCTGACAACCTCCTTGACCAGTGCAACTAAGGGGAAACCGCAGTCAATACAAACTCACGACGAATGGGTGGTGAGAGCTGCGGCTTGAACTTTACGTCATATCTGAGGTTGCTACTAAACCTCAGTGAACCTATGATTCTTCTTTGATCAGCTGAGCTCAATCGTCCCAACGGCTGGTCTGCAAGCCGCATTAAAAAAAGGTTCCACTGCAGACCGAGTTGACACGCACGATGCAGATTGCTCAACTCCTCACGGAGACGACAAGTGGGAGTCCTCAGTTGACCTGATTCTTTCAGCATTGGTCTTGACTGAGTTCTGCAGAAAGCAAGCTAGAGCTCATTGATCTGCTTAGTGAGAAGCTGAGAGAGCTCAAAGGGGGAGTCAGGAGGGGACAGCAAAGCTAGAAAAGGAGCGACGCCGCATCCTCAGATGCTGACAGAAGAGAAACACCTCGTTTCTCGGACTCCGCATGCTCCTCTTTCAAATTTGCAGCTTCTATCTACTAAGGAACTCTCAGCTCGATAAGGAGCTTGCAATTGAGCTTCTAACTTCGAGGACCCAAGTCAGTCTCCACAGTAAACTAGCTCGGAAGTCAAGTTCAATGGTATACCTGTTGTCGCCTCGTCAAATAAGCTTTGGATAACCAGCTTACCAATTTGGTAAAAGTTCAGTCACAACAATGGGGCGCAAGTCAGTCACAGGAGGGGAGGCCTTGCCAAAGGGCTTCCCAATGGTTTACGTCTGGGCCATTCTGCTGGCAGCAGTTGTGGGGTGCGCGGTTGCCAGCTATGGAAGCTATGGTAAGGCAGCCTCTGAGATTCAAGCTCCAAGGATTAGCTGCATGGGTGCAGTTTCTTTTTTGACAGACGACTCTTATCAAAGGAAGGGCTTGGAGGTCTTTGCTCCGCGTATCTGAATGATTGCTTCATGTGAGGAGCTTGCAGGAGGAGCAAGTCAGGCAAAGACTTGAGAACAACAAGTTGTTGCTGAAAACTAGGTTAGGCATTACTTGGTGGCCAGGCAAGGAAGTCCTGGTGTAACAGAGAATGCTTATCGACTTGCAAGGCTACAGCCAACACCTTTGCCTTGAGATATTCGACTGCAGACTAGCTGGCTTCTGTCGCGCTATGTAGTGGCGTACTTGTATTAGTTCAGAAAGTCGGATAGTAACAGAATTTTCAGCAATAAGATTACCTTCCTGTAGTAAAGCCTGTACTGCTGAAAGGAATGTACACAGCTGATAGACGCAGAGTGCTTCCCATCTACTTCAAAGGCCTCGCGATTCTTGATGAGGTCTCAGAATTAGAGTCAAAAGCAGCAGGCTATGCTGAGACTCTATGGCAGCTACGTGTGAGGGATGACATCATAGCAGCTTAAGCTCTGGGTAACAGCGGCATCAATGTCAGCTCCTTCTTCAAAGGCCCTATAGGCAGCAAAGCATTGGCGTATGTTCAATGTCGTTAGCCGTTAAGGCCTTTGAGCAGAACCTACGGACTGCTGCCCTGGTAAAACCATATGATGTCATTAAAAAGTAAAGCGGCGATACAAACTGCGAATGTTCTGCAGCAAAGCTAAACGGGCACTTGTCTCTGTGTGCAGGTGCGCTGTCTTCTGCTGACATTTCCGCCCAGCTACGCATGCGGGGACCCGAGATGCTGATGGCAAGACGGGGGAGAGCGCTGTTGCAAGGTGAGCCTTTGCCGCACACCTTGAAACATCTTCGTGGCCATTGCAACAAGCTCGGAAGAGTTGTTTTATCCGCATGAAAATATATCATCTCGTATTGGGATTCCTAGTGTAGAGAAGCAGCTCCCTGACGAATGAGCTGCGGATTGCATTGAGCTACGGTTTCAGTAAGTAAAGCCTTGATTACTTTCTCCTTCTGTCCGCCCGTTAGCCTTCCAGCTCCAAATACGTGACGGCACCTAAAAAGGTAGAATTCGAGGTACTTCGCATCCATACTAAGCTAAGCAAAGTCAAGCAGCAGCGCTTCCTAAAGGGCTGGAGAAAGGTACCCCGACCTAAGTCGTAATCCAACTGATGACGACATTCTGCTTTTCACAGATCCGCAAGGTGGAACCTCGCCACCTTCGGACAGCAGCAGCCCGGATTCCACCTCCACTCCTTCGGACACAAACAGTCCGGATTCAACGCCCGCTCCTTCGGACACCAGCAGTCTGGATCCGACGCCCGCTCCTCCGGACACTAGCGCGCCTCCCAGCGAAACCCCCGCACCCACAGACGCGCCCGCCCCTACCGATTCGCCAGTCTCGGAAAGCAGTTCTCCTTCGGAAACGAGCTCCCCTTCTCCAACGGACGCATCATCCCCCCCCTCTGAAACCAGCCCCCCCTCGGAAACAAGCTCCCCTTCTGAGACTAGCACGCCTTCTGAGACCAGCCCCACTTCTGAAACCAGGTCCCCTTCTGAAACCAGTTCCCCTTCGGAGACCGATGCCACTTCCGAGACAAGCTCCCCAACAGACGCGTCTGCGCCGGAAGATTCTAGCACGCCTCCCCCAACAGAAACACCGGGCGCTTCAGCACAGGCCCCCGCCTCGAGTGAAACCCCAGCCCCGACCGACTCCCCAACAGACGTGCCGTCCTCGTCGGAGGGATCCCCTTCTCCGACCCCGACAGATACGAGCGCCCCAGCCCCTGGCCCAGAGTCTGCAATCACAATGCAGAAGGGAGACGGATCTTCGCCTTCTGCTGAGGGGCCGGCTTCTGCGGTGATCGTCGTGCAAAACTTGGTTGTGGCGTCTGGCGATTCCCCATCTCCTACCGGAGCACCCTCAGACAGCGAAAACCCCTCCCCTAGCGATACCCCCGCGTCAAGTGACACCCCCTCTCCTAGCGAAACCCCCTCCCCAACCGAAGACCCCTCATCCACAAATACCCCCTTTGCAAGTGACGCTCCTTCCCCGAGCGATGCTCCTTCTTCAAGTGACGCTCCTTCTCCGAGTGACGCACCTTCTCCGAGCGATGCTCCTTCATCCACCGACGCCCCGTCTGCCAGCGATACTTCTTCTCCGACAAATGCCCCCGCGCCAACCGACGCCCCTTCCTCAAGTGACAACCCTTCATCCCCCGACGCCCCCTCTGCCAGCGATACCCCCTCTTCTAGTGACACTCCTTCCCCAACCAACGGCCCGTCTTCGAGCGAAGCCCCTTCTCCAACTGATGCCCCGGCATCAAGCGGGACGGACTCTCCAAGTCCGACTCCCACAGAGTCAATGACGTCATCGCCCACGTCAGCGCCGAGCGGGGGGTCGTCCGCTCAGACTCCGGGCCAGGTTCCAACCAATGTGGTGAGAAAGCTTAATCTTTCTTTTGTGTAAGCCCTTGCTGCGCCGGCTCTCTGCTCGAGAGTAGCTCCTCGCAAGCCGGTGTAGATGTAAGGCTTTGCTCCGATCAAGTCGGCAATTGTGTATCGCTTGAGGGGGTGGTGTGCACACTTTGATGAGTTGGTGCACATTCTGGTGGATCTGAGAATTTTTGAGTTCTTGAAGCGCAATTTCCTGTGGGAAGCTTTGTGCTTCTTCTTTCACTCTGAGACTGAATCAACGCCTCGAAGCTTTGAGGCTGCGTCCTGCGGAACGGCTAGCTCACGTTTATTCAATTTTCTCTTGCGCGCCGTCTTTCATTTAAAATTGGCAAGGTTCAACTATGATATGACTTGTCTGATCCTTTCGGCTTTCGATCAGCAATTAGCTGTCCCTGCAAGTAACCGACTTTCATTTTGCCCCGCAGTGCTCCACTACTCCCAACGACCCCGTGTCCACGACCTACGCTAACCTCATTTCTAACCCGGGTTTCGGGAGCGGCATCCCAACCGGCTGGCAATGCGTGGGCGGTTGCACGCTCTCCCCTTCCACCGACGGCTCCTACGCCGTCGCTTCCAGCAGGAGCGACGCTAACCAGGGTCCCGGTTGGGACTTAACCGGGCAGTTCAGCGCCGGGGCGTTCTATAACTTCCAGGTCTGGGCGCAGCTCCCCAGCGGGAAGCAGAACGTTCAGATGTTCCTGGAGACGACCGTGGACGGAGTGACGTCATCTGCGACTCTCGGGCAGTCGATGATCGTCAGCGGGTGTTGGACTCAGATGCTGGGCTCGTATACGGCGTTAGGCACGGAGAGCAACGTCGTGCTTTCGATCGGTGGCGCGGACTCCGGGGGGGACGTTTGGGTGGCGTTTGCTGCGGCGTTTGACCCCCCTGCCGAGACTTTGCCCGTGCTCCGGTCGTTCGCTGCCGCTACGCATGGGCTGGTAAGATCGACTTTGGTAACCTTTCACAGTTCTCAACAAAGGAAAGGAAAGGAAGATCTACTTTGAGGGAAGCCGAATCCGATGCCTTTTACGAGGATTGTCAATGAAAAGCAGCTCACCGAGTACTTTGTCAGAGCAGCACCTTCGAGAAAGGAAGGTTTCTCTGTTTTTAAAACCCGGGGTTAGACCCGTCACTTATGTGACGGCGGAAGCAAAATCATTAAAATCGGGCCTCCGAAGCGTCCTTCTCCCGCCTCCATAGTCGCCGTTGATGTAATACAACCTCGCCGAGGTCACAAGAACGCAGTAGACATGTCTCCGTTGCTAAACTACCGTTCTTCTTCTTTCAGTGCTCCGGTTCTACCAACACCGGCGCCGGAGCCGGTAACGTCATCGCCAACCCGGGCTTTCTGGCCGGTCTCCCGACCGGTTGGACCAGTTTCGGCACGTGCACGGTCACCGTCAGCAGTGACGCCAGCTACATTCTCGTCACCGGGCGGCAGCAGACGTTCGCCGGGCCGGCCTGGGACGTAACGTCTCTGCTGACGCAAGGCACGGGTTACACCGCCCAGGTGTCGGTACAACTTGCTGCCGGTAGCTCCGCGGTTTCGATCACCATGAAACGAACAGTGGGGGGACAGTTGAGCTACGACCCGGTTGGTACCGGCCAAGCGAGCGCCGGGTGCTGGACCACACTCAGGGGGACGTATACGCTATCGGGGCCCGCCGACAGCCTGGTTATGTATCTGGAGGGGGCGCCCGTGGGGAGCGACGTTTATATCCAGACGGCGGCGCTGTTCCCGGCCGCCGTGGCGGCGACGCCGGCGGCCACGTCAGCACCGGGGTCGGCCCCGAGCAACATCGTGAGTGCGAATGTATTCTGCTTCGCAATGTCGTTTCGTAACCAACGGCTTCACGGCAATGTATTTGGAAAAGGCTCGAGAAGTCTGCTGCGGGAGATGTGAAGGCAGATTTCCACTTTATAGCAGCCTCGAGTCATCACAATTCGAAAAGCTGTTCTCCTTTGATTCGAATAAGTGGAGTAGGAGAGCTCTCATGCTCTTACGCTCCAATCAGCTTCGATTGCAGATCTAACGATGTGGGCTGGGAACGGCACTTCTCAAGCTTTGAATCCTCTCTGGAATCCCCTCGACGAATTGCTTAGATTTTGCAATGACGATCTTTCACCAATTCTCGAATTTGAGCTTCGACAGATTTGATCCATTCGGCACCCAATGAAACCTAGTATCTCCTCTTGCAGTGTTCCGGTTCCAGCACCAACGGCATCACCGGTTCCAACCTCATTGACACGTCATCCTCGCAAAGCGGGTGGTCCTGCATCGGCTGCTCCCTGGCGCTCTCTTCCGACCGGTCCTACACCCAAGCTACCGGTCGCACCGCGGCCTACCAGGGCCCCAGTTGGGACCTCACTAACCGGGTTTCTATCGGACAGCCCGTGACCGTCCAAGTTTACGCGCAACTCTCTAGCGGTTCCTCCACGGTGAAACTGACCGCGAGGAAGACTAGCGGGTCGAGCACCACGTATATCCCGGTCGGGCAGGGCCAGGCGTCCGCGGGGTGCTGGACGCAGATCTCCGGAACGTACACTTTGGACGGTCCGGCGGATTCCGTTGTGGTGTATTTGGAAGGGGCGCCGGGCGGAACGGACGAGTATGTGAAGTCGCCGGCCGCGTTTGCGCAGGGGAGCTCAGGGGGAAGCTCCGGGGGAAGCTCTGGAGCAAATGTGAACGTGGTAAGTATCGTGGTCGAATATATCCATTTGCACGACAATTTCGTTGCTAAAAGCTTACTCGGTTTTGAGACTAATTCCTCGGGTTGCTTACTCTACTCCGCAGAAAGATTCAGAACCGCTCGTTCGTTCCTAGCTTTATGCAACTCTGGAAAGAAGATGAGCACAGCCATAGTGGTTACGGCAGAACCCATGAACGTCTTTACAGACTGACTATTAAGGTGTTCCCGTGTCGTAACCTTCCTTTTTTTCTTTGGCAAAACATCTCGTCATGTCCTGAAAACCACCTCTTTGATGACGCTCCACTACCGTTCGCTGCTGACCCACTTGTTTCTCAGATCATTTCCATCTCTGAAGCAGAAAAACCAAGTTTTCACGCGATGATAACGAAGTTCTCCCCGTTCCGTTTCCGCAGTGCTCCGGCTCCTCCAATGACGCCGTCTCCGGAACCAACCTGATCTACAGCCCGGGTTTCCTGGGCGGCCCGCCCGCCGGGTGGTCTTGCTTCGCTTGCCAGCTCAAGATCTCTTCGGACCAGACATACGCTATTGGATCCGGACGTACGGCGTCGTTCAACGGACCGTCCTGGGACCTTAGCAGCAAACTCTCTCAAGGTAAGGGATCCGATAAGTTTTCTCTACGTATGAATTATCAAGCTTGATTGAGGTGCGTAAAATGCGAAGACTTTCGCCTCTGTTGAAGAGCAGCGAAGCTTCTCTAAGCCAAGAAACTCATGAGTTTTTCACGAGTTTCCTGTGCTCGCGGTCTATGCTCTTAGAATGTTGAGATTGCGGTAACTCAAGGACCTCGTTTGTACCCGACCAACTGTATCAGATTTCCTCCCACGCATCTTCTTCTGAGGTGGGTACCATCATTCTTGCCTTGGAACATAAATGGTTACGATTACCTGTTAGCGAAAAGAGCGAAAAGGTGCACAACGCTGCACAAAAAGCAGGGTGCCGATCTCTTCAACCATTGTTCCTCCAGGCGCAATCTACATCGCTCAAGTCCTGCTCCGAGTCTCCTCCGCCTAAGATAATGTGTTTCGTCGTTTTTGCACGAAGCTGGTACTAGTCCTATATCCATGTTACTATGTTTCTTCGTTCAGGCGCAACCTACACCGCCCAAGTCCTGCTTCAAGTCTCCTCGGGGAGCCCCTCGGTAAAGCTCACCATGCACACCAGCCTCGGCGGCGGCTCTGACGTTTACACTAACGTCGCGTCCGGTACGGCGCAAACCGGGTGCTGGACGCAGCTCAAGGGGGCGTATACGGTATCCTCTCCCGCCGATACGATAACGATGTACGTGGAGGGCCCGCCGTCCGGGGTGGACGTATACGTCATGGTGGCTGAGATCGTGCTGACGTCAGGGGGCGGCGGGTCTGGGGGGCCAGGGAATATGGTGAGAAGATGAACGACGCTGAACACGCAAACTTTTTACTCATGTTCTGGAAAACGGGTTCATGCGAATTGGAAGCTCCTGTGATCCGGAGTGCATAAAAGCAGTCTTTGCGGAATCAAGAGTCCGACGAGCACAACGCTCCTTGCGTCTTCACTTTATTGTCTTTCAAACCATGTTCTTGGTTTGCTTCTCCGCTTGATAAGCATCGGTGGCTCCTAGTGAGGTAAATCCGAGGATAACTTCCCAGCTTGTTAGTGGATGAGTCTCAGATTGTGCGGTGGAGAGGCCTGAGATTGACACCAGAAGTATTCTTTGCGCAGTGCCCCAACTCGCTCAACAACCCCGTGTCATCCAACACCATCATCGCCAACGGCTTCCAGAACGGGGTCCCCAGCGGCTGGAGCAAGTTCGGCCAGGTCGATCTGGGAATCTCCGGTGACGGAACATACGTAGTTGCTTCCAACCGGGGCCAGGAGTTCTCGAGCCCCTCCTGGGACGTTACCGGATCGCTTTCCGTCGGAACATTCTACAAGTAAGTCTCCGATGCAAGTGTTCTGGACATCGATTGTCGCGTACAATCCTCTTTTGATGCGCACTTTCCCACAAATTGGATTTGGAAGGGCTTCAGCCCCGTGCGAACATCAAAAACGAAGCTGTAAAGTTGCTTGGGCTTTGTGTCAGCAGTACCCGCTTTCTGAATATGATTTTCCCTATGAGTTATTGATTGCGCGCGCCGGCAATCTGTAAGCAACGGAATGAATAAAATGATGAGATCCTTGGGCAACCATTCTCCGCTTTCTGAATGCTAGAATGGTCGCTCCGGTAACAGGTCCACTGAAGTCGTATGAAGAAACTCTTTTGTCAGTTTGTCGGTGAACAGCTCAGACAGGCATACATACTGACGCCATGCCGACGTCACCCCTTCCAGGCTCTCCTCCTGGATCTCCATCCCCGCCGGCCAGACCGCCCGGATCGCGATCGCGATCTCCGTAACGATCGGCGGAAACACAAACTACTACTGCGGGGGTCAGATCGCACTGACCGGGGGATGCTGGACCCAGCTAAACGGCGGGTATACACACCAGAAAGGCGCGGACCGGGTCAACATTTACCTCCAGGGGCCAGCCCCGGGGGTGGATATTCACATCCGGGGTTTTTACATGCAACCCATCACGCGCGCGTCGTGGCTCGCGGACGTGAACGCGCGCACGGACCAGGCAAGCCATTACCATCTGTTTACTGGTTGATATCCGTGATTTTCGAAAACATGTCACTTTGCAGTCCGATTACTGCAAAGCATCGTTGTGAAGTCGCAAAGTCAGAGACATCATATCTTATCCGCAACGGTGAAGTTTGCGAAATACCGCACCCATGAAGGTTTCCCCTCTGAGCCACCGACTTGAAAACAAGGCGCACAGGAGAAACTCTCTATTACGAGCCGCCTGTTCATCAGCAAGGGACACGACACACAACCAAAACCGTAAATCTCTGCTCATACGTCGCTTCTTGACAGGATATTTCCTCTTTTATTTTTCTGCGCGAGCGACATATTTCAACTGACGCATTCTTCCACCAATGACTTACAACAAAACTCTGCATGCAGATCCGGCGTACGGACGTCCGCGTGCACGTCCAAGACAGCAACGGTAACCCGGTTCCTAACGCGAACGTCCAAGTCGACCAAACCAAGCAAGCGTTCCCCTTTGGAGTCGCCATCAACTACCAGCTCCCCCAAAACACCCAGTACCAAAACTGGGTTAAGCAGCGGTTTAACTGGGTGGTTTTCGAGAACGAGGCCAAGTGGTACCACACGGAGCCGTGGAAACAGGGAGAATACAATTACGGGTATGCTTGCTTTTCTCGCCTACCTATTTCAATGTTTCACAAAAAATCGCTTCTCTGGGGGATCCTAGACATCAGCGAGTTCGATTGCAAGTAAGGAATCATCTGCAGATACTTTGTCAAGGTGCAGACTAAAATATGCTGTGCTCTGGGCTTCTGGAACACTGAAAAACCTCATGAATTTGATAACAACGTCTTTGACTAAGACGAACAGAAAAGAGGACTTGATCCGCTGATCCGTTGTGACTGCCTGACTAAGACGAACTGTCCACAGAAGCAGCTTCAGACGAAAGTTTCCCCCCGGCTTTCTCGAAGCGGCGATAATCGCCACGTGTCATCCGCTTAAGCACAAGATTTTACCCTGACGAACTCTCTGCAAATTTTGCAGTGACGCGGACGCGATGACCGATTGGGCGATCAACAACGGCATCTCCGTCCGGGGCCACACCGTCTTCTGGGAGAGCCCGCGCGCGCAGCAGCCCTGGGTGATGTCACTCCCCACCGACCAGCTCCGGGCGGCCATGAACACCCGGATCACGCAAGTAAGTCGCTTACTTGTCTACCATGAAAAAATCATTTTACTTACACCCACCAGTGTAATAATACTGCACCTCAACCCCAAGGTAAACCTGGTGGAGCAAATTGCTGCTGGAGTTGTAGGATACGTCACCCGTGCCCACTGTACAAAGCCTTCAAAGCCACAAGGTAAGGCTAGGCACATTTTGGAGTTGGCTAAGAATGTTTGAATGTTGGCGATGTACATGAATGTTATGTAAAGAATGCATGGGGCTCTCCATGATTCATGAATGCCCAGAACACGCAGGACGTACGAAAGTTGAGTTCAGAACTTACAAGCTGCAAGATCAACAACCTTGAGATGGGCGGGCTTAGTTTCGGGGCGGTACGGCTGCGTTTAGCAAATACAGAGGGGTTAGGGGTGCGGAGCAGGTAGTTTTTGGGTTTTGGTTTCAATTCTAGCCGGGGGCCTATCATTCCTGAACCTTACTGAGATCGACCGTCCTGCAGGTCGTGCCCCGGTACAAGGGCCGGTTCAAGCACTGGGACGTCGACAACGAGGCGCTTCACCCCGACTACTACCCGCCGCTTCTGGGCTCGGGGATCCAACAGTGGATGTACCAGACGACCCAACAGCTCGACCCGAACGTCCAAATGTTCATCAATGAGTTTAATGTCCTGGAAGAGTGCGACGCGGCCGCAAACCCGGACACGTTCATCGCGCAGGCGCAGAGCATCGAGGCGTGGGGGAGTCAGGTGGGCTTCCGTTCCGTTTACACACGAGGTCCCGGTTCCGTCCGCGGCAAGCTGCTTCAAAACATCGCTGAAATATGTTGTGGGCAGTTCGTATAGAGATGGTATGCGGGCCGGGTCAGAAAGCTATGTAAGACTTGCCTCCGTTGCTATAGCGTTTAGATGCCTGGAGACGAATCTTTCTGCACAGCCTTCTCGGCGCCTTATAATACGCGCACACAAAAGGACACATGATTTGGATAACTTAAAAGCAGATGAGATAGGACGGCTTGGTTCTGCTTCGAGCGGGCCGTTTAACGACCATACAAAATTCTATTTTAAGATCTTGAATAAATTTGCAGCCCCGCCGCATATGGACCTGTGCAATTTGAAAACATCCTTCCGTAGTTCTGAATCGCAGGTCAGCGGGCTGGCAGTCCCACATTGGTTGCTCGGTCCAAGCGTCCAAACTTCGCGCAGGATCTGAACTCAACCCCCATTTTCCTTGACCACAGGGTAGCTTCGGCTGCCAGTCCCACTTTGGAAGTTTGCGCAGAAACCTTAACTTAGACCCAAATTTTTCTTAACCACAGGTCAGCTTCGGCTGCCAGTCCCACTTCGGCAACCCCGTCCAAGCGTTCAAGCTGCGCGCGGAGCTGGACCGGCTGGCCAGCCACGGACGTCCGATCTGGATCACGGAGATGGACTCGTCCGAAACGGACGAGAACACCAAGGCCGACTATTTGGAGTACGCCTACCGGGAGTATTTTGCGCACCCCGGAGTGCACGGAATTATGGCGTGGACCGTTTGGGAGGGGCCCTTCGAGTGTCAAGTGTAAGCCCCCGGCGGATGTAGTCCCAGAGGCAGAAGCGGCCACCTGGCATTATTCTGCGATGGTTCTGGGCTTGTATATTGTCCTCAGTATGTGAGCCGTGCGAAGAGAATGAGTCGCAACGCACTTGAGTGTTCGCGTGCAAAGACTGTGCCTGCACAAGACACGATCGGCGAGAGTGTTCCGCCATATGGAACGGTTTCTTTTATGCTTTCCTAGAGTTTGCTCTGCGGTTCTGCCACTTCCGACTCTTCGAAGCGGGGACCTCCTGCTTTCGACGTCCGCGTCGATATTTGAGGATGCTTCCTTGAAGGATCAGTGGAAAGTTGACGGTAGCGGATCAAGCCCCGAAGGACACTGAGAACAAGCATCCCTTTTAGCAGAACCTGTTGTGATCTCTTCTTATCTCTTTCCGCCCAGTTGCTCTGTTAACGGCGATTTCTCCAACAAGCCCTCGGGCGCGCGCGTCGACCAGCTCCTCCTCTCCGAGTGGCGCACCACCGGGCAGACCGGGACGACCGGTTCTTCCGGCGCGGGTTTCGCCTACCGCGGCTTTTACGGCGACTACCGGGCGCAAATCTCCTACCAGGGGCAGTCTTGGTCGCCCACTTTCACCGTGCAACCGGGCCAGAACGGCGCCGACATTTACCTGACCATCCCGGTGACGGTCGCCGCGGCTCCGTCGCCCAGCCCAAGCCCCCAAAGCTCGCCCTCGCCGCGGCCGTCGGCCAGCGCGTCGCCCAAACCCTCGGCGTCAGCGCAGCCGTCGCCCAGCGCGCGCGCGTCGCCTTCGGTTCGCCGTCGCACGAGCGCGCGCGCGTCGCCCTCAGCGCAACCCTCGCAAAGCCCCCAGACCTCGCCGTCCGCGAGCCCGCCCGCGTCGGCCTCCCCAAGCCCCCAACCCTCGCCAAGCGTTGGCGCGTCACCTTCGTCAAGCCCTCAACCTTCTCCGTCCGCTCATGCGAGCCCAACCTCTGGAGCTTCTGCCTCCCCCAGCTCGTCTCCTCAACCGGGGGCTTCGTCTTCCCCTTCCCAATCCCCCCAATCTCCTTCGGTCCCTTCCCCCTCCCCTTCTTACAGCCCGCTTCCTTCGCCGGAGGGATCCCCCTCGCCTTCCCCAAGCCAAGACACGCCGCTCACTCAGTGCCCCTATTGGCTCGGCTACACCACGTGCTACAACGCCGACGGCACGATCCCGTCGTGCTGCAACCCGGACTGCTCCGCCACGCAGTCCTGCGTCCTGCTGAGCTCGATGATGACGTCACAGTACCGCCAGAACTTCGCGGTCCTGACGCCCCCCGAGTGCCCCTACTTGTTGGGCTACACGACTTGCTACAACGCCGCGGGAACCGTCGCGAGCTGCTGCCCGGGGAGTTGCGACAGACCAACCGGGGAGTGTTACCGGGCGGACTCGCCCCCGGTTACGACTGCCCCAACTTCGGCGTCGCACAGACACCTCCTCGGAGAGGATCAACCGGGGCTCGTCAGCGTTGACCTCCACATGACGGACGGCGCCGGCGTGTTTGGCGCCGTGAGTGACGTCAGGGGCATGCGACGGCTCCTGGCGGCCGTCGCAGAGCGGAATGCCGCCGCGGAAGCGGAAGAGGTTCGGGAAAGTGAGGACTCGGAGGAAAGCCCCGAGGAGAGCGAGTCGGCGCTCGGGGACTGCTCTGAGGAGTTGGTCGGGAGGGAGCTGATCGATGCCGGGGGCAACATCGTGAGGCAATGCCGGCGACGGACGTCTCAGGTGAGTTCCCGAAGGATCTGCTTGTTATTTTTTATAATGGCAGTTCATAAACAGGATGAAATTTCGCAATGACGCAAGAGGAGTACAAGGATCTTCTGCATCTTGCTCAAGAAAGGATAGTATAGTGTTGTTTCACCGCGTCATCTACGCGCTCGTGGAACTGAAGTGCTTACGAAAGCGTTTGCGTTTGACACGTTTCGCTTTACGTTTTGAGAGCAGTTACAATTTGGGGAAATGAAGGGCGAGAAAGCTGTGGCATACGAGTCTGTACTTATGAGATGTAGGAAAAGAACTATGGCTGGTGGGCTCACAATATACTTTATGCTCCCTTCTGACAAAGGTCCTCTCCTTGTTGTTTTGCAGGAGTCATACTCTAGCGCTTTTGCCGAGAGGCTTCTTGGGGAAAGCACGTCGAGTAAGGAGGCGGAGCTCCTCAAGAACCGGAAACGGAAAGCTCGGAACGCACGAAGGCACGGATTGCACCAAGTTTGAGATGCACGCAAGGAACACGGAATGTTACGCTGACTCGCACAATTGTCACTCTTTCTGGTAATTAAAAATCAAGACAAGAGGGGGCTAATCGCGTGTTCCATGCCTGAAACGAAACGATTCAGCTAATTATAGAGAATAGAAGGCATGCAAGCGGATAGCGCGCAAGAAAATTGCACATTGGGCCCTTACGGGACGGTAGGATAGCAGTACATCGCTGGAACATTTGTGGTGCGTAGGGTATATTAGCAGGTTGACTGAGTTGAGACCGCTGACGGAACAATTGAGACGGGTTTCTAACGGTGTTAGATTGACTGGAACACGCAGTAGGTGGTGCAGAAACACTTTGCTGTTAGCTTTTATATCGGCTTATAATCTGCTTCGACAGACATGGCTTGTAAGGCCAGGTATGAGGCAGGTTCTGTGCGCAACCATGACTCCGATGGCAATCGTCTGGGTTTCCGTGTACGTGGCATCCTTCCATGTAAGCACTTCGGAGCTTTTATTAAGGCCTATCGGATCTCGTAGAGCCAGGCGACCGTACACCAGTAGTATCTTTCTAGCTACTTGAGACCGACATGTGTATGTGCGCGCGCCTCCAATATATGCTGATGGTTGAACTCGAACGACACATCCAGGACACTTTTTGTACTCGACAGAGGAGTGGTCCCGCACATCCTTCGATACGAAAGCGGATTGCAGGTGGTACGGCACGTAGTTGCACAAGATTACTGCACAGTCTCAGGCTCAGCTTTGAATCTGATACAAACCAAACCGCAATCACTGACATATGCAGGTGAGTATGCAACGTACGAGCTTAGATATTCAGGGTTTTGAATGATCCGGTTGCGTTGCACATGCACTTTACAAATCTTTGAGCGCCAACAGATCTTCGACCTTAGGAGCTGAAGGTCCAATTTCAAATCGAACAGACCTTTCTCATCATAGCATCTTGTCGGGCATTACGAGAGCTCTTTCTTGAAGCTATTCATGTTCATCACCATGAAAAACCTGCTAAAACGTGGCCAGAGAATATTGTCCAAAGCACTAGAAAAGGCCTATCACGACTTGGTGTTGCTCAAGCACCATCCTCCCATGCGCATGCTCTTGAGGTGGACAGTTGTAACTTATACTTGTGGATAGCCCAGAAATGGCCGTTCGTACAGAGAGTTGCTTGCATGAAGTGGTCCACTCTGGAAGTCCAACGCAAGGCTTCCTCTGGAATCTTCTGCATCAAAGCGGGGCAGAAGTGGCAACGGGAACATTCTTCCCCATGAGCTGTTAGTTCTTCAGATCGTGCCGTCTCCCTCAGGTCCGACAGATTGATGCTGTGGTTCAAGGCCCATGCGTCAGGCGAGTCCATGATGCCTCGAAATATCCGCGTCACGACGACGCGATCACCGTTGTGAGTACTGCGCCGGTGTAAACCGACGCAGCAGAGCACCAGAGTTTCCGTGCACCGGGAGCCTTTCTTGAAGACGGTGTCAAAATTGACACACCAAGCGTCATATTGCCGCCAGCGACACAAGTGTGCCCTTATTCTTTCCGGTGAGAGTTCTGCTGCAAACCCCGGCGGTTTCAGCTCATCCGCTTCCGTTCTTTCGTTTCCAGGGCACCACGTCAGCAGCTTGGCGAAGCTTGCCCAGCCGACGTCCCCCGGGCTCTTCTTTTGTCCCTTGAGCGGCGCAAGGGTTATGCACACCACAGGCAGAGCCTTCCTGCAGGCGCCCTCCCATACCTCATCTCTCACGAGGCGCCTATGGTGCGCGGACACGGAGGCGAAGCTCGCGAGCGCCTGGAACGATCCAGGGATATCTGACCGCCCCGACGTGCTGAGCTTGTCCAGGATCAGGCAGATTAGGTCGTCGCACAGGTCTGCAAAGGAGCTTCCAGGATTCATCATGGCGCTACGCTGCGTCCCTCTTCTTCAGTCTTTCTGATCTTTCGGACAAGCGTCAAGGAACAAGTCTCGCGCAAACGAAGGCGCTGAGCCTGACTTGGATTAGTATCCTACCAAGTTAAAGAACTCCGGGAGAGACGCTACATGAACTGTCGGCTGTTCAAGAACGCGCGGCCGCGCACCTCTTAAACCCTCCAAGGCTACAAGCCCTTCGATCCTTTCCCACGTGACTAATCAGGGGAGCATCGACGGTTCAAAATGACCTGATTCATTCGAGCGCGCTTGCGCGCGGAAGTGGCGGCTTTGTCTCTGGGGGCCTGCACCTGGTCATCACTCTACTGGTTTGAACTCCGCGGCCTCTGCACTTCAGCTGCTATGTTCATTGTTAGTAATGTTTCAAGCGCCCTTGTTTGTGCCGCATTGCTCTACTGTAGCTGGAGACTGCTTTAGCTGATGTTTGCGGGGTGCAAGGAGCTCAGATAACCTCGAGCCCTATTTGTTTCCAGCACCACAGACGCGGCGTAAGCGACAAGGGATGAAAGTGGAGATACGATTTGAGAAGGTCCTCTTTCAACCACCAGAAACAATTAAGGCGAGCTGGCTGCCAGACACAGAGGAACCAAGTCAGGTCCTGAGCGGTGAACGCAGTGTTAGGAAGCTGACTTGTAGGAATGGCAGAAACAAGAACAAGTACCATCTTGATTCCATCGCCCCAAACAGAGATCGGGAGCCAAGTTCTGCGGCTGGCGCTGGATGTAGAGCAAGGACCAACCTCCCGGCTGCAAGATGGCATTGACAAGCCAGATGAAGAGGCCGGTGGAGGGGAGTCGCAGGTCCCACATTGTGGAAGAGCAAAGAGCTGGCTGCCGTCTGGAAACACAATCAGGTCAGGCAAATTATCCAGCCACATTAGTATCACCTGCTTGCTTGCTGTCATTGTGAAATGTGCAACTCTGCTTCAGCTGTTGTCTGCATCATCAAGTCCTCTGTCTCAATAGGGGCCGGAGATCGCACAACAAAAATGAGAAAGTCAGTGGCAAACACAATGGAAGTGCAAGCCAGGATATTGATGATGGGGAAGAAGGAATGCTGCTCCTAATATATCAGCTTCCGGCACCTCATTGGCAGTGTCTATTGCTGTTCTTGTAGATATTCTCTGTGGCTCTAAGGTCGTCGATGTCAACTCGCTGGGAAGTGGTAAATGGCCCTCGCTGCCTTTGTTTCGTGCAACTCTTCAAACCGCAGACACCCCTCCAACGGCTCTTCCGCCGTAGTGCCTTTTGCATCACAACACAATAAACGGTCGTTTGCCCATCGTCTTACATCAAGTTGTCACGTCGGGCAATGCGATATTTAACAACAGAACATGGCAACACTCCTTTCCCTTTCCCTGTATCGATGGAACCTGGATTGAACCACACTGTCATGATGGTTCCCTCAAAGTCCTGAACTCAAGCTCTTCTTATGTGTATACAGAGAGTTATCTGGATATTCTCGTAAGAGACAAAAGATATTGACTTAAGATATTGACTTTAACTGCAGACGATTTGTAATCGCCAACTTTTTGCCCCTGGGATTCCTGTTCGCCCTCGCATTTGCACTCTCCTGGCCGCAGCCAGGCCGCGAGGTAGCCAGTTGGAAGGTAAGATACCCTATGCCTGATGTTACATTTTGTTGAAACAAAGTGAAAACAAGGTTGGGCGACGATGGAAATGACGAAGTAAACCTGACAAGGCCAGGCAACATTTTTCTAGTTGAAGTGTGATCGATTCATGGGGATCTGGGGGAGCTTGTTAAAGGTGGTACGGTGTGCGCTATTCAATGAAGACTGAAGCCGGAGACCAAATCTGCACTTCTTGACAAGAGATGAAAGGAATTGTAGTTATAGGTGTTTGTAGGTATCTCAATAGCGTCAACGCCCAAGGAATTTTTGATCTCAGAATCAAGTCCTCGTACTGGCTGTGCTTGAAGTTTGATAACGATCAAACATCAGACAGCGCTTCACATTCAAAGACTTCATGACTGCCTGCATGCAAAGTTGATTGACTCCGACTCTTGCTCAAGACGCTTCAACTTCTGTGATTCCTTGTCCAGTTTGTAAGAGAGCATACTTTGTCCAGTCAACGAGTTGCACCTGACCAAGATGGACCATGCCGCTTCAACATCCAAAGCACTTCCATCTCGTGAAGATCCTCAATCGCACCTTTCTCCCTGACCCAGATTGGCAGCATTCGAGTGATCCAAGCCCTCAACAACATCCTCGTCTTTCTCATCTCCGGCCTCACCCTCAAGTCCAACGACTTGAAGGAGGCTCTCAAGAACTGGGTCGGCGTCCTGTATGGCATCGTTACCATCCTCCTGGTGACGCCCTGCGTTGGGTTTGTCACCCAGCAGATCCCGTTCCGCCCCAGGGAGTTTACGGAAGGTACGCAAAAGTTTCCGATAAACCCTTCCCTCAGCTTGCTGCCATCCGGACTCCAAGCATTTATACGCCGCACAAAATATTGTCGCTTGTACGAGCGAAATCACTGCGTGTGTCCCTTCTTGATCTGACTGCGCTGATGCCACCTCTTTGGTGAGATAGCCAAGTAGATCCGAAATCTCTTCACTTCACTCTATTTTGGCGCACCATGCTCGTTTGGCCTCCAGGGCACACGAACTTTACAGTAGGTGTTCTCAGAACCGCTAAGCCCTCAAATTCTCGTCAAAGTTCTTTCACGTCCCCCGTTCCAGTCGAGACGTCACCTATCATCTGCTGTCCAACATCAAAACCATGCTTTCTTTCCGTTAAACGCAATTTGCACACGGGACTCTCACTGGAAAGGACGGTGGCATCATCTGCCTTTTATTACGTGTACAAAACTACTGTTATTTCCGTTCCTACTATGTGCTTGGTTTTGAAGCATATCGTATGTGCAATATCACAGGTTCTCGCACTCTAAACTTTACAGATTTTGACAGGAATCGAAAGGGATATCTTCTAAGCTGTCCTCACGAGATCTTAGAACCTTCTCGATTGCTTCGTTTAATTGTTCAACTGTTTCGGATACCGAGTTCCAACTCTCGTACCATTTTGCAGTCAGTTCTGATGAAGCTTTCAAGATTTGTCCAAATCCCCACTTGTTCGCTTTTTCCCTAGGAATTTACGAAGGCTTACTCAATACCTGCAGGTCTCACTATCTTCTGCGCTGTTCCAACCACTCTCGGAGTCGGCGTCGCACTAGTTGCTGCGTCCAAAGGGAACCAAGCCCTCGCTCTCTTCCTGACCGTCTCGACCAACGTTCTGGGCATCTTGACTGTACCCTACGTGCTGAAGCTAACACTTCGTGGGAGTAGCACTATTAGCATCGACGCGTTGGATCTGTTCTTCAAACTTACTTGCACGGTCCTCGTTCCGACCCTGGTCGGAAAGGTGGGTGCTTGAATCCTCGTCAAGGGTTTACGGGATGCATAGGTGTCTGGGAGCGATTGCGAAGGTGGCTTCCTGACGACTTGTTCAGAGTTTTTAAACAGGGAAACTCATACAAGGGGTTCTTGAATATTCTAGATGACAAAGCTAAGAGTTTTGCAACTTGAGCACTGTCTTCCGACACTCTTCGGAGAGAATTATCGAAGGCGCCCTGTCGAAACTTCCCTTGCATTCGAAAGTACGAGCGAACATATGTGCGTTTGGCCCCAATTTTCCTTCGAGGCTTCTCGAAGCATTTCAGGCCAACGCAGCGAGAGGGAATCTTCCTTCGAGTGAAAACCGCAATTCGCAAGTACCTTTTCGATCTCGCTTCGAGCTTCACAGAACGGCACAGGTATTAGGTTCTCTGACCAAAAAAACCGTCAAATACGCTCCCAACGTTGCATTTGGCACTTGATCATACTGTAAGGGAAACGACCCTCATTTGTTTCTCCCCCTGGTGCAGTTCGCCTCTTCCACAAGCAGTCGTGTCCGGACTTTCGTCCAATCACATAAGGTGGCCTTGAGCCTCTTCAGTACGAGTAACCTGGTGTTGATAGTATGGCAGACACTGAGCGGTGCCCGGGACATTCTCCTGAAGCAGAGCGGGGGCGACGTAATGCTCATCGTATGTGCCGTCATTGGTCTACACATTTTCTACCTAGGCTTCAACGTTGCTGCTGTTTGGTGAGTCATGAAAGCACCCCTTGGACTGGAACAAGTGCGGAGAAAGTATAGGTAAATCTGTTGCAGCAGCCAGACTATCCATGACAGTCCCTGAAAGACATGAAATAACGCCGAGGCAATCTGTCTGTCAACTCCTTCGGCTAAGCCATTCCCGTCTAGCACAGACCTCGCAATCTTTGAAGATGTGCATACGCAATCAGCTTTGAATGGTTTGCCTGTGTCCCACTTTTTGCTGACAGTCCCGATAGGTACTGATAACATGACGCCCGGAACGTGTTGGGCTCCTCGCTTCTTACAAGATCACTTGATTTAGAAGTCAACACTTAGGTCTGCAATTTCTTCCAAATTGCAGGTTGCTCCGATTGCCGCTCGTTGAGGCAATTGCGGTTGTCATCATGTCGAGCCAAAAGTCCGCGCCCGTCGCCGTTACTGTTATCACGTATATCACACCGAACATTGCTACCCAGGGTCTACTTAGCATTCCGGGCCTCATCGGGCAGCTCTTCCAGATCTTCCTTGGTAGTGCGATTGCCAGAGTTATGGCTAAGAAGGTAAGGTATCTTATAAGGACAATCTTTTTGGATAAAATCCTTTTTCCACGTTGCCTTTGAACTTGCTAGCTTAGTAAAGTCCCATCTTTTGCTGGCTTTTGCCTTTCGTTCGCGCTTTTAAGCATCCAATGACGTGCAAGAGCAGCTCTTTCGTTGGTTGTTCTCATGCGCTGAAGCGACTTGCTCAAACTTCGTGGTTGACCGTTGCCGCAAGACCAATGTCTTGCTGAAAGTAACCAGTGCCCCGGTGACAAGTAAAGCCGTAGTCAGTTTGCGATGTCTCTGGCTAGTGTCTTGAAAGTGAGTTTTCCGGCTCGATACGCGTTGGCCAGTCTTTTTCAGCATCCGAATGGATGTTCATCTAGTGGTATTCTCAACACTAAAGAAGGTGTCAGAGAACTCTCGTAAGGAGAGCAGTTTCGGATTGTGCGTGGGTCCTTCACGAACAGGAATGTCACGCAAAGCTTCTACCAATGCATGCAAGAAAAGGTATCTTCAACTTTGTTTATAACCCCTTGCAGGTAGACAAAGAACAACAAGACTGAGAGGCTTAGTCAGGTAAACTAGATGAGCGTTCCGTCATTGAGTCCGGCGAGCAGGTTCAATTAGTCGATAGCAATCAATTCTTCCAAGCTTGTAAAAGCATGTATGAATAAACGTACATGCGTGTTTGAAGATGGTGTGTTGGCCAAGGGACGCAAAGTGTAGCTCGGTAGAGACTGAGGTGTAACAAAGACTAGAAAGCCTAATAACTTCTGACTCGTACATGAAAACAGCCAATGGGAACAACGGATTAATTCCGTGCACCATATGTCGCCATATGATCAAGAAACACTGTAAATTGGCAACTCAAATCAACTCTTTGGTGTATGAGTGTGCGTTTATCTCATTAGATTGTAATCAAACACTTGCTACATGACTCGCTTCTATCGGACCGTGACAATTGATACTGTAACATTCTCATGAGACAAGGCCGTAGCTATCATTGTCAGTTCAATCCATTGCACTGCATTGAGCTCCACTACGATTTGAAACCACTCTATACGATTTGAAACCAAGCGATCACAATGATCGATCCTTTAGAAGCAAACTTGATAGGGTAGTCTGCTAGATAGCCGCCAAAATTATATGCATGATAATTATGACGCATTATGTGCATCTATATCGATCATGCGCATGCAGCACGTTCATGCATGTGAGATATAGATCATACAGAGCTTAAGTTTGGCTAGCCAGTTTGTACAAGGGAATATATCCTCTTGTTACCTACCATCTGTCAGAGCCTCGGCGCGAGTTTATTAATCATGTTTCGTGCATGTAATTAACCCATGAATCGTGCCGGCCTTACGTACAGCAATATCGAAGCATGTGCACTGCATGATTCGCGACCGCATGCAGCGTCCCGTTCTGTAAGTTCACTTCAAGTATGCGTGCATGCCGGATGGGGGCCCATTGAACGTAGGGGCCCTGTAGGGGCAAGAATAACTGCCAGCAATGGCAGCGCCAATCCGTACTACGTGATCACAAAGTGCGCGGATTTAATGGTCACGATTCTTAGCGACGTAAGTATGACTGCTTGTGAAATCTGCAACAGGTCGAAGACTTTGTCGAAGACATCTCAAGTTATCTCCGCGGTGATTAGGCGGGGGGCCCGAGCAGGGCGTCAGATCAGACCGAACGGTGTGCAGTAGGGGGTAAAAGTGGCGCCCGGCGCCGATCTTCGGGTTTGTCCGAAGGTTCTTCCAAGAATTTTCAAAGACTAGACTTTGCAAGGCTTGCCTTGCTCTGATCCAGTGGGGTCGCTGCTAGGTGTCAGGCAACCATTTGTCAGGAAGATAATACGCTTGACAATCACTGCAGTCGAAATCAACTCGGAGTAGGTACTTCAAGCGCGGCGTCAGATGGGTCTGTTTGCTAATGCAACTGTTGACCCCGACGTGAACTACGTATACGGATGAAGGACAGTACAAAGTCTGTAACCGGCACCAGTGCAACCGTCAAAGTCCTCGAGATTTCGATCCAAGGGTTACGTGGCGCAATGGCGGGTTACAACGCCTGGAAAAGGGACCGACCTTTTGGTGCAGAGCCGTCTTCTGGAGCCTGGCCGCTTGGGGGGGTAGATGATTGCGGAGGATGATGGGTGCAGAGCTGAAAGTCTGTAACCGGAAAGGGAATGAGGCGTGATGAGATCGAGCTCAACCATCGTGGGTCTGAGAATTAGAACTATTGTGAGTTTCATGCGTTTTAAAGAGCATCTTCATGGCAGCCTGCGAGGTAGGTACTATAAGGAGCCGTTTCAATATTCTCTTGGAAAAGACAGCGTGTCTCTCTACATTGGCCGAAGAATCGTGCAAATCAGAAGAGTCATTGGCACCGGGTAACACCCACCAGCTTCACGAAAAAGGCTAGTTTGCTAACATCTTTTCAATCCGAAAACGATTGACTTGATTCCGGAGCAGGAACCGAAGATAGACCGGGGTGGACCTTCTTCGCTCGGTCATATTTCGCACCAACAGCCTTAAAGATTCGCTCACCGGTTGGACTTGGATCACCACGGTGTTCGACCGGCAACCTGTCCCACAGCGCAGAGGCCTTCCGTTTTAGTTCTGCAAATAGATTGGTTCAAAGGTTTGGCATTGGTCGTTTTCAGCAACTAGACTGTCCGGTCAGATTCACGGGGGGAATGGATAACGCTTGAAATCTGCATCTGTCAAGATGCCGCCGTGGCGGGTCATCTTCCCGGTTCGACATTTATCGAAAGGTTCAACAGTGCGAGACGTCCAATCTATCAAATGTGAGACAGTCAGTCTAGCACGAAAATCCAGCCGAAGGGCGGCCCCTCACCAGCACAGGGGTTTTTGACGGTTAAGCATGGTCGGTTACGGGCTGGTTCGAAGCTGGTCAACTGTCCATAACCAGATTCAAGCAGTGACCAGGTTTTCAAGATGGCTGGAACGCGGTTATTGGCAAAAGAACCAGACGGAAGACTGGTCAGAGAATATGGTTAGCAGCCAAACCTTCCTGTGCAGAACAAAAGAGGGCATTAGCCGTTGTCTGCTCAAGGAACTTCTAGAGCGTCGAGGCCCGCTATCGAAGTCAAGAGGCTCTCGCTTTGAGCCCACTGAAGAAATACACATGGGAACATCCGTGGCGCTTCTGATGCTCTCCAACAGTTCATACACGTTTTGAAATGTGGTTGTCTTTTAAAACGAGAATCTTAAACGCAACAAGCGTACTGCTGACGAACAGGAAAGGCATTTTCCCCAGCCGAGCTTGCGATCGGCAGAATCCGAAGATGGGCGCTTTGACCCGTTTCGACTTCTTCCTGACAAGAGCAACGAACCCGCCAGGCTGCGAAGCATCAACACCGCCAACGGACGATCGCCGACGTCGCACTACTTTCATCGAAAACCGGCCTTTTTGCCGACGACCAACCCACGACTACATTCTTGGAATTAGGCCTCCGGTCTCTGAACGGCCTTTGCACTGTGCAAGACTTCTCTGAAATTTGAAAAGTGGTTCCATTCCACTCTCAAAAGAAGCATATTAGAGCAGTCACAGGAAAAGTATGCCCAGCAATATTCTCACCGTTCGCATCGCCTCCGCTGACGTCACTTAGTTTCGGCGCGCCCTGCGCGGCCGCGCGGTGCAACTTGACCGCGGAGTTGCCCAGCTTCCACCGGAGGAGCGCCGCCAACGTCAGCCCGTTGGCGTGCTTGTCGTAGCACAATGTACACGTCAGCTGTAGCAGTGACGTCAGCGCGGCGCCGATGGACGCCAGGAACGTGGCCCGGTCGACGTATATACGCGACTGGCACGGGAGAAGGCGAGACTCTGGTGGCGCGCGCAGAACGCGACTCTCGTCGTATGACTCTTCCATGATATTCGAGTATCAAGACCATCCCCAAATCACCAGGACCCTTGTCCCTGTTTGGCAAAAGAATGAGATTCTCGGATCCGTTTGATTCACTTGTCAACGGGCTCGCTGGATCAGCCTAAAGGAGGGTGAATCTACACGGTTCCTAAAAGATGATCCATTTTAGGGACGTCTTCCGAGGTTGGTAACATCATGTAAATGCAAGTTTTCGGTGTGCAAGTTTCATAGAATGGGCAGTGATTCTTCTTCACAACTTGTGCGCTTTGGCCCTGAATTGAACGTCGAGAGACCGGCAAAAGATTTCCAGGGGCCTCCTTCGACTATCTGTCCGATCAGAGAAGTCCCCTAGATCCGATTGAGAAGGAACCTGTTGAGAAAGTGCACGGAGGAATCATTCACCCCTCAAAATATTATCATCGGTCCAATTCATACTACCTACTGCTGTTTAGGGGCGGAGACTCCAACATGGTGACCGTTAAAAACTTTCGTCTAAATCATCATGGGTTATCTTTTCTAAGTTATCTCGATCATAAAACGATGAACTGCCGATGACGATTACGAGATAGTCGCATGAAGGCGAAGCTAGCTTCGTCATTTAGCGCCACGCAGATCTGCCGCTCTGCAAGAGACCCTTTCCGAAAGATTCGCCGTCTCGCAACGCATCGGAAAAGCATATACCTACCATGAGATAGCCCGAGTTAAAGAAGGGACTTTGCCCACCAAGGTGACTATTCTTTGTGCGAATAAAAGCTTTGCATTGACAGGTGGATCGATAATATGTACTTCGCCAGATATGAAGCGTATGCACAGAGGAGTCTGGTTTCACCCGTCCGGAAATTCCCGATCGGAATCTAGGATAGTAAGGAAGCGGAGGCCCATTACGGAAAGCGAAAGGAAGCGTAACACGTGGCTGGCCGTTTCAAAACGGTTGGTACGTGTTTGCCTTCTACTGGTGAGACCTAAAGGTCTGATGCTTGGATCAAAGCTCAAAACGTACTGAACTTAGCTAGCGTCTCCACAATCGAGGCCTTCGTAATGACATTCCAACGCAGAAGAAATGTGCCCAGGCAAAACGACCCCTTGAATTCCCCCTCACCGAGCATCGAACCTAAATCTGATGAGCTTTCTTGGGAGCCATTTTTATGCAAGGGAAAGCGGCGATAAAGTTCGAGGTGTTACCAGACCTTTGCTACTACAGCAAAGGCACAATGTGATCTGAGTCACATGAACACGTGGCGGCTTGACTTGGTTCGAACGGGCCTTTATAGCTCGCTGTTGACCCACACTTGAAGGAGAAATCTGGAGGGAAAGGATGGAATCAGAATGGAACAAGTTGCGGGCCTTTACGAAAAGGTGAACAAGGTCAAGTATATGCACCATATGTAAGTTCGAAGCTCATCTGTCCCTCACTTCAATTTAATAAGGACTAATGATCAATCTAAACCCTAAGTGGCTAGATTACTACTTTTCTAAGAGCTCTGGAAAGTGGCACCAACGAGTATAGCTAGTACGGTACACTTCTGTGGCAGGAAGTTCGTAGCCGACAGGAGCCCACAAACGCAGACTGCGCGGTGTGCTTCTTACGGCGACACTGAAGTCAGGCCTCTGAAGGGCACCTCCCCGCGGCGCAGCGAGATCAGAAGATATAAAAGGCAGGTTAGCAGGACCGTTCTGGCACTTCTGCATTCGCTTTGAGCGCAACTTGGGACTTCGACTCACTGCTTTGTTTTTGGGGGATTTTACCGCCTTGCACGTGCGGCTCATCAGGTGGAGCACGCAGGCTAGCATACGCCTCTTGGGCGGGCTTCGACTCACTACACTCTCCTAGCAAGCGCGGAGGCACTTGGGACCTTCTTCTTCCCTCGGTCATCGAAACGCACCAAGTCAGAGGTTGCCCCGCAACATGGCGCTCCACCGTCTTATGGTGGGTTTTCGTTCCCTGTATCCTTCAATCTATCACTCTAGCTTGTTTGCTCTGAATTCTTTTCCTTGTGTTACGTCCTTGACCGCCTAACATCCTTGCTTTGATAGTTGACTCTACTCTGGTGTGAGGGTTTGAAAACCTGCCATCCCTACTTAGGGGTTCTCTGCAAGAAGCACATCTTTCGAGCTCTTCATTTTCAAGTCCGACACAATCTTGCCTATGAGTGCAGATGCTCGCGCTGTTTTCCCTTCTGCTCGCCGGCGTGCGCGCGCGAGCGCTCGCGGACGGCTTTGAGGAGAAGCTGGAGTACAAGCAGTTCAGACTGCAGCTGAGGGAGATCGCCACGCCCCAGTCGCAGGCGAACAATGGCACCAACTTCGGCGACATCCAATGGTTCAAGTGAGCGCACTAAAGCTCATCAATACCTCTCGGGGTTGGCTCAGCGGTTAGACTAGTGGGTTTGGGTGCGGAGAGCGTCGTAGACTGGCGTGGCCCATGGTCATGATTCAGGCGAGGAGAGCGTCGTAGTCTGGCGGGGTTAGGGTCTTGGTTTAGGTGCGGAGAGCATCATTATCTGGCGTGGTTAGGGCCTTGGCTGAGTGCTTTGAATCCAATAACGAATCCAGAAAATTTTTTAACGTGTGAACCACTCGCTCAGCAGGGGCTATATGCAGCTAATCGTGTTTGGTGCGAAAACGAAGTGCGCTCTTCGAAAGCTCAACGAATTAACTGACTCAGCATTGTTGCCAATAATTCTTTCATTTCGTTATTTTCGCAGCAACGAGGTTCAGGACTTTAACACCGGAGAGCGCCTGGGGTTCGACCAGGGGATCGCCACCTATACCCAGAGTCTCAACCCCAAGACAGGCAGCTATAAGCTGGAGACCGAGTTCTCCTTCATCTTAAAGAAGGGCTCCTTTACCGTCACTGTGAGCCCATGATCGAGCCCAAAGTCTTGATTGGTTAAGTAGTACGTGGAGCACCAAAAATTATCAAGTTTTATCCTGGTCATGATGCAATACGGTCTTGGATCTTTGTCTTAGTGGAGTGACTTTGCTTGCGTCTGCTGGGGCGCGGTCGAGCCCTCTCTAGCACTGAACGCATCAGCTCTTGATACTGATCTCTAATGCAGCTATAGACCGTCAGGGTGCTGGCGAAAAACCAGTCTCCATCGAACGTACTGAAGACTAAGCGCAGTGACTTAAAGACTAAGAAGACAGTGCTGGTCTGATCGACGGGTGGGGTTACTTGGGGGGTTAGGGTGGATTCGAGTGCGGAGCGGGTAATCCTTGGGTTTAAGTTTGCGGAATTCGAGAGCTTATTGTTCAGTGGATTTATTGTTACTTGGTCCAGGAAGATTGACGTAAATTACCGTGCTGGGCATCTGGTTGTTTGCCACTAACTGAACGCATCAGCTCGGATCAGCCTTCTAAAGCAAGGCAAGACCACCCGCGTGTATGTAGATTCTTCTTTTGGGAGCTTTCATTCGCGGGCTGACACGTGGCAATGTTTCATAGGGCCTCTACGAGAACACGCCGACCGATCTGGCCGTCGTGGGCGGCACCGGCATCTACACGGGCGCAACCGGCGTCGCACGTCAGAGCACCCTGACCGACAACGGCAATGGTTTCGCCACATACGGCTACAACGTCGAGTTCTTTGCACTCCCCGGGATCCGTCTAGAGGCGCTCAAGGCCAAGCACTAGCTTCAACCGGTCTTTAACCCAAGCTAGCGCCTTCTCTTGTTGCGTGAGAGTTCTACCGCCGGTAATAAGTACACAGACGTGCCGTTGTGATGGTTGAGAGCTAGCTAGGAGGGAGTTCGTTTGAGTTGTATCTGAGTCGTCTTTTGCAGAGGTTTTGAACAGCAATCACGACCAATTCCAATTCCAGCTGGCGGTTAAGGCATTTACCCAAACAATTACGTCCGCCGTTGATCCACTCCAATATTGCGTTCAGAATGTCGTTTGCTTTCCTCTTCAAAGAATCGAACTGCTTTACACATGTATGTCGTGATGCTACGTGTCGTGTCAGTAACGTCTCGGGTCCTATGACCATGCGCAATCTAACGTGCTCGAAATGGAAAAACTACCGCGGCTAATCCGCGCAATCAATCCTGACATGCTGATGTAGTCGTAGTCATGCAGAAAACGTAGTATTCCATGGTTGGAACTCACGACAAGGCTATGTTGAGAA